CACACAAACACACAGCGAAAACAGGTTACTCTCCCGAACCTTTGTAAGGTTTCCCGCCTGTAGGGTAACACGCGATATCTTTCGTTAATACTCTATCTCTTCCCACCTCGAAGCAGCTCCGCTACGGCAAGTTGTCGCGACTGAATCCCCCTCCTGCTTGAACGGTTTCACGAAATCAGTACAGCTCGTTGATTCGCACAGCGTGCTCTGTCGCAGAATGGTTGGGTTCTTGCGAGGTGATTTGCGAAAAGCGTCGGGACTACTCTTGTAACCAGGTTGAACGCATTTCAGTAAGATGCGGTGCTAGTGATACTCGATAGTGCCAGCTTGCAACACCCGCTAAAATCGCATTTTCCTCTGCAGAAACGGTGGGTTACATTGCACAGCTGATCAAATTAGGGGACGACGACATTTTCAATCAGCATTGTGTGATTCCCCATCACCATTTGCAATCTGCATGCTTAGGTGCCACAATCTAGAAGCGCATCTCATCCAACGCCTCTCCAACCGTTCCGTAAACCACGTGTCATGAGCTCATTTGTTCTGAGCAAACCGTTCGCGACCTGCCATGCGCGAGCTGCTGTGTGCCATGCCGCGAGACTCGCCGTGAACTACGCCGTGGAATGCGGAAGCGTGGTGACGAGCAATGTCAGGGTTTGCAGCAGCAGAGCTAGCAGCGACATCAGCAGCAGCCGCAGAAGCACGGACGGTAGCAGAACGGGGAGCGGTAGCAGCAGCAACATCGCCAGTGCCAGGAGAAACAGCAGCGGTAACAGCAGCGGCAGCAGCGGTAGCAACAGTAACAGCAGCAGGAGCAGCAGAACAGGAAGAGGTACCAGTGGCAAGAACAGGCGGCAGACAGAACGCCTTGAAACTGATCCTGGAGTCACTTCCCCCAGACCTACCTCCCCCAGATCTACCTCCCCCTCCACTGAATCCGCCTCCTTTCCGCCACAGTCCCCTTCCGCCCCCGCCCCGCCCGTCTTCCCACTCTTCTCTTCCCCCTTGCCCGCGGTGCTCCCCCCGCCGCCCGCCCTCCCCCACCTGCTTCCCAGGCAGCAGCAGCGCCTGGCGCTCTACCTCGACCTGCGTTTGGACTGGAACCAGGTGATTTTCCAGGTGGTATTTCAGGTGATTTAAGCAGCAATCGCTCGCCTTCTTGACTGGTTCGAAGCGGGTCTGCAAGGGGCAGGGTTAGAAGCTGGGGTAAGGGTTTAGGTTCAGGGTTTGTATACAGGGTTTCGGGTTTATACCTGGAATGAGCGCTTTCCCCTCCCATATTCCCCCCTTCTGCCGACCCCCACCTTTTTTCTCTCCCACCCCCCCGCCCCCCGCCCCTCCCCTCCATCAGCGGATGAACCTGACAGCAGTGTCTAGTCGCAGAGGCAGAGCAGCGCCACATTCCCGACTCGCTCTCACTCATTCGGCCTTCCCACTCCCAACCTCCCTCTCCCGCCCCCACCCCCACACACTTTCCACCCTCCTAGCAGCGCGTGAACCTGACAGCAGTCACTAGTCGCACAGAGGCAGAGCAGCGCCACATAGCTGACCCTCTAACGCTCATTCTCCCTTCCCACTCCCACCCCTCCCTCCCCTCCCCCCCACCCCCCCCTCCCCCCCCCCACACACACTTTCCATTCCACCCCCCATCAGCGCATGAACCTGACAGCAGTCACTAGTCGCGCAGAAGCAGAGCAGCGCCACATTGCCGACTCTCTAACGCTCATCCCTGTTATCCTGGCCCTCACCGCACCACCGCTCTCAACCGTGCCACTTGCTGCTGCACTGCTCCCCACCGCGCCCCATCCGACCACACCCCTCCCTACCGAACCACTCGCTACCGCATCAATTCCCACCGAACCACTCCCCGCCGTACCACTCTCCACCGCACCTCCTGCTTCCGAGCCCCTTCTAGACCCCCCCTCTGTCGCACCCTCCCCTGCCGTGCCACATGGCACGCTGCGATTGGTGGATGTGGGCACGGGAGCAGGGCTGCCAGGTGTCGTGCTGGCAGTGGCCCAGCCCACGTGGCATGTCACTCTCGTTGAGTCTCTAAACAAGAGATGCGATTTCCTGTCGCATGTGGTGCAGCGGTTGGGACTCAATAATGTGCAAGTGGTGTGTGGGAGAGCAGAGGTGAGCGTCCGCTGGGGCGCTGTTCCTGGCAGTGAATGACACAGCACGTAAAAAAGAAAGAGTTTTGAGACGTCTCAAAACACAGCACAGCCCACGTGGCATGTCACTCTGATGGAATCTCTAAACAAGAGATGCGATTTTCTCTCGCATCTGGTGCAGTGGTTGGGACTGCAGAATGTGCAAGTGGTGTGTGGGAGAGCAGAGGTGAGTGCGTGTTTGACCAACTGTTACACACAGCCCACGTGGCACGTGACTCTGGTGGAATCTCTAAACAAGAGATGCGATTTCCTGTCGCATGTGGTGCAGCGGTTGGGACTCAATAATGTTCAAGTGGTGTGTGGGAGAGCAGAGGTGAGAGAGTGTTTGCCCACTGTTGGACAGCCCACGCGGCATGTGACTCTGGTTGAGTCTCTGAACAAAAGATGCGACTTTCTCTCGCATGTGGTGCAGCGTTTGGCCCTGCGGAATGTGCAAGTGGCCCTGGGAAGGCCTTTGCTGGCCGAATAGTAGACTGAGTACTATAGATCGCTACTCTTAGTAGGCTTGCTGCGTTTCGAAACCAACTTTTTTAAACGTTTGGGCCTGCGGAATGTGCAAGTAGTGTGTGGGAGAGCAGAGGAGAGAGTGTAGGGGGGAAGAGGTGAGAGCATGGGTACTAAGCTTACCAGCCATGGGACAGCCCAGCCCACATGGCATGGCACGTAATTCTGGCGATGCGAGTATCTGTCTCTAAACTCTAAACCTTAAACCCCTCTCCGTCCACCTTTCTTTCCCACTGCGCTGCTACAGGAGGTGGGGAGGGATCCGGTGCACAGGGGGGCGTACGACCTGGCTGTAGCGCGGGCTGTAGCAGAGATGAGAGTGCTCAGTGAGTCAAGAGGCAGGTTGTAGCGCAGCTTGTAGCACGGGTGGGGAGGGATCCGGTTCACAGGGAGGCGTACGACCAGGCTGTAGCGCGGGCTGTAGCAGAGATGAGAGTGCTCAGTGAGTCAGATAATCTAACGTGCAGTAGTATCACTGGCTGTAGCGTGGGCTGTAGTGCGGGCTGTAGCACAGGCTGTGGCAGAGATGAGAATGAACAGTAACTGAATCATCAGACAGGCTGTAGCTCGGGTGGGTGTTGAGAGGGTGCTCATCACGGTTAGGTCAAGAGGGTGCCGTCAGCAGTCAGCTTCTCTGTTGATTTCACCTGAACAGACACCTGACACTTTCCTCTCTCTTCACCGTGCTGTGTCTTCAGATGAGCTCTGTCTGCCTCTGGTTCGAGTGGGAGGTGCCTTCATAGCTGCCAAGGGGCCCAACCCTCAGGTTAGTTTTCAGGTGTCACTTCAGGTGCCTGGATTGCGAAAAGCCAGCCCTCATGTTAGTTCTCAGGTGCCGCTTCAGGTGCTTAGATGGCAAGTAGCCGAACCCTCAGGTACGTCTTGATGGCGTTTCACGTGCTCTTTGTAGATGACCTCTCCTCTTTGCATTCCCAGCCAGGATTCCTCTCCTTACGGCGTTGAGAGGCATCTCAAAACTCATCACCCCGTGTATTCCTCTGTGCACCTCACAGGATGAGGTGGCAGCAGCATCTAACTCTGCTTCCCTGCTCAGTGCTCAACTCGTACGAATCTATGAAGGTGGGTTCTGCCACATACCACCCTCTTGGACTTGGCCCCTCACACTTTGCTTTTGGGAGTTCTCACAAGCTTCCCTGCTCAGTGCTGCACATGCTCGAATCTCTGAGGGTGGGTGGGTACTACCACAAAAACCCCTCGGTCCGTTGTGTCTCTTTCTCCCCCGTCTTTCTTCTGCGTTTCTTCCTTTTAGTTCCTGTTTTTCTCTGTCTGTTCACATATCATCGTGGTACGCCTGGTCTGTCTGTTTCAAACCCACTTTGCATTTCATCTCTTCTCCTACGGCTTTTTCTCCTCTCCTCCCCTCATCCCACCGCAGTTGCATCGTCAAATTCCAACGGCCAGCGCACAGCGGTCATCTACAAGAAGGTTGAGCCAACTGCTTCCAAGTACCCGAGGCGACCTGGAATGCCCTCCAAACGGCCGCTGTGATTCACAGTGGAAAAAAAACAGACAAATTCAGGGCTGTAGACGGCGCTGTGTTGACCATATGAAAGATGTTAAAACCGGAGTCCCAAACAGCCCAAAACTGCCTCAAACTTCCTAACTTTGGTTGGTTGTGACCCAGTAGATACTGACAAACTTCCTAACTTCGAAAATCGTCGGGACAATTTCCGCCACGCGAAATTACTGGACGATAGCAGTGACGATTTCGTAAACAGATTTCGCGCCCATCTGAAACTACCTGCGAACGAATTTTGACGTTGCATTCCAGATCTGGTTACACTCGCGAGGTTTTCATACTTTGCGACCCACAACCACCGATTTCGCCAACACCCTGGTTCGCGAGCCAGTCGCGTTTCTAAGTTTGAGAGTCTTGGACCTCCGGTTTGAAGGACGCGTTCCCTCCGGCGGATCAGTGGAGAATCGACGGTTACACCGAACCTAATGTATCCATAAAAGCACAACCAAGAGTGCATGTGGTAAAAGGAAATGGTGCAGTTCTACAGGTTTTTTACATCTACAGCAGACACATCTATGGGGGTAGAAAGAAACCGAAGTCAATGGCTAATTGCTACAGGTTTTTTACAAATAGATCTACAGAACCACTAAAAGTCAATCTACTGTAAATATTTTATATACGTCTATGTCAGGGGCAGCATGAGCAGCTGTACTCCAAAACCAAGCAGCAAGAAGCTGCCAAACAAACAAAAAAAACACAAGGAAAGAAACCAAGCAAAAGTGCTTTCAGAAGCACCTCTCTCTCTACCGTAGCATAACCTGTAGCATTATTAGCGCTGCCAGTTAATGGCTATAAGCAGCTGAAACCTGCCCCGTGGTGTACCTGTATATGTGGATGCTACGATATGGCAGCTCTCCACAGCAGAGCGCTCTACTACTAGTACTACTGTGGATAGCTTGACTGCTGGTAACAACATTCCCCTCAGGTGCCTTCCCCTCAGGTGCCTTCCCCTCAGGTGCCTTCCCCTCAGGTGCCTTCCCCTCAGGTGCCTTTTCCTCAGGTGCCTTCCCCTCAGGTTCCTTCTCCACAGGTGTCTTTGCCTCAGGTGCCTTCTCCTCAGGTGTCTCTTCCTCAGGTGCCTTCTCCTCAGGTGTCTTCTCCTCAGGTGCCTTCCCCTCAGGTGCCTTCTCCTCAGGTGTCTTTTCCTCAGGTGTCTTCCCCTCAGGTGCTTTCACCTCAGGTGCTTTCTGCTCAGGTGATTTCACCTCAGGTGCTTTCTCCTCAGGTGCTTTCACCTCAGGTGCTTTCTCCTCAGGTGCCTTCTCCTCAGGTGCATTTTCCTCAGGTGCCTTTTCCTGAGGTGCCTTCACAGACTCAGGTAATTCTTCAGGTCGAATCTCCTTCCCCCCTGCAGCTGCGAGATCTGGTGCCTTACCCTCGTCAGCTTCAGGTGTTTACTCAGGAGCAGATGCGCATGAGGACTGAGCTTCTTTGCTCTGCACCAGCTGCTTTCCAGGCACTGACTGAGTCTCAGGCTCAGGTCGTTCCTCAGGTGCAGGTGCCTTTTCAGGTGCCTGTCCAGAGACCTTCTCCTTACCAGTTGCATCTTCCCTCCCAACTGCAGGTGCTCCTTCAGGTGCTTTTTCAGGTGCTTTCTCAGATGCACTCTCCTCCACACTTCCAGCAACCTCCTCAGCTCCTCCTCCCCTGGCCATAACAATCGCCTCCCCACCTGCAGGCCTTTTCCCAGATGAACCCGCCTGTTCTGCGCCCATTTGTGACGGCCCTTCCTTCCCAGCTTCTTCCTTTTCACCTCCAACCATTGTCGCACCTCTTGCTGCTGCTTCTGTTCCACCTTCTAGCACTGCTGCATCCACCTTCCCACCTACATGCTCCTTCTCGGATGAACCCTCCTGTTCTGAGTCCAGTAGTTTCGCACCTTCCTTCAATGCTTCTCGCTCCTCACCTCCAACCACCTTCGCACCTCCAGCTGCTGTTTCTGTTCCTCCTCCTCTCACTGCTGCAATCGACTTCCCACCTGCGGGCTCATTCTCAAATGATTGCACCTGTTCTGGGTCCAGCTGTGCCGCACCCTCCTTCCCCGCTTCCCCCTTCGCACCTCTCACTGCTGCATCCACCTTCCCACCTGCGGGCTCATTCTCAAATGATTGCACCTGTTCTGGGTCCAGCTGTGCCGCACCTTCCTTCCCTACTGCCTTTCCCTTCGCACCTCCAACCACCTTCTCCGGTCCAACCATCATCTCACCTCCACCTTCTCTCACTGCAGCAGTCACCTCTTCAGATGCTGTCACCTCGCCAGTTGCAGGCTCAATTTCAGATGAACCCGCCTGCTCTGGGTCCTCTTGGTTCACACCCTCCGTCCCTGCTCCTCCCTTCGCACCTCCAACCACCTTCTCCGGTCTAACCATTATCGCACCTCCACCTTCTCTCACTGCTGCAACCACCTTCCCACCTGCAGGCTGCTTCTTAAACGAGCCCGCCTGTTCTGGGTTCAGTTGTTTCCCACCTTCCTTCCCTTCTTCTCCCTTCTCCCCTCCAATCATCTCCGCACCTCCTGCTGCTGCCTCTATACCACCACCTTCTCTCGCTGCTGCAACCACCTTCCCACCTGCAGGCTGCTTCTTAAACGAGCCCGCCTGTTCTGGGTCCTCTTGTTCCGCACCTTCCTTCCCTTCTGCTTCTCCCTTCACACCTCCAACCACCTTCTCTGTTCCAACCATTTTCTCATCTCCACCTCCCACTGCTGCAACCACCTTCCCACCTGCAGACTCCTCCACAAATAAGCCCGCCTGTTCTGGGTCAGGCTGTTTCGCACCTTCCTTCTCTGCTTCTCTCCTCTCACCTCCAACCATCTTCACAGCTTCACCCACTCTCACTGCTGCAGTCATCTTGCTACCAGCATACCCCTTCTCAGATAAACCTGCCTGTTCAGAGTCCACCTGCGCCGCACCCTCCTTCCCTGCTTCTTCCTTCGCACCTCCAGCCTCCTTCGCAGCTTCACCCACTCTCACTGCTGCAACCATCTTGCTACCAGCAGACTCCCTCTCAGTTGAATCCACCCGTTCAGAGTCCAGCGGTGCTGCACCCTCCTTCTCTGCCTCTCCCTTCACACCTCCAGCCTCCTTCACAGCTTCAATCACCACATCAGATGCAGCCATCTTGCTACCGGCAGACGCCTTCTCAGATGAACCTGCCTGTTCAGAGTCCACCTGCGCCGCACCCTCTGCTTCTTCCTTCTCACCTCCATCCACCTTTGTTGCTGCAGCCATCTTGCTACCAGCAGACCCCTTCTCAGATGCACCTGCCTGTTCAGAATCAAGCTGTGCCACACCCTCCTTCCCTGCTTCTTCCTTCGCACCTCCAGCCTCCTTCACAGCTTCACCCACTCTCACTGCTGCAGCCATCTTGCTACCGGTATACTCCTTTTCAGATGCACCTGCCTGTTCAGAGTCCACCTGCGCCGCACCCTCTGCTTCTTCCTGCTCCTCAGATGAACCTGCCTGTTTAGAGCCAAGCTGTGCCGCACCCTCCTTCCCTGCTTCTTTCTTCGCACCACCAGCAGGAGCAGCAGGAGGAGCAGAAGCGGCAGGAGCAGAAAGAGCAGGAAGAGCAGAAACAGCAGCAGGAGCAGAAGCAGAAGCAGCAGCAGGAGCAGGCGAAGCAGCAGCAGCAGGTGCAGGAGAAGGAGCAGGAGGAGCAGGAGCAGCAACAGGAGCAGTAGCAGCAGGAAGTGCAGGGGGAGCAGACACAGCAGGAGGCGCAGAACCAGGAGGAGCAGAACCAGGAGGAGCAGCAGAGGCAGAATTAGAGACAGCAACAGGGGCTGAAATAGGAGCAGGAGAAGACGCAGCAGCAGAAGCGGAAGCAGCAGCAGGAGCAAGAGCAGCAACTTCAGGAGAAGGAGCAGGAGCAGCCGGAGGAGCAGCAGGAGGAGCAGCAGGAGGAGCAGCAGGAGGAGCAGCAAGAGGAGCAGCAGGAGGAGCAGCAGGGGCAACAAGAGGAACAGCAGCGCCAAGACCTGCGCCCATCTCTATCAACCGTCGCTGCTCCCTGCCACCCTCCACCTCTGCTGCCTTCTCTCCTCCTTCCACCTCCTTTTGTCCCCATCCTTTCCTCCCTTTCTCCACCTCCGTTTCTCCCTCCCCTTTCCTTCCCTCCTCCACCTCCTTTTGTCCCTCTCCTTTCCTTCCTTCCTCCACTTCCTCCTTTTGTTCCTCTCCCTTGCATCCCTCCTTCACCTCCTCCTTTTCTCCCTCCCCCTTACTTTCCTCCTTCACCTCCTCCATTTCTCCCTCTCCCTTCCTCCCCTCCTCCACGTTCGTTCCTTCCTCCCCTTCCTCTTCCTTCCCTGCATCACCGTCCTTCCCTGGTAACTTCTCAATCTCTCTTCTCTCTGCCGGCACTCCAACTATTCCCTCAGGTAATACCCTTTCCTTCTCCTCCCCTGTGTTCTTCCCTTCCTTCTTCTCTGTTTCCTTCTCCCCTAACTTCTCCTCCCCCATCTCCTCCTCCCCCATCTCCTCCTCCCCTGCTCTCGCCTCCCCAGATTTCTCCTGTCCTGTCTTCTCCTCACCTGTTCCCACCTTCCCTGCTTCCACCTCGCCTGCCTTTCCCCCACTGTCTTCTTCTTTTAGAACCTCTGTGCTAGGCACCACTGAAAAATCCACACCACTCCTCTGCACACCACTCCTCTGCACACCACTCCTCTGCACACCACTCCTCTGCACACCAGTCCTCTGCACCAAACCCGTAACAAACTCTTTCCCTGCATCACAGCGTGCCATCTCCCCACCCTCCTGCTCCTTCTCCCCTCCTACCCTTGCGCCACCCACCTCCTCTTTCTCTGCCCCCAATACCACCCTCTCAACCTGACAAGCCTCCCCAGTACCCTCTCCCTCCTCTTTCCTCGATCCGCTCTCTTCCGCCTCTCTCCTCTTCCCCCTCTCTCCCTCTTCCTTCTCCCCACCTTCTTCCCCCTCTTTCCTCTTCCCACTCTCGCCCTCCTCCCTAATCTTCTCCTCTTCACTCCCCTCTCCCCTCTCCTTGACCTCACCCACCATCTCAGTCATTCCACCTTCTCCCTTCCCTTCTCCCTTCCCTTCTCCCTTCCCTTCTCCCTTCCCTTCTTCCTTCCCTTCTTCCTTCCCTTCTCCCTTCCCTTCTCCCATCCCTTCTCCCTCCACACTCACACCTACTCTCCGCACTCCCCTCTCCTCATTCCCTCCCCTCTCTTCCTTCCCTACTGTTACCTCCATATCTCCCTTCTTCCCTTCTGTCTCCTTCCCTCCCCTTTCCTCCTTACCTAATCTCTCATCCTTTTCACCCCTCTCCTTCTCTCCACTCTCCTCCTGCCCTTCCCTCTCCTCCTTCTCTACTATTATATCGTTCCCAGTCTCCTCTCCCCTCACTTCCTTCCCTCCACTCTCCTCCTTCCCTTCCCTCTCCTCCTTCCCTCCCTTCTTTTCCTTCCCTACTATCACGTTCCCTACTGTCTCCTCCTTCTCTACCCTCACTTCCGTCCCTCCTTTCTCCTCCTTCCCTCCCCTCTCTTCCTTCGCTACTGCCTCCTTACCTGATGCCTCCTTCTCTTCCTTCCCTACTATCTCCTGCTCTCTCCGCTCTTCCTTCCCTTCTCTCTCCTCCTTATCCACTTTCTCCTTCCCTCCATTCCCCTTCCCTCCGTCATCCCTTCCGCATTCCTCCGCCAACCCCTTAGCCGGTTCCTCCAACCCCTTAGTCGGTCCCTCCAACCCCTTAGCCGGTTCCTCCAACCCCCTAGCCGCTTCCTCCAACCCCCTAGCCGGTTCCTCCACCAACCCCTCACCCGCCTCTAACCCCTTAGTCGGCTCCACTAACCCATTAGCCGGTTCCTCTAACCCCTTAGCCGGTTCCTCCAACCCCTTAGCCGGTTCCTCTAACCCCTTAGCCGGTTCCTCCAACCCCTTAGCCGGTTCCTCTAACCCCTTAGCCGGTTCCTCTAACCCCTTAGCCGGTTCCTCTAACCCCTTAGCCGGTTCCTCCAACCCCTTAGCCGGTTCCTCTAACCCCTTAGCCGGTTCCTCCAACCCCTTAGCCGGTTCCTCTAACCCCTTAGCCGGTTCCTCCAACCCCTTAGCCGGTTCCTCCAACCCCTTAGCTGGCTCCTCTAACCCCCTAGCCGGTTCCTCCAGGTCTAGCCATACTCTTTTCCGTCCTGACAATTTCACTTCCTCTGCAGCCTCCTCTGCTCCAACCGCCTCAACAGCTTTCTCTGCTACAGCCCCCTCTGCAGCCTTGGGCCCCTCAACTGCCTTGTCTGCTACAGCCCCCTCTGCAATCTTCTCTGCAACAGCCCCCTCTCCAGTCTTTTCTGCTACAATCTCCTGTGCTACGATCTCCTGTGCTACAATCTCCTGTGCTACAATCTCCTGTGCTACAATCTCCTGTGCTACGGCGGCCTGTGGTGTTCCAGCCTGTGGTGCTACAGTATGTGGTGCAACAGCCTGCGGTGCTACAGCCTGTGGTGCTACAGCCTGTGGTGCTACAGCCCGTGGTGCAGCCCCTTGTGCCACAACCGCCTGTGCTACAGCCTGTGGTGCTACAGCATGTTGAGCTACAGTATGTGGTGCTACAGCCTGTGGTGCTACAGCCTGTGGTGCTGCCTGTTGTACTACAGTCTGCGGTGCTACAGCCTCCTCTGCTACAACCAGTGGTGCTACAGCCTCCTCTGCTACAACCAGTGGTGCTACAGCCTCCTCTGCTACAACCAGTGGTGCTACAGCCTCCCCTGCAACAGCCTGCAGTGCTACAGCCTCCTCTGCTACAGCCTGTCCTGCAACAGCCTGCTGTGCTACAGCCTGAGACGCCTGGGCTACTGGCAGTGGCCTTTTCAACAACTCAATTTCCATCTCCTTCTCCCTCTCCTTCTCCTTATCCTCCTCCTTCTCCTTCTCCTTCTCCCCCTCCCCTTCCTCCTCTTTCTTCTTCTGTTCCCCTCTTTCCTCTTCCCTCCTCTTCGCAACCACTCCCTCCTCCATCCCACCCTCAGGTGCCTTTCTCTTGCGCCTCCCCTCGCCCGTAGTCCCCACCTGCTCCTGAGATAACTGTGGATCCACCTGAGACGCAACCTGAGAGGCGACCTGAGAACCAGCATGAGGGACAACCTGGGGGGAAGCCTGAGGGGAGACCTGAGGGGCAACCTGAGAGGGAACCTGAGGGGCGACCTGAGAGGGAACCTGAAACGCGACCTGAGGTGTCACTGCATGCACCACTGCTACAGTGGCTTCCAAACCAGCCACAGCTTTAGCTCCTGCCAACTGCTTGTGAAGCTCCTCCTGCTCCTCCTGCTCCAGCTGCACCGGTGCGTTTCTCCCATAACTGCCTATCCTGCCAACAGCAGCACTCCCCACAAGCTCTGCTTTAGTGACCTGCTCTTGCACCTGCGCCTGCCCCTCCTTCTCACTTCCTGCCCCTGCCCCTGCCCCTGCCCCTTCTTCTGCTCCTGCCCCAACTCCTGTCCCTGCCGCTCCTGCCCCTGCTGATCCTGCCACTGCTGCTCCTGTCCCTGCTGCCCCTGCCCCTGCTGCCCCTGCCCCTGATGCTCCTGCCCCTGCCCCTGCTGCCTCTGTTTTCGCTGCCCCTGCTCCTGTCTCTACCCCAACTCCTGCCTTCACAGGATTGATCAGCACACCTCTCCCTGCTCCAACCCCAGATGCCACTACAGCACTCCCTGACCCTGCGGTTGCTGCTGCCCCTGCTGCTACACCTGCTGCTGCTGCTGCTGCAGTTGCTGCGGCTACACCCTCTGCTGCAAGCAGGGGCGGTTTTGACCCAGCGGTAGCAGCAGCAGATGGAGCACAGGCAGGGGAGAACACAGGAGCGACAGCAACAGAAGAACCACTAGCTTCAGCCGCTGTTGTTGTGGCTGTTGCAGCAGCAGCAACAGCAGCTGTAGCTATACCAGCAGCAGCAGCTGTAGCCATACCAGCAGGAATAGCTGTAGCTGTAGCAGCAACAATACCTAGAGCTTTACCAGCAGCTGTAGCTGATCCAGCAGCAGCAGGGCCAGTGGCAGAAACTCTGTTCAACCCTTCTTCACTCCTTCCTTCACCCACCCCACCACCCGAAACCGCATCCTCTCTTCCTGCTGGTGCCTCTTTCCCACTCCCCTCGTCTGCCAAAGGCCCTCCCAGCTTCTCCACCTGCTGCTGTCGCTCTCTCCCTACCTCCTTCTCGCCTTCCCCTACCTCTTCTCTTCCTGCTGGTGCTACTTTCCCACTCCCCTCGTCTGCCAAAGGCCCTCCCAGCTTCCCCACCTGCTGCTGTCGCCCACCCCCCACCTCCTTCTCGCCTCCCCCCACCTCCTCTCTTCCTCCTGTTTCCCCTTTTCCCCCCAACTCCCCCTTCCCTTCCGCCTCTCCCTTCCCCCCCACCTCTCCCTTTCCCCTGACCTCTTCCTTTTCCCCCATCTCCCCACGTTCTTCCCCCTCCACCTCCTCCTCCCCCCCTGCCTCCGGACCAGCATTTAAATCCAAGTCTAGCCATCCCCGTCCCCCTCCTCCTCCTCCTGAGTCCCCACCACCGCCCCCTTTCTCCGAATGTTCCTGCACTTTCGGAGAGTCATCTGGCGGGGTGTTGACTGGGGGAGGTGCTATCTGTTCCTGATTTAGATCGGCGATTAAGGAGGCGGGTTTAGCTGCCACTGCCACTGCGACTGCAGCAGCAGCAGAAGCAGGGGCGGCAGGAATAGAAGGAGAAGCAGCAATAGGAGGAGCAGCAGCAGAAGAAGGAACAGCAGGAATAGCAGAGGGAGTAGCAAGAGAGGACGTGACAGTAACAGGAGGTGCAGCAACAGGAGGCATGCCCGGGGCAGCAGGAGGGGGCTGATTCATATCATGCCGTGACACAAACGAGGGGAGAGAAGGAATAGAGGGGAGAGACGGGAGAGAGGCAATAGAGGGGAGAGAGGAGGGGAGAGGGGGGTTATGGAGGTCAGGGCCAGACGCAGGGCGGGAAAGAGGGGTTTTTTGCAGGGAGGGTTGGGCAGAGGGGTGGGCGGAGGGGTGGGCGAAGAGGGAAGGGTTTGATCCGCGGCGGGGGATGGGGAAGGCAGCAGAGAGCTGCGGCGCTTGCTGTGGGTGTTGCAGCTGATGCTGCTGATGCTGTGGCTGAGCAAACTTTCCCTGCTGCTGCTGCTGCTGCTGCTGTTGCAGGGATGAGAGTTGCTGCTGTGCCGACTTTCCCTGAGCCCATGGCGACTGTACCCTAGTGGGCTCGTTCCTCGGACCCATAGGCGCTGCCGCTGAAGCAGTGGAAGCAGCAGCAGCAGCAGCAGCCGTGGCAGCACTGCTGCCCTTGCTACCACCAGCAGCAGCAGCACCATCACCAGCACCACCAGCACCTGCAGCACCAACACCAGCACCAGCAGCACCGGCGGCGGCGGCGGCGGCAGCTGCAGCAACGGCGGCGAATGGCTGTGTGACACCTGGCACTGGCAGGTGCTGCTTCTGAAGTAGTGCCTGCAGGGACTGGAGGGTACGGGTGGTGGAGTGAGGGGAGTGTAGGGAATGTGTGGGGGAGTGCAAGGAATGTGCGAAGAGATTTTTAAGTCAATTCAAAAAAGACACCTGGTGCTGGCTGGCTGGTAGGTGCTGCTTCTGAAGTAGGGCCTGTAGGGACTGGAGGGTACGGGTGGTGGAGTGAGGGGAGAGCAGAAAATGTGAGGGGGAGTGTGTGCGGTGTGGAGGGTGTGGGGAGTGATTTTTTAGTCGACACTAAAAAGGCACCTGGCATTGGCAGGAGCTGCTTCTGAAGTAGGGCCTGTAGGGACTGGCGGAGACGGGTTGAGTGCAGGGAGTGTGGGGAGTGTGGGGAGTGCAGGAAATGTGGCGAAGTGATTTTGAAGTCGAAAAGAGACACCGGGCGCTGGCTGGCGGGCAGGAGCTGCTTCTGGAGTAGAGCCTGTAGTAGGGACTGGTGGGGACGGGTGGAGCGCAGGGAGTGTGGGGAGTGTGGGGAGTGTGGGGAGTGTGGAGAGTGTTGCGGCGATTAAGAGCGTGTGAGGAGGGACAGGGATCAAGGGAAACCTGGCATTGGCAGGAGCTGCTTCTGAAGTAGGGCCTGTAGGGACTGGAGGGGACGGGTGGAGCGCAGGCAGTGTGGGGAGTGTTGCAGCCATAAAGAGCGTGTGGGGAGTGTGGGGAATGTGGGCAGGGGTGGTAATTACAAGAGTGTGAGGAGGGGCAAGAGGCAGGACGAACAGCGGGAGCAGCGGAACGTGTTTGACCAATGTGTGCATTCAATCACCCCAACAGCACCACTCGCACATACCAGTGTTTCACCAATACTGCCTTTTCACCCCTGCACTGCCACTCACATGTGCCGGGTTCTGACTACTGCTACGTGTATGAAGAAGTGTTTTGAGACGTCTCCTGACTACTTCATACAGGGGTTCATACACCTCTTCATTCATACACCTCTTCATTCATACACCTCTTCACGTGATAAATGTGTTGTTTTGAGACGTCTCAAAACAACACTTTTATCACGTGGCTACTTCATACAGGGGTTCATACACCTCTTCATACACATGTGTCAGGTTCTGACCACTGCTGGCAGCATTCGCTCCTGAGCTTGCAGCTGCACCGGGGAGGGTTAAAGCCCGAGTTTTGAGTCGAATCAAAAGCAGTACTCACATTCGTTAAGTTCTGACCACCGCTGCTTGCAGCATTCGCTCCTGAGCTTGCAGCTGCAGCGGGGTTAAAGCCTGCCCCTCGAGAGGACGGGCGAAAGGGGAGCGGGGGAGCAGGAGAACCAGTAAGAGGAGGAATATTTCCGCCTCGGCTGCTCCTTCCACCTCCTCCTGCCCCTCCTCCTGCTCCTCCTCCTGCTCCTCCTCCTGCTCCTCCTCCTGCTCCCCCTCCTACTGCTGACGGGGTGCTCGTTACAGGAACGCTGGTTTGGGCGAGGACGGACTGGGAGAGCCCCGTTTGTAGCACACCTGATAGCGGCACGCCTGCGTGGGCTAGCTTGGCCAGGAGGGACGCTGGAGGCTGTGTGACTGTAGGGAGGGAGGAGGAGGCGAAGAGGGCGCTAAGGCTGTTCAGAGCACCCATGCTGCTGCTGCTGTTACCTAAGCTGCTAGAAGCGGACATGCTATTATTCAGGGTGTTTGGTCCGCTCATGCCCATGCTACCCATGCTGCCCATGCTGTTGATAGCACCACTACTACCCATGCTACCGATGCTGTTAAGCCCACTCATCCCTATGCTACCTATGCTGCTAGTCCCACTGATACCCATGCTATCCATGTTAACGCCACTCAGACCCCCGCCAGAACCAAGCACAGCAGCAGCTGCAGCGTTAGCAGCAGAAGTAGCACCAACTGTAGCACCTGCAACGGCTGTAGCAGCTGTAGCGGCTGTAGCGGGTGCTGTTCCAGCCATGCCCGGCAGTCTCTGCAACAGCTGGCTGATTGAAGAGGCTCCAGGGGCTAAATTCGCAGCTACAGCCGCTGCTGCTAGGCTGGCTGGTAGCGCCGCCCCTGCCAGCCCACCCGCTCTCCCTGCTACAGTCCCTGCCGCCCCTCCTGCTACAGTCCCTGTCGCCCCTCCTGCTACAGTCCCTGCCGCCCCTCCTGCTACAGTCCCTGTCGCCCCTCCTGCTACAACCCGAGTCGCCCCCCCTGCTGCTGCAGTTGCACTGGTTGCTACAGCTGCAGCTGTACCTGCTGCTACAGCTGCAGAGAGGGAGGGAGAGGGGGATGATCCTGGTGTGGAAAGATGCGGGCTGTTGCTGGGAGGGAATAAAGGAGGGGACACAGACGTAGGAGCAGCAGAAGAGGGCTGGGCAGCAGCAGCAGAGGCAGCGGCAGAGGCAGAAGCAGAAGCAGAAGCAGAGGCAGCAGCAACAGCAGCAGCAGAAGCAGAAGAAGCAGCAGCCGCAGAGGCGGAGGAGGCGGCCATGAGAGCAGAGAGCACACCGCTGGGGAGGGGACCTGAGGAAGACGGGAACGGGCCTCCTGCGGGAAGCATGGACGGCCGGGGAAGGTGCGTGAATTGAGAGAGTGTGGTGGGGTGGCGGGGATTCGTGGCGTGTGATGGAATGCTGCTGCTGGTAGTGCTGTTAGTGGTGAAATTTGTTGGCATGCCGCTTGTGCTGAAACGGGATGGGACGGTGGCAGAAGTGGCATGGGCCGGAGCAGCGGCCGTGAAAGGCTGTGGTACTGCTGGTGGTGGTGCTGCTGCTGCTGCTGATGATGATGCCGGTGATGCAACTGGATGTGCGGATGGGGGCAGGGGGGCAGGAGAGTGGTGGCCTACAGATGTTGCAAGGCCTGCTGCTACTGAGCCTGCTGGGGGCCGCATTTGAGAATTCTCAAAAGCAACACCTACAGATGTTGCAAGGCCTGCTGCTGCTGAGCCTGCTGGGGGGCGAATCTGCTGCTGGGAGAAACGAGGAGGGACATGTTGCTCGTGTTGTTGCGGCTGCTTCTGCTGCTGATTCTGTTGTGATGGTTGTTGCTGCTGGTGCTGGTGATGCTGCTGTTGCTGCTGTTGTGACTGCTGTAGTGACGGGGCCTGTTGCGACAACTGCTGCTGGTGTTGCTGCTGCTGTTGCCGTTGCTGCTGTTGCTGCTGCTGCTGCTCCTGTTGCTGCGGCTGCTGCTGCTGCTGCTGCATCTGGAGCTGTCGTTGCTGCTGTTGCTGCAACTGCTGCTGGTTCTGCTGCAGCATCTGCAGTTGCTGCTGCATCTGCATCTGCAGCTGAGGTGGCAGAGCCTGCTGCAGAAACGCCAGCTGGCCCAATACCTGCTGCTGCTGACTCACCCCCTGCTGACTCAGCAGCTGCTCTGCCAGCTTGCCAAACAATGGGTGAGACGCCAACCCGGGGGGGAGCAACGGCATGTTGCCAGGTGGCAGGCTCCCACTGGCTGATGATCTTACTGTAGGTGCTGCCCCTGCTGGTCTGGACTGTAGCTGAGAGGGTAATTGCTGCACATGTTGTTGTTGCTGCTGCTGCTGTTGCTGCTGCTGCTGCTGCTGCTGCTGCTGCTGCTGCTGCTGCTGATGTGCCTGGTGTTGCTGTTCCTGTTGCCGCTGCTGGTGCTGTTGCTGTTGTTGCTGCTGCCCTTGCCGCTGCTGTTGTTGCTGCTGCTGCTGTTGCTGCTGCTGCTGTTGCTGCCGCTGCTGTAGCTGCTGGTGTTGCCACTGCTGTTGCTGCTGCTGTTGTTGTTGCAGCTGCTGCTGCCGCTGCTGTTGCAGCTGGTGTTGCTGCTGTTGCTGCGCCTGAGCTTGCACATGCAAGAAAGGAGAGGCGGAGTGCATGGGGTGAAACGAGACGGCTGGCACAGTTCCACCTGCTCCAGCCGCCCCACCTGGCCCACCTGCTACAGCCGCTCCTGCTGCTACAGCTGCTCTATTTGCTTGAGGAGGAGGGGAGGGAGACGGCTGCAATGGCTCATCTCCAAACCCTGGCCCATCATTCAAATCAAAGTCCAAAAACCGATTCTGTGATGCTGGTGGGGAAGTGGGGGCGGCAGGGGCAGCAACGGGAGCCGAGGGAGCAGCAGGCGCACCGTCAGCAGACTGCCTATTAGAGACTGAAGCAGCAGCAGCAGCAGCGCCCGCAGCAGGAGGTGGATGAGGAGGAAGAAACTCCGCCTCTTCCTCCTCCGCCTCCTCTGCAAAGTTCAGGTCAAACCCTCTAGGCGCAGGGGCAGGGGCAGGGGCAGGCGCAGGGGCGTGGGAAGAGACAGGGGCAGGTGCAGGGGCAGCAGCAGGAGGAGAGGTGGCTGCTGGACCGGTTGTAGCACCATCTGTAGCGGCAGCTGTAGCGTCTTCAGCAGTGTCCTCAGCGACGTTTAGGTCAAAGTCAAACAGAATGCGAGGCCGCTTCTCAGCCGGCTTCTCCTCCGGCTGCTTCTGCTGCTGCGGCTGCTGCTGCTGCGGTTGCTGCTGTTGCTGCTGTTGCTGCTGCTGCTGCTGCTGCTGCTGCTGCTGCTGCTGCTGCTGCAGAGCTTTGTCAGGAGATTTCTTTGCTCTGCTTGCCTTCCTCTTTGTCCCACCAGCCCCCCCTGTAGCCGCACCGGCCTTCGCCCCATGAGCCTGCCCCTGCTTCTCTGGCAACTGCGCTGCCTTCTGTGCTTGTGCCTGTGACTGCAACCCTCCTTGTGCTTGTGACTGTAACGAGTGCAGCCCCTGCTGCGAATGTGATTGTAACGAGTGGAGCCCCTGTTGTACCTGTACCTGTGATGCTTTCTGCCCATGTGATTGTACGCCTTTTTGTGACTGTAACGACCCTTTCTGTGCTTGTAGTGGCAGGCCCTTGTGCAGCTGTGACTGTGACACTAACGGGGACTGCTGCGGCTGCTGCTGCGGCTGTTTTGAAGACCCGGCTTGGCCGTGCATCAGAGCCTGCTGCAGCTGCTGCAACCCAAGCACCCCATCCTCCTCACCCGCCTCCTCCCCTTTGGTCAAACCCACTCCCTCCTGCACCTGCTGCTGCTGCTGCTGCTGCTGCTGCTTCAACTGCTGTTGCTTTAACAGTTGCTGTTGCTTTAACAGTTGCTGTTGCTGGTGCATCAGCTGCTGCTGCTGACGAGCCTTCGCCTCCTTCCTTTCAGTTGCCTGTTGCTTCTGCAGCCGCCGCAGCGGAATATCCTCCTGCTTTTCCTCCTTCTCCTGCTTGCCCTGCTTCTTTGGTGTTCCCACCTTCCCACCCGCCTCCCCTGCACCGTCCTGCTTCTCCTCTTTCGCTACCTCAACCGCAGCCCCTGCCCCAGCTCCTGCTGCTGCTACTGCTGCTGCTGCTCCTCCTCCCACTGCTGGTGCTGCTACTCCTGCTGCTCCTGCTGCTCCAGCTGCTCCTGTTGACACTCCAGTAACTCCTCCCCCTCCTTCTCCTCCTGCTCCTCCTGCTCCTGCTCCTGCTGCTGCTGACCCATCCTTGGCTTTAACCAACCCACGTGGTTTCCCCACTCCTCCAGCCTTCCGTGCCCCTTCCCCTCCAGCCTTCGACACCCCTGCTCCGGTCCTCTTCCTTGTCACTTTCACCTTCTCCCCCCCTTCCTTCTTCTCTCCTCCCTCTTCCTTCCTCTCCCCTGCTTCCTTCCTACCCCCGTCCACTGCCCTCTCCCCTTCTTCCCTCTTCTTCCCACTCCCTTTCCCCCTCTTACCCCCCACTCCCCCACTCCCCACACTGTCAGTATCCCCATCACCACACACCTTCAGCCGCTTAGCAACAGGCATCCTCACCTGCTTCTCCCCTTCCGCCTCTCCAGCTCCCCCCGCTCCCTCTGCCTCTCTCCCTTCCGCACTCCCTGCCCCCGCGCCTGCCCCAGAGCCTACCGCAATATCTGATCCGGCCACCCATGCCCCCTCGCTCTTCTCCCTCTCAATCTCAGCAGCAAGAGCCGCCCGCCAGGGACTTTGCAAGGCGGCAGGGAGAGAAGGAGCAGACAGGGAGGAGCGGTGGGAGAGAGGAGGGGACGACAGGGGGGAAGGGTGCGAGGGGAGCGCCGAGGACAGGGAAGCAGCGTGCAGTGCAGCACTGGCTGCAGCTGCTGCAGCAGCAGCAGAGGCGAGAGCAGAGGCCGTGGGAATGGTATCAGAGCGACTGGATCTGGAAATCAGTTGCCCGTTTTGCCGGCCCTTGCCCTGCCACTTACCAGACGCCAAAACTGCTGCCACACTCAACTCCTCTTCATCCTCTGAATCTGCTGCCCCTGCCCCTGCCCCTGCCCCTGCTCCTGCTTCTGGTTTCACAGCTGCGTCTGCAACCCCTGCTGCTGCTGCTGCTGCTGCTGCTTCCCCAGCTGCTGCTGCCCCTCCTGAAGCCAAACCTACCTCCCCCTTCACATCTGCCACTGTCCCGTCCTCCAGTCTCCCTCTGCTGCCCAGGTTACCATCAGTGAACCCCCCCTCCCCTTCGTCCTTCGCTTCTGCAGCTTTCAGAAGGCATTCAATCGCTAGCTGATCTGCACTTGGCCCATCCTCCACGTCCCCTCCCGTGCCCCCTCCTATGCTCTTTCCCATGCCTCCACCCGTGCTGCCACTTCCTATCCCTACCATCCCTCCCGTCTCTCCCGACTCCTCCATCATTCCTCTCTCTTGCCCGACCCTTGACTCCCCATCCCTGCTCGCCCGCCCACTCACCTTCTCACTCAAACGCCCAGTCAGGCCCCCAAACCCTAATTTTCTGCCCCCGCCACCACTCCCCTCAGCGCCTCCCCCAGATGGCACCTCCCCCGGATCAGCCCGCTCAGCACCCGCCACGCTCATCAGCGACGCCAGCACTGTAGCAGTCTCGGTGGGCGGCGGATCCTTGTCCGCATCTGCACTGTTGCAGTTGCCGCCGCCCGCCAGCCCTCGAGAATCAGAGGCATTTTCTCTCACCCCTTGGGGTTCACTGGGTGTAACAGCTCTGCTTACCCCACACTCATCCATACCACCAGACTCAGTAGCAAGAACAGCAGCAGGACCTGCAGCGGGAACAACAGCAGGAGTAGCAGCATCAGCCGCAGCAGCAGCAGCACCACCACCACCACTATCACCAGCAGCTGCTGCAGTTGCAGCTCCAGAAGCAACGGGAACATCTGCAGCAGCAGTAGCAGGCGTAGCACCGTCACCCACACCTCTCAACCCACTCGCAATCTCACTCAACCCCTTGGGACTCCTCCTTTCTGTTTCACCCCCGTCCCCCTCGGAAACGGCAGGAGAGGCACCCCTAGAACCCCCCATGGGCAGCCAAGGAACAGGGGACCGCCTCCCCTTGGGGATCCGAGGGAGCAAAGGAGAGGAGGGAGGAGGGGCGCGAGGAGGGGAGGAGAGAGAGGAGAGAGAGGACGTGAGGGGGTGGAGTGTGGGCTCGTGGGTGGAGTGAGGGGGGGAGGAAGGGAGGGTGCTGGGGCGGGAAGCTTCCATGACTGAGGCAACGGCAGCCATCTTGACTGCCTTGACTTTCTTGACTGGCCGGTGGGAGAGTGGCGAGGGGATGACGGTGCCCTTTATAATCACAGCCGATCGCCTGCCTGTGACTATGCCTGGAGGGACGGGAAGAAAAAGCCGAGGCGAGAGAGAAGAGAACGTTTGTAAGAGGAACTGTAGGGAAGGCAGTAGGGGAGCCCTGGCACAACGGTGGTAAGAAAAGGGATAGACAGGAGGAGACGGGTTGGGGGAGACCGGAGGCAAAAGTGGTGCATAGTGGGAGGGAGTGAGAGAAGGCACAAACACAGAAACAAGAAAATAAAAAGAAAACAATTTTAACAGTCAGCAGGACACTAAGTGGAACTAACAGGGTAAACAACCACTATCATTATGATATAATGAACTGGAAAAAAAAAAAACATAAATAAACAAAAAACAATCACCACACGCACACACACACACACACACACACACACACACACACACACACACACACACACACACACACGCACGTCTCCTACCATAATCAGAAAACCAACACACTCACTTGAGCCAGTGGGGGCACGGGGCCGATCGCTGTCCGACCCTCTTCTTCTGGGCGGCAGATAGTCCGAGAACTGCCGCCCTCCACCAGTTGCCATCGCCACGTCAGCCCTCTGCCCTCCTCCACTCCCAGGGCCAGGATCGCTCTCCCTCTCTCTCACACCCTCCCTCTCTCTCACACCCTCCGTTTCTCTCCCCGCCTCCCTTTCTCTCCCCCCGTCTCTTTCTCTCACTCCCTCTCTTCCCTTCCTCTGCTCACTTTCCTTCGCGCCCTCAAACTCACCACGCCCCTCCACAGGACCATTCCCAGAAGCTTCCCGCTCCTTGCACTCAGCACCCAATCTCTCTTGCTCCCTCCTCCCACCCCAACCCTTCCCTGCCCCTCCTGACACCTCTGCAGCATTCCCCTCGCTCATCCGATCTCCTGTTAGTGTCTGCTCGCCACTAACAGGAGGACTCGCAGCTTGGTTCTCAGCATTCCTCCTGCCCTGACGCTCCAGGGATTTACTCTCAGAAGCAGCCCCACTTGCTGCTCCCCCCAGATCTGTCACACCATTTTTTTCCTCCTCCGCCTTTTCCTCCTCCTCTTTCCCACGTTTGTTCACAGAAAATCTTACAATTAGCCTTCTCTCGTCCCCACCACCAACTTCTGCCCTCTCCTCCTGCTCCCCCTGCTGCTGCTGCTGCTGCTGCTGCTGCTCCGTTTTCCCCTCCTGCTCTCCCTGCTGCTGCTTCAGCCCCTTACCATCAGAACCTTTTTCCCTGCCACTTACCTCTTCCCGCCCATCTCCCGTCCCTCTCCCTGCACCTTCCTTCAGTGTCTCGCCCGTAACAGCACCCTCCTTCTCTAATGGCCCTGCAACGGCTGTCTCTGCTAAAAAGCCTATCAAGTCTTTCCCTGATTCTCCTCCTCCCCCTAATCCCCCTAATCCTCCTACTCCTACTCCTTCTTCCCCCTTCAAGCCCCCTTCCTGTGTCACCATCCCCTGCTCTCCTGCCCCACCGCCCTTATCTGTCCCTGCCCCTGCCCCTGCCCGCGTCTCTGCTCCCGTTTCTTCTTTTGCCTTTTCCCCTGCTACCTCCTGTCGGCCTCCCCCACTCCTTCTCCCACTACCCACGTCACCAGAATCTTGCCTTGCGTCCCCACCATCACGACCACCACCAGAATCAGCGCCACCAGCAGCACCAGCACCACCAGCAGCACCAGCACCACCAGAACCACCACCGACAACCGCGCCAGCACTTTTAATCTCTCCCCCCATCTCATCATCACCCCGTTCCCCATCCCTCCCCGCCTCCCCCTGTTGCTTACTCCTCTCCTCCTTTTCACTTCCTGCCACCCCACCTGCAGCCCCAACCCCACTCCCTCCTGCAACCCCCCCACCTCCTGCTGCTCCCACAGCCGCCCCCTCAGCAAGCAAGGCACTTGCGGCAGAGTCACCACCCACGCACTCTCGCCCTGCAACTGCCCCATCCAACGCACTCTCGGCCATGCCCTTGACAAGCAAATCTGCCTTGCTCTTTGTATCTCGATCTGCCTTGTGCTTCGTATCACACTCTGCCTTGCTGTTCGTATCTTGCTCTGCCCTGGACCCATCCCTATCCGCCCGCCCTTCTCCTTCTTCTGGCTTCCCTGTCTCTCCAGACACCCTCTGTGCGCCTCCTTGCCCTCCTGCGCCCTCCCCACCCTCCACTCGCTCTGCTGGACTGCCTCCTTCCTCCTTCCTTCCCTTGTCTTTCTCCTTGTCCTTCCGGTGCTCCCTCTCTTTCTCCTTCTCCTTCTCCTTCTCCCTCTCCTTCTCCTTATCCTTGTCCTTATCCTTATCCTTCTCCTTCTTCTCTTTATCCCTCTCCTTCTCCCTCTCCTTTTCTTTCCTATCCTTTCTGTCCTTCCCCTTCTCTTTCTTCCCCTCCTTACCCTCCTTACCCTCCCTATGCTTATGCTTACTCCTCTTAGACTCCCTATCCCTATCCTTCGACCCTCTCTCCTTCTCCTTCCCTTTCTCCCTATCCTTCTCCCTCTCCCTCTTCCTCCCATGCTCCCTATCCCTCTCCACCTCCCGCCCCTCACTCTCTTTCTCCCCTTTCTTCTCCCTCCCCTTCCCATCCACCCCACTCTTCCTCTCCCCATCCTCCTCCCCACGCCCCTCACCCTCCTTCTCCCCTTTCTTCTCCTTTCCCTTCCTCCCCTTCTCCTCCTCCTCCCTCCGACTCCCACTAGACGCCTTCTCGCTGCTGCTGCGCATAGGGGAACTCGCAACTTGACGGCCCCCCACCCCACCGGCTGGGCTAACAGCAGGGCTCTTTACAGGTACTGGGATCTTCACCACTAGCCGATTTATTGTCGCAGACTCTCCTTTTTCTGCTGCTTCAGAACCTGCGGCAACATCAGCAGCTGCAGCGGCAGGAGGAGGAGAAGGAGCAGTGGCAGCAGCAGCAGCAACAGCAGCCACGGTTTCTGATTTACCCCCTTCTTCTCCAACCACACGAGCACCAGCACCATCATTCCCAGCTGCCCCTGCACCATCCTCTGATCCGACCCCACCTCTCGTTCCATTCAGTGTTTCCTCCAAGCCCGACTCTGTTTCCTTGACACCACTAGCTCCTTCGCCCCCCTCTCTCCTCCCCGCGAATTCAGCCCCTTTCTCCGCCTTCTCCCCACGCTCGTTCTCTCCGTCTTCCCCCTCCACCCCTTCGCCTTCGTTTGCCGTTCCCTCCTCAGCCAACCGCGGTCTCTCCGCCTCCCCTGGTGAGAATCTTCTGGCCTCCACCTCCCTTTCCTCCTTCCCTTCCTTATCCTCCTTTCCATCCTCTTGATCCTTCCCCTCCTTTCCTTCCTTCCCCTCCCTCCTTTCCCTCCGCTTCTCCTTCTCCTCATTCTCCGTCTCTTGCGGAGGCACAGCCTCTCCCTGCGGTTTGCTCGAACCAGCTCGCTCCTGCAGCCTCCCTTGCCCATCAGACGACTCAGCGGCAACAGAACCCACAGCAGACGCGGCAGCACCATCTCTTTCCGCTGATCTTTCTGCTTTTGACGGCTCACGGCCGGCCACAACGCCCTCCTCTTTCAGAACCCCTTTCCCTGGTTTGCTCCCCGTCCCCGCTTTCTTCCCCTCTTTTTCCTTCTCCTTCTCCTTCTCCATCTCTTTCTCCTTCTTCTCCTTCTCCTTCTTCTCCTCCTTCTCCTTCTCCTTCTCCTTCTCCCTCTCTCTCTCCTCCTCTGCTTGCAATGACCCACTTCTTTGTTCCTCCCTCTCCTCTCTCTTCTTCTCTTCTCCCACTTCCTGCTCCCGAGCATCTCCCTTCCCCTCTCCTCCCACCCCAGTAGCCCTTCCCTCCGCCCGTTCCGTTCCCTTTCCTTTGCCTGCCGAACCTACTCCTTTCGGACTCACTATCTTACCTCCACTCCCACCCGCTTTCTGTAACCCACCCGCGTGACCCTTCTGGTTACCACTTCTCAGGCTACCCGGCGAAACCTGCGACTCCCCCCTGCCCTTGGGACTGCCCCCCGGAACGGACAAGGGGGAAGGTGGCGGCCGCCCCCCTTCCCCCGCTCCGCCTCCCCCTCGCCCCCTCCCCGCCCCCGGCGTCCCACCGAGGTCTCCCCCGTCCCCTGCCGAGCCACTAGGTTTGGCAGCCCGAAGTTGTCCCGAGCCTACCGTGTGCAGGGTTGGTGAAGACGCAGGGGAGGAAACAGCGGAAGGTCGCAGGGGTGATGCGGCCACAGGTGTGACTATAACGGGTGCCCCTTTTTTCACTCCTGCCCCCCCTGTCCCTGCTTCTGCTCCTGAAGCTGCTGTCCCTCCACTTGCTGCTGTACCTACGTTTGCAGCGGCTCCCCCTCCCCCTGCACTTCCCCCTGCGCTTCCCCCTGCACTCCCCCCTGCGCTTCCCCCTCCCCCTGCGCTCTTCCGCCCCATGTTCTCCGCGAGCGTCTCGTCCACGCACTTCTTCCAAACCTCCACCAACCGCTTTGCGCGCCTCTGCACCTCCGCGTTCCGCTGGCTGCGTAGCTGGTTCACCGATTTGCCCACCACGCAGCTCTTAAGCGCCTCGAGATCCACCGGCAATCGCGCTAACGCGCGGAGAAGCGCCAATAAGAGGTCGTCTAGCGCGGCCTGATCGACTGTATCCCCCCCTCTGCCGCTTCCGCCGCCGCCGCTGCCGCTGCTGGTGGTGTTCCCGTGGCTGTATTTGCCCTTGTGCGTTTCCTGCAGCCATTCGTCTAGGGTTTTCAGGCCCCCTTTTGCGATGAAATGCGACAGGCACGACTCCTCGTCCGTGGCTGCGACAGCGTGAGCGACCGCGCGACGACGTGCGACGGCGTCGGCGAAACTGAGCTTCCGTCGCCCGTCGCTCTTGTCGGAGTTCACAAGCAAGAGAAGCGACTCCACGGCTTTAAGATTCGGCAAACCACCTCCCGGTTTCGAGCAAACCGCATTAATGTCCGCGAGAAGCGTTGAAAGATGCTTGTCGAGCGGAGGCGAAGGATCGTGATGTGAAGTTCGATGCGCATCCTGCGAAGCTCTTGGTCCGGGATCACTACTATGAGTCCTCTGCCCCGCGTGTCCCGCGTTTCCCGCGTGTCCCGCGTTTCCCGCGTGTCCCGCGCTTCCTGCGTTTCCCGCGTGTCCTGCGTCGTGTCCATGATGGGATCTCTGCCCATGCGGAACGTGAGGAGCAGTCGACATTAACGATGCGAGGGGACGGGTTGGGCCGCCATGGCCGTCGCTGTCCCTCTCCCTGTGCGACCGATGCCGCTCCTTCCCCGTGTTCTCATCGTCGTCCCCCTCGCCCTGCCGTTGTTTTCCGCTCGGCATCCCGAACAACCGTGGCAGTGCAAATGTTACCCAACCGCGAGGACTGATGAATGCGTAGGTTGGGATTATCAGTTAACCGCAGGATTGTCTGGTATTACGAACAGAAACTGTTCCTCTAATAACTAGCCTCATAGCATGGAGGATCTATAGACTTCTTTATTCGCTAGAATCGTGACGCCTGAGAAGTGGCGGACGGAAAGATCTTGAGTCCAACCAGCTGCTTGGAAGAAAAAAAAGGGAAAAGTGGAAAAGGAGAGAATGCAACGGATGCTATTCAGAAGCTAGATGACAATAAAGAAAAAAACAAAAACAAATCAAAATGAAAAACAAACAAACAATAAAACAAAACACCCAACAGAAAAACACAACATGGCATGCATGCGGAAACCGATGTAAATCGCTCGAAGGGCGCTATGTATACAGCCCTGAATTACCATATTTGAATGGTCGCCGTTACATCTGTATGACATCTGCAAGCGAAATAAAATTTACACTATCTAATAGAGAAGCTTACTCGGGTGACAGCTCCCTGCTGAAACAAATAGCCGGGTCTTGGAAAAAAAAAAATGAAACTGGAACTTCATCGGCTTAATTCCCTCAGCATAACTGCTCACACTAGCTTGAACTCTCGTTTCCCAAGAGACGCTCAAGAAACATCAGTAACAACCACGGAGCAGGAAGAATCGAGGAAGTGGAATCAGATCTGTAGTTGGAAGAAACGGATGTGCTGGAGGCGGCGCAGAGGTTACGGGGAAGGCGGAATATGTAGGGGGGGAGGTGTTTGAAGGCTTGGTTTGGGTCAGGTCCGGCGGAGGCCCTCGACCTCGAGATCTGGTATCACGTACGGTACTGTACAACACTGGGAGTACAGTAATTCATACTTGGACTTTCCGGGCTGTTGCAGCATTTCTTGCCGGTTTGGAGTTACAGCTAGTGTACCACGTTGGTATGTCAGAATCGAGCTACGGGTTATAGAATAAACCCTACGGGTGATTGAATAGTGAAGCTCCCAATAGGCACATCTACACCCTGTAAACCACACTATTCAAGGGAAGAGTGGGCGAACACGAATCAAAATTCACACAAGACGGAGGCGAGGAGGAGGGAGGGGAAGACTCGTCGAAGGCGGGCGGGGGACAGAGCATGAGGCAGGAGGGGAGGGGAGGAGAGGGTCACGCACGGAGCTGGGCTCGGCGGGATCTGAGGAAGCTGGGGCGGGGAGGGGAAACTGGCAGGCGGGAGTCAAGCGGAGCTTGGATGGAGTTGGAGTGAAGAACTTGATCTAGCTACAGTAACTGTGAGCTCGACTTTGCTGCAAGACAGCGGCATGCTGCTGACGAGGACATAGGGGAAAGATTGCTTTGGCACCTTCTGCAACTGGTGCGACAAGCTGACAGTGCCAACAGAAACCGATGGGAGAGAGACCAGAGCGAGCCATAAGTTGCAGCAATTTGCGCGATGCTCCCAAGGTCCATCTTCCTCACCGAATTACAGTACACCCTCTTTCTCAACCTTTTCACCTTGCGCGATAATCAAACAACCTAGAAAAGCCATTTTACACAGCTCGATAAGTCGCTTGTGAACTGTAGTGCACATTATACTGTACAGCGGCGTTTGCGGGTGTAATCAATGTGGATCTGTGATCTTGTTTTTGAACCGCCAGCATACGCGATACAAGAAATAACGCGGTAAAGAAGTTCTTTGCAGCAGTCAGTACGATTTTGGCCTAACCCCCTTCACATTCATGTGTTCAGTATAGAAAACTATCATTTGCATTCCAACGATCTGGATGTGATCTACCTATGTTGTTCTCGCACCGCCACCACACAGGATAAATTACAGGACCGCGGAATCTTGATAGCAAAAACCATATGCGGCTACTGTATCATAATACATCGTAGAAGATTCCAGATTGCACGTCGTCCAGGTATATGTACCGTCCATCTTATCAGCCAACATACAGATGAGCACTAATATCCATCGACTGTGTTCCACGGTTCCACCCCCTGTGGTATGCACATGCACGGGCACCTGAAACCGTGACACGAAGAGTCAAAGGCAACACTACATGCTGCAATGCAATACTCGCCTCTCCTCTCTCATCCACCATCTTCAATCAGCCAACGTACAAACGAGCCCCAATATCCATCATCTGCTTGCCACCCCCTGTGGTATGCACAAACACAGGCACCTGAGCCATGACACGGAGAGTCAGCGGCAGCACCACAGGCTGCAACACTCCCCCTTCTCCCTCATCTCCCACTCCCGCTGCCGCCTCCGCCGCAGCTGCCAGCCCTCCATCAACCAGCAAGATACTGTCATCCTCGTTATAAGTACCACCTCCTCCACCGTCTGCGTCATCATCTCCTTCGAGCAAACCAGGCGAGATGCTCCGGGCAAGATCGTCTGCTGCCAGGCCTGCAATTCCAGTAGAATCCTCCAAACCTACATTTGCCACTGCATTGGTACTGCTCTCCTCACCACCACCACCACCACCACCACCACCACCACCACCACCATCATTCTGAACCAACGCTGATGGTGATATCAGATGGGCTAGATCATCTGCTGGTAGACCTTTCACTGCTGCTGCCTTGCACTCTGAGGCGCTCCCAGCCTCGCCGTTCCGAGCATGGTCTTTCCGAGCCTTTCCGTTCCGAGCCTTGGCGTTAGCCTCGGAGGGTGGAGGCTTGGCGCTGATGATGACAGTACTAGTGGCAGCAACCCATTGGCAGGTGGTGTTGGGGATGGAGTTGAAATGAATGGGTCGCTCCATCTGGACAGTGAGGAGGGGGGAGCGGAGAAGAGGGACAGGTAGGGTAGATAGGAATTGAAGAAGAGACCAGCGGAGCGTAGAAATGAGAACAACACCCAAGGTGGAGACGCTTTGGCAGGTGGTGTTGGGAATAGAGTTGAAATGAATGGGTCGTTATATCTGCACAGTGGGGAGGGAGGAGAAAAGAAGGCAGGGACGGGAAATGGTCATTGGGAGGAAATGTTGGCGATGGGGTTGAAGTGAATGGGTCTCTCCATCTGCACAGTGGGCAGGGAGAGACAAACAGCCACCACAACTCACCCCAAAGCGTTCAATGTAGACGCTCATGTAGCGCGGCCCAATTGCGGTCACCCAGGCCTTAGAAAGGCACCCCTGGGTGCGGCGCAGCAGCAGGCACAGGAACAGCCGCTCGCTCGCCTCCTGCTTGCATATAAGCGTAGCACTCGCCTGCAGTCCATTACCCACCCCAAACAACCTCAGCACACCCAGTTTCCACTCACCCCAAAGCGTTCGATGTAGACATTCATATAACGCGGCCCAATGGCAGTCACCCGCGCGTTGGAGAGGCACCCCTGGGTGCGGCGCAGCAGCAGGCACAGGAACAGCCGCTCGCTCGCCTCCTGCGCGTATCGGGCGGCGAGCTTCCTCTCGTTGCACCGTGTCGCCACGTCAGCGACGGCGTCGGCGGGCGGCATCGCTCGTTCCTTGTGCACCAGCTGGCACTCATGCCGCACTGCGGTTACCAGCTCGCGACGTAACAAGATCTTCTTGTCTTCATTCCCCTCTCCTCCTCCTCGCCCTCCCCTTCCTCCTCCCCGTCCTCTCCCTCCCCGTCTCCCTCCCCGTCTCCCTCCTGTCCCTCCTCTCCCTCCTGTCCCTCCTCTCCCTCCTGTCCCTCCTCTCCCTCCTGTCCCTCCTCTCCCTCCTGTCCCTCCTCTCCCACCTCGCCCTCCCTGCATACCCTCCTCCCCTGCAAACTCTCCCCTCCCGTCTCCCTTCCCCTCTCCTCCACTCCCTCCACTCCCTCCACTCCCTCCACTCCTTCCACACCCTGCCAGCAGCCCCAGCGGATCCCCCACAGCAGTGAGCACCCTACCTCCAGCCGCTATCCCAGTCAGCTTCCTAAGCAGCGTAACGTTGACATCACCACTCACCTCATGCCTATTCCCTCCTGCTCCTTCTGCTCCACCCCTCTCTCCTTTCTCACTTGTCGCCCCACCTGCTTCTCCTGCTTCGCCTGCTTCTCCTGCTCCTCCTGCTTCCCCTCCTGCACCCAACCCCCTCTTCTCCCACTTCACACTGCTGCTCAGCCCCATCCTCGCTATAAGCCTCTCCTCTGCCGCCAGCGCGGCCGCCAGCTGGCGGTGCACGATGACGTCAGTGTAGCGGCGGATCGGGGAGGTGAAATGCGTGTACAGGTCGAGGGCCAGCCCGTAATGGGACGTCCATTCGCCTTCTCCACCAGATGTACCTACTTTCCCACCAGAACTACCTCCCACAGATATACCTCCCCCGGATCTACCTCCCCCAGACCTACCTCCCCTGCCAGATCTGCCTCCCCCAGATCTACCTCCCCCAGACCTGCCTCCCCCAGATCTGCCTCCCCGAAATCCACCTCCCCTGAAAAACCCATCATTATCGTCACCACCATCATCACCATCACCATCCCCATCCCCATCCCCATCATTCCCACCCCACTGTCCTCGGCAGAAGTACTGAGCCAGCTGCATGGGTTCAGTCGCCATCAGCAGCAGCAGCGCTTTCTCCCCTGGATCCTCCACCGCCCGCCCCACCTCGTTAAGTATTTCACTTAGCACTTTGGACGGTATCACTCCATCCATGCCACCCCCGCCTCCCTCCGTCTCCCCTTCTCCCATCTCCTCCAAGCCTCCAGCCCCTCCCGCCCCGTTTGTACCCGCTATAAGCTGCTTCAATTCCGGGCACTCTTGCACCAGCTTCTTGCAGAACCCTGCTGAGAGCACACCCTGCTGGCAGGCAAAGCGCAGGAAATCGCCCATCTTCTTGGCGTTGGGCGGGGGGTGGCGCCTGCACGGGGCAACAAGGCAGGGGGCACAGGGGGAAAGGGGAAAGGGGAGAGTGCCAGCACTTGAAACCTGCTGACAGCACACCCTGCTGGCATGCGAAGCGCAGGAAATCGTCCATCTTCTTGGCGTTGGGAGGGGCGTGGCGCCTGCACGGAGCATGGGGCACGGGGTGAGGGAGGAGGTGAGGGGGGAGGGAAGGCGAGGGAGAGGATAATGAGCAAGGCACGCCCCGGTTGCAGGCGAAGCGCAGGAAATCGCCGATCTTCTTGGCGTTGGGCGGGGGGTGGCGCCTGCACGGGGCAACAAGGCAGGGGGCACAGGGGGAAAGGGGAAAGGGGAGAGTGCCTGCACATGAAACCTGCTGACAGCACACCCTGCTGGCATGCGAAGCGCAGGAATTCGCCGATCTTCTTGGCGTTGGGGGGGGGGTGGCGCCTGCACGGGGCATGGGACACGGGGCACAGGGTGGGAAAGGAGCAGGAGTGTTAACAACGACGATGTGGGAGGCACACTAAGCCTGCTGACAGCAAGGTGACTTTTGAGTCGACTCAAAAGTCACAGGGTGGGAAAGGGAAAGGAGCAGGAGTGTTAACAACGATGATGTGGGAGACACACGAAGCCTGCTGACAGCACACCCTGCTGACAGCACACCCTGCTGACAGCACACCCTGCTGGCAAGCGAAGCGAAGAAAGGCGCCCATCTTCTTGGCGTTCGGAGGGGGGTGGTGCCTGGACAGGGCACGAGCACGGGGCACGGAGCATGGGGAGAAGTCACAGGAGAGATGACGATGTGGAAGGCCTGAACCCTGCGGGGAGCACGCCTGTGGACCGTACCTGATGCTGCAGGGTTTTTTTGAGAATTCTCAAAAAAACCCTGCAGAAGTCACAAGAGAGATGACGATGTGGTAAGGCATGAACCTGAGGGAGCACGCCTGTGGCAGGGAGCACGCCTGTGGACGGTACCTGAGCAGGGCATGGGAAGGGAAGGCTCGAGATATGATGCTGTAGGGTTTCTTAGCGAATTCTCAAAAAAACCCTACAACAACGGTGGTGTTGGCCAGCAGCATCAGCTCCTCCTCCAGATGGTCCGCTGCTGCTGTCGCTGGTGATTTTTATATTTCAGGTGAAGGGACAAGGTGTATTGGACAATACCTGAGCAGTGCATCAGAGGGGAAGGCTCGAGATTCTCGAGCAGTGCATCAGAGGGGAAGGCTCGAGATTCTCGAGCAGTGCATCAGAGGGGAAGGTTCGAGATATAATGTTGGCGACGGCGGTGTTGGCCAATAGCATCAGCTCCTCCACCAGATGGTTCGCTGCTGCTGTGCTTAAGGTTTCTTGTTTAAGGATGCTGTGTTTAAGTAAGAGGCCAACTGGACATTACCTGAGGAGCGCATCGGAAGAGAAGGCTCGAGAGATGATATTGGCAACGGTAATGTTGGCCAGAAGCATCAGCTCCTCCACCAGGTGGCTCGCTGTTGCAGTTGGAAGTTTCATATTTGAAGGAAAGAAGGCCTACTGGACAGTACCTGAGCAGAGCATCGGAAGGGAAGGCGCGAGAAATGATATTCGCCACGGTGGTGTTGGCCAGAAGCATGAGCTCCTCCACCAGATGGTTCGCTGCTGCTGTTGCCGGCGCCACCGCTGCACCCACAGGCCTCCACTTATTACCATTGCTACCGCCACCGCTGCTGCTGGTGCTGGTGCTGGTGTTGGTGTTGGTGTTGGTGTTGTTGGTGTTGTTACCCACGCCCACATCCCCAATGCCCCCCAGCTCCTCCTCCCCCTCCTCCCCTTCCTCTGCATCAAAGGAGAACCTCAGTTTGGATGTCTGCAGCTGCATGAGCGCACCCCTCTCCTCCCTTGCCCGTCTCAGGCTCTGCGCTATACGGTGCAGCGCCAGCACGTCTCCAATCACATCGTGCCACCTGTGGCCTCCGTATACGACCGGCCGCCAGTCCTCGTTCACTCTGCCGTCCAGCTTCCCCACCCCTCCACTGCCTCCTCCCCCTCCGCCCCCTCCGCCTTCTCCGCCCTCTCCGTCCCCTCCTCTGCTCCCCGCCCCCTCACTCCCCCCTTCACTCACACTCCCAATCCCACTCTCATCATCCCCCTCCTCCCTCACCTCCTTCCCCTTCTTCCCCTCTCCCCCTCCCCGCCCCCACCCTGCCACCTCCTCCCCTCCCCCAAACCTCCCATCGATCATCTCCTGAGCATGCCCATACGCCAGCTGGACGCACGGACGAATTACAGACCTTCCCGCCCACTACCGCCTCACCTCCCCCGTTACAGTCACATCCCACACCACCGAGAACGCCAGCCTGTCAACCCCCGGCTGTAGCGAGCAGAGGTCCTCGCACAGCGGGCGGGGGAGCATCGGCATGGCCTGCTGGATTAGATACACTGTCGTGCACCGCCGGGCGGCTTCGGCATCTAGTGCGGATCCGGGCGGTATGAAGTATGACACGTCAGCAATGTGAACGCCCACTTGGTACAACTCCTCCTCCTCTTCTTCCTCCTCCTCCTCTCCTCCCTCCTTCTCCCCCTTCCCCTCCTCTTCTCTCTCCTCCTCTGCCTTCTCCCCCTCTACCTTCCCTAACCCCCCCTTCCCCTTCCCCTTCTCCTTCCCCTTTCCTTTTTTCTTCCCCTTAGCCCCCCCAGCCCTTATCCTCGTTATAGAGAGAGCATCATCCAAATCTCGAGCAGTGGGAGGGTCGATAGTGAACACCCGCTGGCCCCTAAAGTCCCTGCGAACTGCTATCTCCTCTGCAGGAATCTGCCACCCGCTGCTGCTGCTGCTGCCGCCGCCGGTGCTTACACCCTCATTAGTATCACCCTCACTATTATCACCACCCTTACCATCACTATCACCCCTCGTCCCACCAGCCCCACAAGGCAACTCTGCAAGCACCTCTGGCGAGAAATCCGCCCCATGAATCCCAAACTGCGCCAGAATCGCCCTCGTTTCGGTCTCAGCGTCCCCTGCCGGCCCCAGGCTCTGTGTGACTATACCGAAGGGCAGGAACTGGCCTGCAGACCAGCGTGACAGCCTGGCTGCTACTAGCATCTGCCTCACCTCCGCTGCTGCTGCTACAGCCGCTGCCGCCTCATCTGCGGCTGCTACTGACGCCGCTACAGCTGTCTCCGCTACAGCCACATTCGCTACGGACTCAGTCCCATCAGCCCTGGTCGCATCCGTAGCATCAGCAGCGACAGAAGCAGCCTCTTCTATTGGTGCAATGCTAGGGCCGCTCTTATTGGTCCTCCTGCTGCCGGCCTTCTGACGCGTGTCAGGCACAGCGGCGGCTGCTAAGACGAGGTCTTTAATCTCCTTGGGTAGGGTACTAATTCGGACTAGCATGCGGGGAAACCGAGGATCCACTGGAGTGAATGTGACTATACCGAAGTCCGCAAAATTTGGCATTGGCGTTGCCGACTGGGCTTCGTTCCCTGTGGTCGCTGTGCAAACTCCGTTACTGTCACTGGTGCTACCAGTGACAGCAGCAGATGCAGAATCAGCAGCAGCCGGATTAGCAGCCACAGGAGCAGGAGCATCGGCAGCAAAAGCACCAGCAGGGGCAGTATGAGAACCAACAACAGAATCCTTCAATTCAACAGCAGAGGAAGACGGTTCACTATCACCAGCTTCCATAGATAGGAATACCGCTTCCTCCTCCCCAACCACCTCCCCCTCCTCCATAACTACTTCCCCCTCCTCCTCTTCCCCAACCACCTCCCCCTCCTCTAGAATCACTTCCTCCTCTTCCCCAATCACCTCCCCCTCTTCAATCTCATCTCCTCCGCTAGTAACCCCACTCCCATTCACCTTCGCATTCCCCCCCATTGCGGCCGGCTGCCCTTGCTGCTCCTGCTGTTGCTCCTTCTCTTGCTGCTGCTGCTTCTGCTGCCCCTGCTGCCCCTGCTTCTCCTGCTTCCGCTGCTGCGTCTCCCCCACTCGCTTCTTCCTCTCCACTGCCCGTCGCCTCTGCCTCTCCTTCTCTATCTGCGCTCCTGCAGCCGGCTGCAGCTCTAACCTACCCACCACCGCCTCTCTCCGCGCAGACCAATGAACAATCGCCACCACACGCCCCGTCAGCCGCAGATCCGGATTCCCCCTCACTGCCCGCGCCAGCCTCTCTACCGCCTCCGCCTTTCCCCCCTGCCTACTCCCCTCCTCTCTCTCCCCTCCTCCCCCTCTCCCCCCTCCTCCCCCTCCTCTCCCTCCTCTCCCTGCCTCAACTCCAGTCGCTGCACCAGTGCTTGGCGCGCTGTGAGTGTTCAGAGAGTCATTTTCTTCCTGTGTGGCGCCTATCTGTGGATGACTGGGTTCCAGTGACGGAGGGTCTACTTCCACTGCCACTGTGTCTCCTTCAACCTGCAGGCACGGAGGCACAGAGGCGCAGACACGTCAGCATCATTTGACTCGATGGACAGGAAACACAGAAATGAAAAAGGCTGAGTTTTTACAGCGTCTTAGCATAAGACGGAAAAAACACTAAAGATTAAAGGTCGATTCCATTGAATGGATTGCGCACCGAAAGGGGAAGCGCCGGAATTGGATGAGAGAAAATCAAAACTTTCAAAAGAAACTTACCGCTCGATTCTGTGCCTTGAGACCATAAATCAGGACATCCCGAGGAACTCCCTTTATAGTCACATACGCCTGAAGGGAGAGCAAGAAACAGCAACGCATGATTAGTGTGCAGAACTCCCTTCACAGTCACATATGCCTCGAGGAACACCACGGTACCTAATCAAAGCACGAGCAAAGATGCATCACAGAAGGCACCGAAGCAACAACAAAAGACTCCCGAGTCAACTGAATATATGTTTTTATCTTACATTACCCAGAGCAGCACACAGAGCGCACTGCGAGCGATGGAGCAAACTTTTGGGCTGACTTTCAACCGCAAATGTTGCTTTCACAATTGTTGGCAGACAAGATGGGTAGCGATACCATCGCAGACAAGGTGGACTCACCTCAAATCGATTCCGCGCGTTGACCCTGAATGATGCAGCAAAAAGGGTGCCGTCCTGCAGAAGTGGAAAAAGAACAGAAGCGAACGAGAATTAACATGACAAGGTTGCAGCAAAAGAAAACAAAAGAAGGGCAGTATTGGGAAAGCAGGAAAATGGAACGAGCATCGACGGATGCAGGCACAAGAACACGTGAAGGTTAAATAATGCAGACCAAATGACCAGTCTCAGGTAAAGGTTCACACACGATAGACGTACCTGGATCCTCTGCTTGGCAACTTCAAGCGGCAAGTGCGGGGCGAAGCACCCCCTGAAACCCTTCTCCTTCCCCCTGTTCTCGCTATTGCTAGCCCCAGTAAACGCCTGAGCTGTCCGATCTGAACCACAGGTCCTCGCATCCCAACTAGTGGGTGCCACAGAACCCCAATCAACCGAAACAGATGACTTTTGGGTTGAATCACCCCACTCCACCGAGACAGATGACCTTGGAACCGAATCAAGAGCCTCCGAGCCTCCCTCTGCATTCATGGATGCTGCATCCCCCCAACCAGTTGGTGGAGGAGTCTTAAACCCTAAACCAGTGCCATCCCTGCCATTGTTGATTGAGGGACCAGCACTGCCAACTCTCTGCTGCTTGTCAGTCCCACTTCCACTCTCTCGCTGCTGCTGCTGCTGCTGCTGCTGCTGCTTCTTCTCCTTCTGCCTCTCTCTCTTCTGCTTTTTTTTCTCCTGCTTCTCCTTTTCCTTCCTCTCCGCCTCATTTTGCACCTCCCCTGCGTGCGCCACTGAATCCGTCAGGTTTCCGAATTCAGGAGCCTGCTTTGACGGAATCAGCTCTGGATTTGACTGAATCGGCTCTGATACTGACGGGATCGACTCTGACGGTGTGGTTTCATCGGAAGCTTCCTTTCCTACTCCGGCTGCTTCCTTTGCCTGCTTCTCCAGCATCTCCTTTTCCTTTTTCTCTTTCTTCTTCTCCTTCTTCCGTGCCGCCTTCTCCTCTGCATTTTCCGACGAATCAGCAAATTGAGGCGGCTTAGTATCAACAGCGTCTTTCCCTACTCCGACTGCTTCCTCCCTCTGCTTCTCCTGCAGCATCTTCATCATCTCCTTCTTCTCTTTCTGCCTCTCTCGTTTCTTCCTCTTCCGCGCCGCCTTATCCTCCTCTGTCACTTCTACCAATTCAGCCTTTTGAGGCGCCGCAAAAGCCGCCACTTTAACCCCCTCTGCAGCGTCCGAAGATTTAGCCACTACAGCTGGCTTTTCAGCTTCTGCGGCTCGCTGCTGCTGCTCAATTTCTTCCTTCCCCACTCCGGCTGCATCATCCCCCGCCTGCTTCTCTTGCATCATCTTCATCATCTCCTTCTTCTCTTTCTGCCTCTCTTTCTTCTTCCTCTTCCGCGCCGCCTTGTCCTCCTCCGCAGATTGCGATCCTGCACCTCCCGATCCTGCACCTCCCGAAGCGACCACGACAACTCGCTTCGCCGTCGCGATAATAGAAGAAGCAGCTAAACGCGTCGTCACAGTATCGGGGTTGACTATAACGGCGGATTCAGGAATCCCCGCGCTGATATCATAAGCCGTCGATGCAGGCGGCTGCGTGTCGTTATTAGCAGATGTAGTTCGGGTTCCTAACATGCCGTTAATCCCTTCCTGTCCGCCTCTCCCCCTCCCTCGGCCCCTCCCCCGGTCTCCTCCCCCGCCATCTCCCCTGCCTGCTCCCGCCTCTACTCCCCCATGTCCATGTCCGAATCCCCCTCGCCTTCCGCCGAACCCCCCGCTCCTTCCGCCGAATCCACCTCCCCTTCGCCCAGATCCGCGAGATCCCCCTCGACCACCCCTTACCCGTGCTCCGCGCCCAGATCCCTCTCCCCCCGCGTTCCCCTCGCCGTGACCGCCGTCCATTGCCGATCAGGCTGCGGAAAACCACCGACTCAGAGCAGGCTCGACAACTTCAAAGCTACAAAACTTGATCCACTTTTAAGAAAATCTCAAAAGCTTGCAATCTGATCTACAGCGAAGGGTATACCGGAACCTACGATGTTGAGAAGCTCCCGTTAGAGCAGAAATCTCTGCAAAAACTCAGCTCCGTAAAGCCCGAAACTCCTTGGCAAGATTGATACCACTCCACCGTCTTGGCAATAGCAACAGCAAGCAAGAGGGCTCCTTCCTACTGGTAAACTGGAAAACCGGTCCCGCCTCAATAAAAAAACGAGGGTGGACCGAAGTCTTTGCCCAAATGAACGACGAATGCTAGATGATAGGACTGGAAATGGAAGAACAAGGAAAGCAGAGGTAATTAGATTCTTTTTCCAGAGGGTGTGATTTGTCAGTTGCTTGGCGGCTGGGGATTTCTTGGTGACTGAGGGCGCATTCCCGGCTTCGGGCATCCGTGGTTCGGGTCTTCCGAAAAGTGTGGAATCCAATCAAAAAATTAGATGCTCAAACCGCGGGTTGTCCGATTGGCTACCACACTTCTCGTAAGACCCAAACCACGGATGACCCGAAGCCGGGAATGCGCCCTGAATTTGCTTCTGAGGGACGACTTGCCTGACTGAATTGTGGAGAAATCAAGGGTATAGCGTGGCGGATCATGGAATGCTGGTTGCCAAAACTAGCGAAGATATCAGTAGAGGTTTAGGACTTGTGAAGAGTGCGCGAAATGTGTTACCAGGAAGAATTCGACAATTGACCGGATAGGATGGAATGATGTGTTGCCAATGCGATTGGCCACGTATGTTTCGTGAAGGTGTTGAGGTCAGTGTAACGTGCCAGCCAGGGTCTATGCGAGATCAGCGAAACTCGCGGTTAGTTTCCGCGTTATACCTTCAAACCGAACCTAATTTCTCAGAACCCCCGACTTTAATGGTACACGACGATTTTCCGGAAACACCGCCTTGGAGCAACAATTTGGGTTGTTCGCTACGAAAGTCTGGCATGGCTGGCTAGATTCGCGAAGTCCTATTGGAACGCGTCCCTAAAATAGCCGGCTATCAGGCAGAAAAAACGGGCAGCTGTCTTCGCTTCTTTCTGCGATTAGTCGCATTCTGGTCGTTGATGTTATGCACTCGCATCCCAAGGGGCCCTGTACAGGGGTCTTGATTCGTTTTGGGCCACCCTGTCAAATCAAAGTTTTAGGTCGAAGTCACACTGCCACTGCAGTGTTGCTGCCGCGTCGTACCCTAGAAATGGCAGGGTGTTGAAAAAAATCTGGTCTGGTATGGCAGGGTGAAATTTTAAACTAGGCTGCAGCGGTCCAATCTGTGTGAGTGTCTCCGTGGAAAGGACTTAGCCAGTTTTCGAGCACATCCGCTGCTTGTTCTGGTGTATGTGTGAGTGTCTCCCGGCAAGGACTTGACCAGTTCTCAAATGGCTGAGGGAAAAAAAACTCAGTCAGAGTGCTGCCACTACCGAACTCGGCCAAGGCAGTATGCTACAAGAACCAACAACTGCAAAACAAGGGTAAAAAATTCACGAGGCCTGATCGTGATAGGGTGGTAAAACCCTTGAAACCTGTATTTACAGTGCGGTTTCAAAAAACGACCCTGAAAAACAGGCTAATCAGGGTAAAATGCCCTGTAATCCTGAGGCCTGGCCCTGTACTTCGTCCCTGCGATTCACTTGAGTCAAGCACCACGACATCAGGCCGTATGTCCCACATTTACAGTTCTTGTATCGTGGCTCAGGAAGGTTCCGCACGGTGAGAAGCGGTTCTCAAGGTTTACCGTGACGAAACGAAGTCGAGCACACAGAAGTTGTATGACCTGACGTCGCAGAGCCATCGTCGTCGCTGCTCACTCAGGGCCAGGCCTCAGGATTACAGGGCATTTTACCCTGATTAGCCTGTTTTTCAGGGTCGTTTTTTGAAACCGCACTGTAAATACAGGTTTCAAGGGTTTTACCACCCTGTCACGATCAGGCCTCGTGAATTTTTTACCCTTGTTTTGCAGTTGTTGGTTCTTGTAGCACACTGCCTTGGCCGAGTTCGGTAGTGGCAGCACTCTGACTGAGTTTTTTTTCCCTCAGCCATTTGAGAACTGGTCAAGTCCTTGCCGGGAGACACTCACACATACACCAGAACAAGCAGCGGATGTGCTCGAAAACTGGTTAAGGGTACGTTCTTGGCTGGTGTCTAGCTTCGGGCCAAGTTTGCCTGGTGTCAGCCCCCTCCAGGAACGTCTGACACAAATCGAAGAATTTCCCTCATGCCCGTCAATTCCACCTCATGTCAAGCAGCCTGGCCCGAAGCTAGACACCAGCCAAGAACGTACCCTAAGTCCTTTCCACAGAGACACTCACACATACACCAGAACAAGCGTCGGATGTGCTCGAAAACTGGCTAAGTCCTTTCCACGGAGACACTCACACAGATTGGACCGCTGCAGCCTAGTTTAAAATTTCACCCTGCCATACCGGACCAGATTTTTTTCAACACCCTGCCATTTCTAGGGTACGACGCGGCAGCAACACTGCAGTGGCAGTGTGACTTCGACCTAAAACTTTGATTTGACAGGGTGGCCCAAAACGAATCAAGACCCCTGCTCACCACATCCCCCAATTCCTGTTCTTCGTAAATCCAAGCACCTTGTGCCTGACGGATGAACGGCCCTCCGCCAAGCAAGCCGTCGCACACACCGCGTTCCAAAATAGTAGTTCAATACAGTTATCGCCAGAGCTATCGTCGTAGCAGCTCAGCTCACCACATCCCGTTCCAACATTTCACCACGATAGAATCGACACCGACGATGACTGCGATGGCGCTGCAAGTTTTGAGAAGTCTCAAAAGTCCACATCCCGTTCCCGAAATAGATGTGGGTGGCCTCGGGGAAAGCGCGGCTCGGGCGGTTAGACCAGACTAGACCCACTCCCCCGATTTGCCAGACGCGATTTTTTTTTTCCCGACCCAGTTAGACCCACGTTTTGGCCGTTTTACCTATTTCCATCCCGTTCCAACATTTCACCACGATAGAATCGACACCGACGATGACTGCGATGGCGCTGCAAGTTTTGAGAAGTCTCAAAAGTCCACATCCCGTTCCCGAAATAGATGTGGGTGGCCTCGGGGAAAGCGCGGCTCGGGCGGTTAGACCAGACTAGACCCACTCCCCCGATTTGCCAGACGCGAATTTTTTTTTCCCGACCCAGTTAGACCCACGTTTTGGCCGTTTTACCTATTTCCAGATAGATAATTGGCGAAGGGTAACCCTTTCGCCAAACATTTTAAAAAGGTGAACAGTTGACAGGGAATTTGTAACCCCGTCGCTATCAGTGAAGTCTGACGACTGACGGTTGACGTTGACGACAGACGCGAAATTGTCAGAAGTTGCCTATGAGTACGAAAAATTAGCAGTACAGTTGAAGTATTCTCTGTTTGTCTAACTTGTTCAATGCAATTGGTTCCTTGTAATGTTGTATTAGTGGAATATGTGAATCTGGAGGTCGTTTTCAGGGGGGGGTTTTTAAACAGAAGTTGATGAAGGACGTATTAAGGTTCCTTTTGGATGTATTTAAAGTTGTTTTTTTGCAGCTATAGGCCATGCAATTGGCTAAAAATCATTGCCCAAAATGATGTTTCCAAGGAGGTTTTATTCTGTTGTGGTTGGTTTCTTCAAGGTTTTTTTGTATATTCTGGCTCCTCTAGTAGTCCTCTACAAGTTTCAATCATTTTTGAAAGTTGTGAAAAGTTTGTAATTTTGGTCATTGTTATCAACCTCAAGTATGTCAGTGGTACATACCAAGTCATTATCTGGCAATCGTATTGGCAAACGTGTTGTTTTTGCATGGTTCATTGTTGAGTTTAGATGGTTTTTTAGAGCTAGGATGGCTTGTACATCACCTATCTAATGTCAAACCAATGGTGGAACTTGAAAGATGGGTGATAATGACTGACTGTTTCCTTGTGCGTTTGTAGCATTGTTTTGATGTATTTTCATGAGTTTGCTCTGCATTTTGCCTCCTCAAAGAGTCATTCTCCTGGTGTCAAGACCCTAGAGTTGGTTATGTTTTGTGATAGTGTCGTATTGTACATTATATTTGAGGTGGTTCTCTAGTCATTCGTCATGGTTTTTTTGCTTTTGGGTTTGATGGGGCTATCACTATGTATGCGAGAGACTATAAGAATCTATTGTCTGCCTTTCCACACTGCCATCAATTATGATAGCTGTAGAGACACTTGTTGTCAATTCCTAAATGATGTTGTTATGGTTTTGCTGACTTATAGCATCCATGTTGCTGGGTGTATTGTCACCTCTTGATGTAAACTGATGTGTAATTTCGAGAGTGTTTTTCCTCGGGTTAAAGCCTCTTTTGCCGGACCATAGTTTCGAGGGGCCGAATTCGAGGGCATCGGCAGTACAACAACTTTCTTGGAATGTGTAAGTAATGGCCGAGTACCACCTCGATCTGGGATCCCGCGGGTGATTTGGGGTACGATTTCGTAACTACCCCGACACAATCTATACCTGATACACGTTCGGGTTACGCCCTCCGAAATGGGCAGTTGCTTTCTTATTTGGTACGTATAAATGTCAGAGAGAGGTCATTCATTCATTTTGCACCCCACCTTTCACTTCCTCTCTTTCTTCCCCTCAGTTCTGCGACTCAGCCTCCCACTTTCCGTTGCGATGGAGCCCTCGATGGACCTCGAGGGGGCTGGTCTGCGTGTGCGGCTGTCGCGTTTAGAGTTCGGAAACATTCGCGACCAGGCTGAGGAGTGGTCCGAGAACATCCTCAACTTCGTGTTGCTGTAAGCTGTTTTCGAACGACATGCGCTGTAGTAGATGTTGAGTGTTCCAACAAAATCGTGTCTCGAATTTGTACCCCGATTTAGAGCTCCAACCCCTAATCATGTTAGATACTCTGTTTAGTGTATTGGTATCCGAGAAAACCGCTAATCATGTCAAATTCTCGGTTTAGTGTGTCAGTGTCCGAGAAATGTCTTTCGCATCCGTACTCTGTAGCGATAGACTCTTTGCCTAGCATGTGTGCTCCGCAGGATTCATTAACTACCGAGTTTATGTTCCTCTACCAATGTTCTAGCTGAATTGAGCGTTTATGTCTACATGATGGGCAGGATGCTTGCAAAAAAAAGGCTGACCGCGGAGCAGCTTTCGAAGGTGGAAATTGTCCCCATGAGTAAGGTCAACGTCGCCAGGGCGAAAGTCCCTGTGGAACCTGTGGGTCCCGACAGGCTCACTGGACTCCTTGGCAAGCAGCTCTGCGTATTCCCGCTGTGGTCCAGGTTAGTTCTAGTTTCGAAACGGGCTTTCGAAAACGTTGTTCCTCGAGAAGTTACTCGTTTCTTCGATATCGAGTTCTGTATCATTTCGGCCCACCACCCCTTGCAGTATCAGTTCCGACCCTCGGGCGCGCTGTAGCCTCTTTCTTCTAGTACGCCCCGACAGTCTGTGGGACAAAGCGAAGTCACCGGTTCAGACGCGTCTCCTGCATTTCGACCCGAAAGCGTGTTCTCCGACACACAAGCACGCTGTTCTCGCCCAAGAGATTGTCCAGTGGGTATCCGTATTTTATGGTTCATCTGTGCGTGTTGCCTACTTATACGGAGCTGACGGAATTCGCTGAAACAACACATTTTTCGCAGGTGGCTGGAGTTGCAGCTTTTGATGGAGTATTCAAGAGGGCAAGCGATCTCGGAAGGGGAGACGAAGGAAGTTTTTCGAAACATTCGCGCCCGCATCAAAAGCGGGTGGAAGCTCGACAAAACGGCGGTAAGTTAACTGTACGAATGTTGTGACTGTTTTTTTCGGATACGGACAGACGCCGACGCGTTTCCACATCCGTTTCGTGCAGAAGCTAACTCAGGCAGTCGGCCAGAGGGAGGTTGGTTCAGGCCTACACGTGGCCTATCAGTGGTGCAAGATTCTGGATCATTTCGACGAGATTCTGCAGCAGCGGACGAGAGATGAGAAATTCCTCGTCATGGGAACCCCACAGTACCGTCGAGAGCATGTTCTGGCGGAGATACTCAAAGACTGTGGTACGTATTTCGCGAAAGTAGACCGTGGTGAAATTGGTGGAGAGGAAGAGAAGGTGGACAACTTGGACCAACATGGGCCTCCCGCAGAGGACACAGGTCCCCCGCCAGAGATTGATGCGGAAATAGTCGCTGTGGGTGCGCTAATTGCTGACGGTGTTCGAATTGGTCTGGCCAACGAGCGTCAGAGCGTCGCGGATGGGGAGCGTCAGCTGATGGATACAGAGGAACCACCCATTCAGAGGGAGAGTGCGCGCGAAATTTTGCGAGGAATGAGGGAGACGCAGCAGAGGGCAGCAAAGGAGGCCATTCAGCAGGGGGGGGAGGAGGAGATGATAGAGGATCAGATGATGGAACAGTGTCCGGGTTTGGAAGACGGGCAGGGGAGTCAGAATCTCGGAGGCGAATTGGAGGAAGAGGTGCAGAGGTCGGAACTGGAGACTAGGGTGGTGTATCAGAGACGGGAGGCACGGACAAAGAAGATGTATGATTTGGGGCGGGAGGAAAAAAAGACAGAACGCGAAAAGGAGGAGAATCGGCAGAGAGAGGAGGAAGCGCGGAAGAGGGAGGAGAAACAGGTTGAGCGCGAAAAAGAGGAGAAGCGGCAGAGGGAGAAGGAAGAGCGGCAGAGGGAGGATGAGAGAAGCGCGGAGCGCGAACAGGAGAAGAAGCGGCAGAGGGAGGAGGGAGAGCGGAAGGAGGAGGAAAAGAAGGTGGAGCGCGAGAAGGAGGAGAGGCGGCAGCGGGAGGAGGAAGAGCAGAAGAGGGTGGAGGAAAAAAAGACAGAGCGCGAAAAGGAGGAGAATCGGCAGAGAGAGGAGGAAGCGCGAAAGAGGGAGGAGGAACGGGTTGAGCGCGAAAAAGAGGAGAAGCGGCAGAGGGAGAAGGAAGAGCGGCAGAGGGAGGATGAGAGAAGCGCGGAGCGCGAACAGGAGAAGAAGCTGTCAGAACATTATAGCTTATACTTTTGTGTAGGCTGTAGTGGGGTATCCCATAGGGGGTACAACCCAATTAGGGTTAGTACTTGTACCCACTTCATTCATAGTTCATCCATTCTCGTTTCTTATCATGGTATCAAGCAGGTTCCCTCGTGGGAACTGTTCCTAGGGCCCACCAAGTCGAAATTTTTTTTCCTGCCCGGAGCGCGCTTAGTTTAGGCCCGAGTCGCGCCTCGTGTGCCCTCTCTACTGTCGCGTCGCCCCTCGCGGCCTCCCTTGCGCCGCCCTTAAATCGGCCCGTCGCCGCCCTTCGCGGCCTGTCGCCACCCTAAGCGGCCCGTCGCCGCCCTTGCGCCGTCCGTAACGGCCCGTCGCCGCCCTTCGCGGCGTCGCGTGCCGCCCTTACGGCACGCTGCCGACCTCCGCGGCCCCTCGTGCCGCCCTCACCTGCGGCCCTGCCACCTTCCAGCGGGCACGCCACCCTTACCTGCGGCCCCGCCGCCCTCTGCTTCGGCCCCGCCACCTTACCTGCGGCCCCGCCACCTTATCTGCGGCCCCGCCACCCTACCCGCGGCCCCGCCACCTTACCTGCGGCCCCGCCGCCCTCTGCTGCGGCCCCGCCACCTTACCTGCGGCCCCGCCACCCTACCCGCGGCCCCGCCACCTTACCTGCGGCCCCGCCACCCTACCTGCGGTCCCGCTACCCTACCCGCGGCCACGCCGCCCTTACCAGCGGCCCCGCCGCCCTTACCTGCGGCCCCGTCACCTGCTGCCCCGCCGCGCCGCCCTGCTGCAGCACAGCCGAGCCGCCCAGCGACCGAGCAGCCGGACAACCGAGCCGCCCAGCAGCCCAGCAGCTGAGCAGCCGAGCCGCCCAGCAGCCGAACCGCCCAGCAGCCGAGCCGCCCAGCAGCCAAGCCGCCCAGCAGCCGAGCCGCCCAGCAGCCGCGCCGCCCAGCAGCCGAGCCGCCCAGCAGCCGAGCCGCCCAGCAGCGGAGCCGCCGAGCCGCCGAGCCGCCCAGCAGCTGAGCCGCCGAGCCGCCGCGCCGCCCTCCTTCCGGGCCGCCCGACCTGCCCAGTCTGGTGAGCACAGCGCCTTTTCACTGCACTGTCCTCACCCTACTGTTTCAGTGCTAGTCGTCTAGGGTCATGGCTACCCCTAGTGTTCTCGCCTTTGACGCTGAGGGTCGGGCCATTGACTTTGAGGTCTGGGTAGATGACCTGCAGCTGTTCTTACAGTGCGATAGGGCAGACGGCCTCTCTCTCTTTGACCTCACCTCTGGCGCCTCCACTGCCCCTGCTGCTGATGCTGACGCCACTGTTCGCTCCCAGTGGGCCACGCGCGACGCTGCTGCACGTCTTGCTGTGCGTCGCCACCTCCCTACCTCCGAGCGTGCGCACTTTAGTCAGTACAAGAGTGCTCAGACCTTGTACGACGCTGTAGTTGCGCGCTACTCCTCCCCTGCCACTGCTGCACTGAGCCGTCTCATGCTACCGTACCTCTTTCCTGACCTTGCTGCCTTTCCCACAGTCGCTGACCTCATTACGCACCTCCGCACTAGTGACACTCGCTACCGCGCTGCACTCCCTCCTGACTTCTGCGCCAAGAACCCCCCCCCCATGTACATCACTCTTTACTACATAGTCACTCGCCTTCCTGACTCCCTTCGCGTAGTCAGGGACCACTTTCTCTCTGTCTGTCCCACCACTCTCACTGTTGACCTCCTCGAGAAGTCCCTCCTAGCGGCCGAGAGCAGCATAGTCGCTGTAGGGGCCTCTCGTGGTGACCCGCGCACCCCCATCTTTGAGGGGTGTTCCCCCTCCCCCCTTCTGCCCTCTGTTGCCTCTGCTGCTGCGGCCGACCTCCTTGGTCTTGAGTCGGTCGGTGCGGCGTCTGCCCCTAGCGGGAGACGCCGCACTGGCAAGGGCAAGGGGGGCAAGGGCGCTGGAGGAGCGAGCGGGGGCGGTGGAGGTGGAGGTGGCGGCAGTGGGGGGAGTGGGGGTGGCGGTGGGAGTGGAGGTGGGGGTGGAGGGGTCGGTGGCGGCAGTGGAGGTAGAGGTGGCGGCGGCGGTGGCGGTGGGAGCGGAGGTGGCGGAGGTGGCGACGGAGGCGGCGGAGGCGTCGGAGGCGGCGGGGGTGGCGGTGGTGCTGGTCGCGGGTCTTCGCAGAGGAGTGGCTCCGGTAGTGGCTCGCGCCAGCAGCAGCAGCGTGGTCGTGACACCCTGTCCCCTCAGCAGCTTCGTGAGTGGTACACTGCGCGTCAGCGGGGTGGGGGTTTTGGTCCGTGCTCCTACGTTTTGCGCACTGGCGACCGTGCGGGTGAGCAGTGTGGGGGTGCCCACCCCACCCAGCGCTGCTTTGGCCGCCTGACGGACGCGTGGCGTCACCAGTTCCCGGAGGCCTCCGAGATCCCTCGCTGGGGCGAGCTGTCTAGGGCGGGTGTTGTCATCTATGATCTTGACTTTGATGCTATTCTCTCTGCCATGTATGCTGTGTCTATTAGTGATGAGGGTGACTGTTACCGGTGTTTCCCGCCCGATCCGGGCATTGAGACTGCTGCTCTAGGTCCTGGTGAGGCTGCTGTCCTAGGTGCTTGCGACGCTGCTGCTCTAGGTGCTCGTGTGTCTGCGTCCTCAGGTACTGGTGAGTCTGCGCTCTCAGGTACTACGTCGGCTTCGGCCTCCCTCACCTTCACCCTTGACTCTGGGGCGTCTCGCTCCTTCTTTCGGGACCGCACCACACTCACACCGCTAAGTCGACCGGTTGCAGTGTCTCTGGCTGACCCCTCTGGGGGTCCTGTCCTGTCTCGCTTCTCCACAGTCCTCCCGTGTCCGGCGGCTCCCTCTGGCACCCTGTCTGGTCTCTACCTCCCCTCGTTCTCTACGAACCTGGTGAGTGGTGCTGACCTACAGGATGCGGGTGTACACCAGTTCACTCCTGCACGTCAGCGGGTGACCCACTGTACAGAGGCTAGCACAGGCCGACACCTGGCTACGTTTACCCGTCAGCCGGGGTCGAGCCTGTACACACTGACCACTGCGTCTCCTCCCGTTACTGAGTCTGGTAGAGTCGCTTCATCGGGTCGGGTGTTTGCTGGAGCGTCCAGGTCTGGTCCTGAGTCTGCCCCCTGTTCGTGTCGTCTCCTGTCTCACGAGACTCTCCTCTGGCACCACCGTCTTGGTCACCCCTCGCTGCTTCGGCTCAGAGGCATGGCCTCCCGCCTTCTAGTGTCTGGTCTCCCCCGGTCCCTCCCTCCCCTTCCTCAGGGCCCTGGCCCTACCTGTGTCCCCTGTGTCGAGGGGCGCCAGCGTGCTGCCCCTCACTCCTCCCAGTTTCCTCCGACAGAGGCCCCGTTGCAGACGCTTCACATGGACGTGTGGGGCCCAGCCCGCGTCCGTGGGCAGGGTCACGAGCGCTTCTTCCTACTAGTTGTTGACGACTACTCGCGTTACACCGCAGTCTTCCCCTTGCGCAGCAAGGGTGATGTCACTGAGGTGCTGATCGACTGGATCCGCGCAGCTCGTCTCCAGCTCAGGCAGAGCTTTGGCTCCGACTTTCCTGTTCTGCGTCTACACTCGGACAGAGGCGGGGAGTTCTCCTCTGGCCTTCTGCGAGCCTACTGTCGTGCACGAGGCATCCGTCAGACCTTCACGCTTCCGGACTCTCCGCAGCAAAATGGGATTGCTGAGCGCCGCATTGGCATGGTCATGGACGTCGCTCGTACGTCTATGATGCATGCGGCTGCCCCCCATTTTCTGTGGCCGTTTGCGGTGAGGTACGCGGCGCATCAGCTCAACCTTCACCCCAGGGTCTCCAGGCCGGAGACCTCCCCAGCCTTGCTGTGGACGGGGAAGGTTGGCGATGCGTCGGCGTTCCGGGTCTGGGGATCTAGAGCGTTTGTCCGCGACTTGTCTGCGGACAAGCTGTCCCCTCGTGCTGCTCCTTGCGTCTTCCTGGGGTTCCCCCCCGACGCGCCTGGGTGGCAGTTCTACCACCCCACCTCTCGCCGTGTTCTGTCCTCCCAGGACGTCACGTTCGACGAGTCGGTCCCCTACTACCGCCTCTTCCCCTACCGCACTCCGTCCCTCCCCCCGCCCCCACTCTTCCTTGTACCAGGTCCCCCCCCGGTAGACCCCCTCCCCCCTCAGGGTCCTGCCCCTTCAGGTGTGTCCCAGGTAGACGCAGTCGAGCCTGTCGAGGTCACTGGTGACTCTGGTGCTGCTGAGGGTGCTGAGCCTGGAGGTGCTGAGCCTGGGGGTGCTGGGCCTGGGGGTGCTGAGTCTGGGGGTGCTACGCCTGGGGGTGCTGAGCCTGGGGGTGCTGAGTGTGGGGGTGCTCCGCCTGGGGGTGCTGTGCCTGGGGGTGCTGGGCCTGGGGGTGCTGAGTCTGGAGGTTCTCCGCGTGCTTCGTCTCGCCGGGAGCCACTCTCTCCACAGGAGCTGCGCGAGTGGTTTGCCCGGCGCTGGAGCCGTGCTGCTGGTGCTGGAGGTTCTTCGGCTACTGAGGGTGCTGCTGTTGCGGGTCCCGGAGGTGCTCGTACTGGGCGTACTGGAGCTGCTGGGCCTGCAGGTTCGACTGGAGCTGGTGCTGCTGAGGGTGTTGGCGCTGAGACTACCACTGGCGGTCCTGCTGGGGGTGCTCCTAGTGTTGCTGGAGGTTCTGGAGCTGCTGGAGGTGCTGCTGGAGCGGGTGCTCCTGCTGGGGGTACTGGTGCTGTCCCTGCTGTTTCTGGCGTCGCTGCGCGGCCTCGACCGTACTTCGTTCCACTCCTGCAGCAGGTTCTTGGTCTTCCGCTTTCTACTGTTCCTCCTCCTCCCTTGGAGGGTCCACCGCCTGTCCCGTCACAGTCACAGCTACAGCCTACCTCTCCTTTGCCTGCTCCTTCTCCCTACGCTGGTCCTACTGGAGGTCTTACTGAGCGTCGTGAGCCTGCGTCTCGCCCTGCGTCGCCTGTCCGTGCTGCTCGCGCTAGTGGTCGTGGTTCGCGTCCGCGTCCTCCTCCTGTCCCTGGCACACACAGGATGTCTCTGCGTCCGTCTACTGCTCCTCTGCGTGCCCCTTTGCCTTCTCCTCCTGAGTCCTCTCTTCCTGCTCTTCCCGACCCGGAGTCGGACTCTCTTCGTGCTGCCAGTCCTACTGTCACGCGTCTCCTTGCTACTGTCGTCACTGACCCTTCTTTCGAGTCTACTGCTGCGTCTGCCCTAGTTACTGAGCTCGTCGACTTTGCTGCTCGCTGTCGCCTAGACTACGCTGCTAGTCTTGTCGCTGAGTCTGGGTCTGTCTGTCCTCCGTCCGTCGGGGGTGAGTGTGCCCTTGGCACGGACGTTCTTGAGGACAGGCAGGAGGAGTTCCAGTGTCTGGCAGCTGTTTCACCTCATCTCGTGTCCGTACTGCTTACCCCTGAGGGAGACCCGGATGCACTTGACATCCCGACTCCGCGCTCTTACGCGGAGGCGATAGAGGGTCCCTACTCCTCTCAGTGGCAGGCAGCTATGGATGCAGAGATGGCTTCCTGGAAATCCACAGGCACCTACGTTGACGAGGTTCCCCCGCCTGGGGCGAACATCGTCAGTGGCATGTGGATCTTCAGGGTGAAGCGGCCGCCTGGTTCTCCGCCTGTCTTCAAGGCACGTTACGTGGCTCGTGGCTTCAGTCAGAGGCAGGGAGTTGACTACTTTCAGACCTTCTCCCCCACCCCGAAGATGACCACTCTTCGGGTACTGCTACACGTTGCTGCTCACCGTGACTACGAGCTGCACTCTCTCGACTTCAGCACTGCTTTCTTACAGGGCAGCCTGCACGAGGAGATCTGGCTGCGCCGCCCACCTGGCTTCACTGGGTCTTTCCCTCCTGGTACCCAGTGGAGTCTCCGGCGTCCAGTCTACGGTCTCCGCCAGGCGCCACGTGAGTGGCACGACACACTGAGGACTACACTTGCGGCTCTTGGGTTTGCTCCTTCTACTGCCGACCCGTCGCTGTTTCTGCGCACCGACACCTCTCTGCCGCCGTTCTACATCCTCGTGTACGTCGACGACTTGGTCTTTGCCACAGCAGACACTGCTGGACTCGCCCACGTGAAGTCCGAGCTGCAGAAGAGACACACGTGCACAGACCTGGGTGAACTGCGCAGCTACCTTGGCCTGCAGATCACCCGGGACAGAGCACGCCGCACCATTACCCTGACTCAGTCACACATGGTGCAGCAGGTCCTTCAGCGCTTCGGCTTCACGTACTCCTCGCCTCAGGCCACTCCTCTGCCTACTCGCCACTCACTCTCAGCTCTGCCTTCGGATGAGTCCGTAGAGTCGAGTGGCCCGTATCCAGAGCTTGTTGGCTGCCTCATGTACCTGATGACCTGCACACGACCTGACCTTGCATACCCTCTTAGCATTCTTGCACGCTATGTTGCTCCTGGGAGACACCGACCAGAGCACATGGCTGCAGCGAAGAGGGTGTTGCGCTACTTGTGCAGTACGTCGGGCATGGGGCTAGTGCTTGGAGGGCGGAGTCCAGTGGTCCTCACTGGGCACGCGGACGCTTCTTGGGCTGACGACCAGGCTACGCAGCGGTCGTCCCAGGGTTACACCTTCTGCCTCGGTTCCGGCTCTGTTTCGTGGCGGGCTACTCGCTCGTCTTCTGTTCTCGGCTCCAGTTGTGAGGCTGAGATCTACGCTGGGGCCATGGCTGCCCTGGAGCTTCGCTGGCTCACCTACCTGCTGACCGACCTTGGAGAGCCGGCTCGTTCTCCTCCAGTGCTGTACGTAGACAACAAGGCCATGCTGGCCTTGTGTCGAGAGCAGAGACTGGAGCACAGAACTAAGCACATTGCTCTTCGCTACTTCCTTGCTCGTGAGCTACAGCAGCGTGGTCAGTTGCGGCTTGCGTACGTGGCCTCTGAGGCCAACACTGCTGATGTTTTCACCAAGGCACTTCCGCCTTGTGATCATCAGCGCTTCTGCACTCAGCTGGGTCTTGTCCCTGTCTTGCCTCACTTGCTCACCCCTTGATCTTGCTTGTACTGTTACCTATATATATACCTGCTCTTGCTTGTCTAGCCTTATATGTATATATGTACTCCTGCATGTGAACTGGCCTTGTGGCCTTGAACTTGTGCTCAGAATGTGTGGTGACGTTGTGATCCACCCTGAGCTTGCCTTGCTTTGCTTTGCTTGACTGGTCTTGTGACCCCTTGTTCTCCCCCACTTTGCCTATGGGGGTGTGTCAGAACATTATAGCTTATACTTTTGTGTAGGCTGTAGTGGGGTATCCCATAGGGGGTACAACCCAATTAGGGTTAGTACTTGTACCCACTTCATTCATAGTTCATCCATTCTCGTTTCTTATCAGAAGCGGCAGAGGGAGGAGGGAGAGCGGAAGGAGGAGGAAGAGAAGGTGGAGCGCGAGAAGGAGGAGAGGCGGCAGTGGGAGGAGGAAGAGCAGAAGAGGGTGGAGGAAAAAAAGACAGAGCGCGAAAAGGAGGAGACTCGGCAGAGAGAGGAGGAAGCGCGGAAGAGGGAGGAGGAACGGGTTGAGCGCGAAAAAGAGGAGAAGCGGCAGAGGGAGAAGGAAGAGCGGCAGAGGGAGGATGAGAGAAGCGCGGAGCGCGAACAGGAGAAGAAGCGGCAGAGGGAGGAGGGAGAGCGGAAGGAGGAGGAAGAGAAGGTGGAGCGCGAGAAGGAGGAGAGGCGGCAGCGGGAGGAGGAAGAGCAGAAGAGGGTGGAGGAAAAAAAGACTGAGCGCGAAAAGGAGGAGACTCGGCAGAGAGAGGAGGAAGCGCGGAAGAGGGAGGAGGAACGGGTTGAGCGCGAAAAAGAGGAGAAGCGGCAGAGGGAGAAGGAAGAGCGGCAGAGGGAGGATGAGAGAAGCGCGGAGCGCGAACCAGAGAAGAAGCGGCAGAGGGAGGAGGGAGAGCGGAAGGAGGAGGAAAAGAAGGTGGAGCGCGAGAAGGAGGAGAGGCGGCAGCGGGAGGAGGAAGCGCAGAAGAGGGTGAAAAGGAGGAGAATCGGCAGAGAGAGGAGGAAGCGCGGAAGAGGGAGGAGGAACGGGTTGAGCGCGAAAAAGAGGAAAAGCGGCAGAGGGAGAAGGAAGAGCGGCAGAGGGAGGATGAGAGAAGCGCAGAGCGCGAACCGGAGAAGAAGCGGCAGAGGGAGGAGGGAGAGCGGAAGGAGGAGGAAGAGAAGGTGGAGCGCAAGAAGGAGGAGAGGCGGCAGCGGGAGGAGGAAGCGCAGAAGAGGGTGGTGGAAAAAAAGACAGCGCGCGAAAAGGAGGAGAATCGGCAGAGAGAGGAGGGAGCGCGGAAGGAGGAGGAGGAACGGGTTGAGCGCGAAAAAGAGGAGAAGCGGCAGAGGGAGAAGGAAGAGCGGCAGAGGGAGGATGAGAGAAGCGCGGAGCGCGAACCGGAGAAGAAGCGGCAGAGGGAGGAGGGAGAGCGGAAGGAGGAGGAAGAGAAGGTGGAGCGCGAGAAGGAGGAGAGGCGGCAGCGGGAGGAGGAAGAGCAGAAGAGGGTGGAGGAAAAAAAGACTGAGCGCGAAAAGGAGGAGACTCGGCAGAGAGAGGAGGAAGCGCGGAAGAGGGAGGAGGAACGGGTTGAGCGCGAAAAAGAGGAGAAGCGGCAGAGGGAGAAGGAAGAGCGGCAGAGGGAGGATGAGAGAAGCGCGGAGCGCGAACCAGAGAAGAAGCGGCAGAGGGAGGAGGGAGAGCGGAAGGAGGAGGAAAAGAAGGTGGAGCGCGAGAAGGAGGAGAGGCGGCAGCGGGAGGAGGAAGCGCAGAAGAGGGTGAAAAGGAGGAGAATCGGCAGAGAGAGGAGGAAGCGCGGAAGAGGGAGGAGGAACGGGTTGAGCGCGAAAAAGAGAAGCGGCAGAGGGAGAAGGAAGAGCGGCAGAGGGAGGATGAGAGAAGCGCGGAGCGCGAACCGGAGAAGAAGCGGCAGAGGGAGGAGGGAGAGCGGAAGGAGGAGGAAGAGAAGGTGGAGCGCGAGAAGGAGGAGAGGCGGCAGCGGGAGTTGGAAGCGCAGAAGAGGGTGGTGGAAAAAAAGACAGCGCGTGAAAAGGAGGAGAATCGGCAGAGAGAGGAGGGAGCGCGGAAGGAAGAGGAGGAACGGGTTGAGCGCGAAAAAGAGGAGAAGCGGCAGAGGGAGAAGGAAGAGCGGCAGAGGGAGGATGAGAGAAGCGCGGAGCGCGAACCGGAGAAGAAGCGGCAGAGGGAGGAGGGAGAGCGGAAGGAGGAGGAAGAGAAGGTGGAGCGCGAGAAGGAGGAGAGGCGGCAGCGGGAGGAGGAAGAGCAGAAGAGGGTGGAGGAAAAAAAGACAGCGCGCGAAAAGGAGGAGAATCGGCAGAGAGAGGAGGGAGCGCGGAAGGAGGAGGAGGAACAGGTTCAGCGCCAAAAAGAGGAGAAGCGGCAGAGGGAGGTGGAAGCACGAAAGGAGGAGGAGGAACGGGTGGAGCGCGAAAAGGAGGAGGAACGGAAAAGGGAGGAGGACAAAATGGCTCAGCGCGGAATAGAGGAGAAGAGGCAGAGCGAGGAGGGCGAGCGAAAGAGGGAGGAGGAGGGGAAGGAGGATCGCGAACAAAAGGAGAAGCTGCAGAGGGAGGAGGAACGGGTTGAGCGCGAAAAAGAGGAGAAGCGGCAGAGGGAGAAGGAAGAGCGGCAGAGGGAGGATGAGAGAAGCGCGGAGCGCGAACAGGAGAAGAAGCGGCAGAGGGAGGAGGGAGAGCGGAAGGAGGAGGAAAAGAAGGTGGAGCGCGAGAAGGAGGAGAGGCGGCAGCGGGAGGAGGAAGAGCAGAAGAGGGTGGAGGAAAAAAAGACAGAGCGCGAAAAGGAGGAGAATCGGCAGAGAGAGGAGGAAGCGCGGAAGAGGGAGGAGGAACGGGTTGAGCGCGAAAAAGAGGAGAAGCGGCAGAGGGAGAAGGAAGAGCGGCAGAGGGAGGATGAGAGAAGCGCGGAGCGCGAACAGGAGAAGAAGCGGCAGAGGGAGGAGGGAGAGCGGAAGGAGGAGGAAAAGAAGGTGGAGCGCGAGAAGGAGGAGAGGCGGCAGCGGGAGGAGGAAGAGCAGAAGAGGGTGGAGGAAAAAAAGACAGAGCGCGAAAAGGAGGAGAATCGGCAGAGAGAGGAGGAAGCGCGGAAGAGGGAGGAGGAACGGGTTGAGCGCGAAAAAGAGGAGAAGCGGCAGAGGGAGAAGGAAGAGCGGCAGAGGGAGGATGAGAGAAGCGCGGAGCGCGAACAGGAGAAGAAGCGGCAGAGGGAGGAGGGAGAGCGGAAGGAGGAGGAAGAGAAGGTGGAGCGCGAGAAGGAGGAGAGGCGGCAGTGGGAGGAGGAAGAGCAGAAGAGGGTGGAGGAAAAAAAGACAGAGCGCGAAAAGGAGGAGACTCGGCAGAGAGAGGAGGAAGCGCGGAAGAGGGAGGAGGAACGGGTTGAGCGCGAAAAAGAGGAGAAGCGGCAGAGGGAGAAGGAAGAGCGGCAGAGGGAGGATGAGAGAAGCGCGGAGCGCGAACCGGAGAAGAAGCGGCAGAGGGAGGAGGGAGAGCGGAAGGAGGAGGAAAAGAAGGTGGAGCGCGAGAAGGAGGAGAGGCGGCAGCGGGAGGAGGAAGCGCAGAAGAGGGTGGTGGAAAAAAAGACAGCGCGCGAAAAGGAGGAGAATCGGCAGAGAGAGGAGGAAGCGCGGAAGAGGGAGGAGGAACGGGTTGAGCGCGAAAAAGAGGAGAAGCGGCAGAGGGAGAAGGAAGAGCGGCAGAGGGAGGATGAGAGAAGCGCGGAGCGCGAACCGGAGAAGAAGCGGCAGAGGGAGGAGGGAGAGCGGAAGGAGGAGGAAGAGAAGGTGGAGCGCGAGAAGGAGGAGAGGCGGCAGCGGGAGGAGGAAGCGCAGAAGAGGGTGGTGGAAAAAAAGACAGCGCGCGAAAAGGAGGAGAATCGGCAGAGAGAGGAGGGAGCGCGGAAGGAGGAGGAGGAACGGGTTGAGCGCGAAAAAGAGGAGAAGCGGCAGAGGGAGAAGGAAGAGCGGCAGAGGGAGGATGAGAGAAGCGCGGAGCGCGAACCGGAGAAGAAGCGGCAGTGGGAGGAGGGAGAGCGGAAGGAGGAGGAAGAGAAGGTGGAGCGCGAGAAGGAGGAGAGGCGGCAGCGGGAGGAGGAAGAGCAGAAGAGGGTGGAGGAAAAAAAGACAGCGCGCGAAAAGGAGGAGAATCGGCAGAGAGAGGAGGGAGCGCGGAAGGAGGAGGAGGAACAGGTTCAGCGCCAAAAAGAGGAGAAGCGGCAGAGGGAGGTGGAAGCGCGAAAGGAGGAGGAGGAACGGGTGGAGCGCGAAAAGGAGGAGGAACGGAAAAGGGAGGAGGACAAAATGGCTCAGCGCGGAATAGAGGAGAAGAGGCAGAGCGAGGAGGGCGAGCGAAAGAGGGAGGAGGAGGGGAAGGAGGATCGCGAACAAAAGGAGAAGCTGCAGAGGGAGGAGGAACGGGTTGAGCGCGAAAAAGAGGAGAAGCGGCAGAGGGAGAAGGAAGAGCGGCAGAGGGAGGATGAGAGAAGCGCGGAGCGCGAACCGGAGAAGAAGCGGCAGAGGGAGGAGGGAGAGCGGAAGGAGGAGGAAGAGAAGGTGGAGCGCGAGAAGGAGGAGAGGCGGCAGCGGGAGGAGGAAGCGCAGAAGAGGGTGGTGGAAAAAAAGACAGCGCGCGAAAAGGAGGAGAATCGGCAGAGAGAGGAGGGAGCGCGGAAGGAGGAGGAGGAACGGGTTGAGCGCGAAAAAGAGGAGAAGCGGCAGAGGGAGAAGGAAGAGCGGCAGAGGGAGGATGAGAGAAGCGCGGAGCGCGAACAGGAGAAGAAGCGGCAGAGGGAGGAGGGAGAGCGGAAGGAGGAGGAAAAGAAGGTGGAGCGCGAGAAGGAGGAGAGGCGGCAGCGGGAGGAGGAAGAGCAGAGGGTGGAGGAAGAAAAGACAGAGCGCGAAAAGGAGGAGAATCGGCAGAGAGAGGAGGAAGCGCGGAAGAGGGAGGAGGAACGGGTTGAGCGCGAAAAAGAGGAGAAGCGGCAGAGGGAGAAGGAAGAGCGGCAGAGGGAGGATGAGAGAAGCGCGGAGCGCGAACAGGAGAAGAAGCGGCAGAGGGAGGAGGGAGAGCGGAAGGAGGAGGAAGAGAAGGTGGAGCGCGAGAAGGAGGAGAGGCGGCAGCGGGAGGAGGAAGAGCAGAAGAGGGTGGAGGAAAAAAAGACTGAGCGCGAAAAGGAGGAGACTCGGCAGAGAGAGGAGGAAGCGCGGAAGAGGGAGGAGGAACGGGTTGAGCGCGAAAAAGAGGAGAAGCGGCAGAGGGAGAAGGAAGAGCGGCAGAGGGAGGATGAGAGAAGCGCGGAGCGCGAACCGGAGAAGAAGCGGCAGAGGGAGGAGGGAGAGCGGAAGGAGGAGGAAAAGAAGGTGGAGCGCGAGAAGGAGGAGAGGCGGCAGCGGGAGGAGGAAGCGCAGAAGAGGGTGGTGGAAAAAAAGACAGCGCGCGAAAAGGAGGAGAATCGACAGAGAGAGGAGGAAGCGCGGAAGAGGGAGGAGGAACGGGTTGAGCGCGAAAAAGAGGAGAAGCGGCAGAGGGAGAAGGAAGAGCGGCAGAGGGAGGATGAGAGAAGCGCGGAGCGCGAACCGGAGAAGAAGCGGCAGAGGGAGGAGGGAGAGCGGAAGGAGGAGGAAGAGAAGGTGGAGCGCGAGAAGGAGGAGAGGCGGCAGCGGGAGGAGGAAGAGCAGAAGAGGGTGGAGGAAAAAAAGACAGCGCGCGAAAAGGAGGAGAATCGGCAGAGAGAGGAGGGAGCGCGGAAGGAGGAGGAGGAACAGGTTCAGCGCCAAAAAGAGGAGAAGCGGCAGAGGGAGGTGGAAGCGCGAAAGGAGGAGGAGGAACGGGTGGAGCGCGAAAAGGAGGAGGAACGGAAAAGGGAGGAGGACAAAATGGCTCAGCGCGGAATAGAGGAGAAGAGGCAGAGCGAGGAGGGCGAGCGAAAGAGGGAGGAGGAGGGGAAGGAGGATCGCGAACAAAAGGAGAAGCTGCAGAGGGAGGAGGAACGGGTTGAGCGCGAAAAAGAGGAGAAGCGGCAGAGGGAGAAGGAAGAGCGGCAGAGGGAGGATGAGAGAAGCGCGGAGCGCGAACAGGAGAAGAAGCGGCAGAGGGAGGAGGGAGAGCGGAAGGAGGAGGAAAAGAAGGTGGAGCGCGAGAAGGAGGAGAGGCGGCAGCGGGAGGAGGAAGAGCAGAAGAGGGTGGAGGAAAAAAAGACAGAGCGCGAAAAGGAGGAGAATCGGCAGAGAGAGGAGGAAGCGCGGAAGAGGGAGGAGGAACGGGTTGAGCGCGAAAAAGAGGAGAAGCGGCAGAGGGAGAAGGAAGAGCGGCAGAGGGAGGATGAGAGAAGCGCGGAGCGCGAACAGGAGAAGAAGCGGCAGAGGGAGGAGGGAGAGCGGAAGGAGGAGGAAAAGAAGGTGGAGCGCGAGAAGGAGGAGAGGCGGCAGTGGGAGGAGGAAGAGCAGAAGAGGGTGGAGGAAAAAAAGACAGAGCGCGAAAAGGAGGAGACTCGGCAGAGAGAGGAGGAAGCGCGGAAGAGGGAGGAGGAACGGGTTGAGCGCGAAAAAGAGGAGAAGCGGCAGAGGGAGAAGGAAGAGCGGCAGAGGGAGGATGAGAGAAGCGCGGAGCGCGAACCGGAGAAGAAGCGGCAGAGGGAGGAGGGAGAGCGGAAGGAGGAGGAAAAGAAGGTGGAGCGCGAGAAGGAGGAGAGGCGGCAGCGGGAGGAGGAAGCGCAGAAGAGGGTGGTGGAAAAAAAGACAGCGCGCGAAAAGGAGGAGAATCGGCAGAGAGAGGAGGAAGCGCGGAAGAGGGAGGAGGAACGGGTTGAGCGCGAAAAAGAGGAGAAGCGGCAGAGGGAGAAGGAAGAGCGGCAGAGGGAGGATGAGAGAAGCGCGGAGCGCGAACCGGAGAAGAAGCGGCAGAGGGAGGAGGGAGAGCGGAAGGAGGAGGAAGAGAAGGTGGAGCGCGAGAAGGAGGAGAGGCGGCAGCGGGAGGAGGAAGCGCAGAAGAGGGTGGTGGAAAAAAAGACAGCGCGCGAAAAGGAGGAGAATCGGCAGAGAGAGGAGGGAGCGCGGAAGGAGGAGGAGGAACGGGTTGAGCGCGAAAAAGAGGAGAAGCGGCAGAGGGAGAAGGAAGAGCGGCAGAGGGAGGATGAGAGAAGCGCGGAGCGCGAACCGGAGAAGAAGCGGCAGAGGGAGGAGGGAGAGCGGAAGGAGGAGGAAGAGAAGGTGGAGCGCGAGAAGGAGGAGAGGCGGCAGCGGGAGGAGGAAGAGCAGAAGAGGGTGGAGGAAAAAAAGACAGCGCGCGAAAAGGAGGAGAATCGGCAGAGAGAGGAGGGAGCGCGGAAGGAGGAGGAGGAACAGGTTCAGCGCCAAAAAGAGGAGAAGCGGCAGAGGGAGGTGGAAGCGCGAAAGGAGGAGGAGGAACGGGTGGAGCGCGAAAAGGAGGAGGAACGGAAAAGGGAGGAGGACAAAATGGCTCAGCGCGGAATAGAGGAGAAGAGGCAGAGCGAGGAGGGCGAGCGAAAGAGGGAGGAGGAGGGGAAGGAGGATCGCGAACAAAAGGAGAAGCTGCAGAGGGAGGAGGAACGGGTTGAGCGCGAAAAAGAGGAGAAGCGGCAGAGGGAGAAGGAAGAGCGGCAGAGGGAGGATGAGAGAAGCGCGGAGCGCGAACAGGAGAAGAAGCGGCAGAGGGAGGAGGGAGAGCGGAAGGAGGAGGAAAAGAAGGTGGAGCGCGAGAAGGAGGAGAGGCGGCAGCGGGAGGAGGAAGAGCAGAAGAGGGTGGAGGAAAAAAAGACAGAGCGCGAAAAGGAGGAGAATCGGCAGAGAGAGGAGGAAGCGCGGAAGAGGGAGGAGGAACGGGTTGAGCGCGAAAAAGAGGAGAAGCGGCAGAGGGAGAAGGAAGAGCGGCAGAGGGAGGATGAGAGAAGCGCGGAGCGCGAACAGGAGAAGAAGCGGCAGAGGGAGGAGGGAGAGCGGAAGGAGGAGGAAAAGAAGGTGGAGCGCGAGAAGGAGGAGAGGCGGCAGCGGGAGGAGAAAGAGCAGAAGAGGGTGGAGGAAAAAAAGACAGAGCGCGAAAAGGAGGAGAATCGGCAGAGAGAGGAGGAAGCGCGGAAGAGGGAGGAGGAACGGGTTGAGCGCGAAAAAGAGGAGAAGCGGCAGAGGGAGAAGGAAGAGCGGCAGAGGGAGGATGAGAGAAGCGCGGAGCGCGAACAGGAGAAGAAGCGGCAGAGGGAGGAGGGAGAGCGGAAGGAGGAGGAAGAGAAGGTGGAGCGCGAGAAGGAGGAGAGGCGGCAGTGGGAGGAGGAAGAGCAGAAGAGGGTGGAGGAAAAAAAGACAGAGCGCGAAAAGTAGGAGACTCGGCAGAGAGAGGAGGAAGCGCGGAAGAGGGAGGAGGAACGGGTTGAGCGCGAAAAAGAGGAGAAGCGGCAGAGGGAGAAGGAAGAGCGGCAGAGGGAGGATGAGAGAAGCGCGGAGCGCGAACAGGAGAAGAAGCGGCAGAGGGAGGAGGGAGAGCGGAAGGAGGAGGAAGAGAAGGTGGAGCGCGAGAAGGAGGAGAGGCGGCAGCGGGAGGAGGAAGAGCAGAAGAGGGTGGAGGAAAAAAAGACTGAGCGCGAAAAGGAGGAGACTCGGCAGAGAGAGGAGGAAGCGCGGAAGAGGGAGGAGGAACGGGTTGAGCGCGAAAAAGAGGAGAAGCGGCAGAGGGAGAAGGAAGAGCGGCAGAGGGAGGATGAGAGAAGCGCGGAGCGCGAACCGGAGAAGAAGCGGCAGAGGGAGGAGGGAGAGCGGAAGGAGGAGGAAAAGAAGGTGGAGCGCGAGAAGGAGGAGAGGCGGCAGCGGGAGGAGGAAGCGCAGAAGAGGGTGGTGGAAAAAAAGACAGCGCGCGAAAAGGAGGAGAATCGACAGAGAGAGGAGGAAGCGCGGAAGAGGGAGGAGGAACGGGTTGAGCGCGAAAAAGAGGAGAAGCGGCAGAGGGAGAAGGAAGAGCGGCAGAGGGAGGATGAGAGAAGCGCGGAGCGCGAACCGGAGAAGAAGCGGCAGAGGGAGGAGGGAGAGTGGAAGGAGGAGGAAGAGAAGGTGGAGCGCGAGAAGGAGGAGAGGCGGCAGTGGGAGGAGGAAGAGCAGAAGAGGGTGGAGGAAAAAAAGACAGAGCGCGAAAAGGAGGAGACTCGGCAGAGAGAGGAGGAAGCGCGGAAGAGGGAGGAGGAACGGGTTGAGCGCGAAAAAGAGGAGAAGCGGCAGAGGGAGAAGGAAGAGCGGCAGAGGGAGGATGAGAGAAGCGCGGAGCGCGAACAGGAGAAGAAGCGGCAAAGGGAGGAGGGAGAGCGGAAGGAGGAGGAAGAGAAGGTGGAGCGCGAGAAGGAGGAGAGGCGGCAGCGGGAGGAGGAAGAGCAGAAGAGGGTGGAGGAAAAAAAGACTGAGCGCGAAAAGGAGGAGACTCGGCAGAGAGAGGAGGAAGCGCGGAAGAGGGAGGAGGAACGGGTTGAGCGCGAAAAAGAGGAGAAGCGGCAGAGGGAGAAGGAAGAGCGGCAGAGGGAGGATGAGAGAAGCGCGGAGCGCGAACCGGAGAAGAAGCGGCAGAGGGAGGAGGGAGAGCGGAAGGAGGAGGAAAAGAAGGTGGAGCGCGAGAAGGAGGAGAGGCGGCAGCGGGAGGAGGAAGCGCAGAAGAGGGTGGTGGAAAAAAAGACAGAGCGCGAAAAGGAGGAGAATCGGCAGAGAGAGGAGGAAGCGCGGAAGAGGGAGGAGGAACGGGTTGAGCGCGAAAAAGAGGAGAAGCGGCAGAGGGAGAAGGAAGAGCGGCAGAGGGAGGATGAGAGAAGCGCGGAGCGCGAACCGGAGAAGAAGTGGCAGAGGGAGGAGGGAGAGCGGAAGGAGGAGGAAAAGAAGGTGGAGCGCGAGAAGGAGGAGAGGCGGCAGCGGGAGGAGGAAGCGCAGAAGAGGGTGGTGGAAAAAAAGACAGCGCGCGAAAAGGAGGAGAATCGGCAGAGAGAGGAGGAAGCGCGGAAGAGGGAGGAGGAACGGGTTGAGCGCGAAAAAGAGGAGAAGCGGCAGAGGGAGAAGGAAGAGCGGCAGAGGGAGGATGAGAGAAGCGCGGAGCGCGAACCGGAGAAGAAGCGGCAGAGGGAGGAGGGAGAGTGGAAGGAGGAGGAAGAGAAGGTGGAGCGCGAGAAGGAGGAGAGGCGGCAGTGGGAGGAGGAAGAGCAGAAGAGGGTGGAGGAAAAAAAGACAGAGCGCGAAAAGGAGGAGACTCGGCAGAGAGAGGAGGAAGCGCGGAAGAGGGAGGAGGAACGGGTTGAGCGCGAAAAAGAGGAGAAGCGGCAGAGGGAGAAGGAAGAGCGGCAGAGGGAGGATGAGAGAAGCGCGAAGCGCGAACAGGAGAAGAAGCGGCAAAGGGAGGAGGGAGAGCGGAAGGAGGAGGAAGAGAAGGTGGAGCGCGAGAAGGAGGAGAGGCGGCAGCGGGAGGAGGAAGAGCAGAAGAGGGTGGAGGAAAAAAAGACTGAGCGCGAAAAGGAGGAGACTCGGCAGAGAGAGGAGGAAGCGCGGAAGAGGGAGGAGGAACGGGTTGAGCGCGAAAAAGAGGAGAAGCGGCAGAGGGAGAAGGAAGAGCGGCAGAGGGAGGATGAGAGAAGCGCGGAGCGCGAACCGGAGAAGAAGCGGCAGAGGGAGGAGGGAGAGCGGAAGGAGGAGGAAAAGAAGGTGGAGCGCGAGAAGGAGGAGAGGCGGCAGCGGGAGGAGGAAGCGCAGAAGAGGGTGGTGGAAAAAAAGACAGCGCGCGAAAAGGAGGAGAATCGGCAGAGAGAGGAGGGAGCGCGGAAGGAGGAGGAGGAACGGGTTGAGCGCGAAAAAGAGGAGAAGCGGCAGAGGGAGAAGGAAGAGCGGCAGAGGGAGGATGAGAGAAGCGCGGAGCGCGAACCGGAGAAGAAGCGGCAGAGGGAGGAGGGAGAGCGGAAGGAGGAGGAAGAGAAGGTGGAGCGCGAGAAGGAGGAGAGGCGGCAGCGGGAGGAGGAAGAGCAGAAGAGGGTGGAGGAAAAAAAGACAGCGCGCGAAAAGGAGGAGAATCGGCAGAGAGAGGAGGGAGCGCGGAAGGAGGAGGAGGAACAGGTTCAGCGCCAAAAAGAGGAGAAGCGGCAGAGGGAGGTGGAAGCGCGAAAGGAGGAGGAGGAACGGGTGGAGCGCGAAAAGGAGGAGGAACGGAAAAGGGAGGAGGACAAAATGGCTCAGCGCGGAATAGAGGAGAAGAGGCAGAGCGAGGAGGGCGAGCGAAAGAGGGAGGAGGAGGGGAAGGAGGATCGCGAACAAAAGGAGAAGCTGCAGAGGGAGGAGGAAGTGCGAAAAAGGGAGGATGAGAAAAAGGCTGAGCGCGAAAAAAGGGAGTTGCGGCAGCGGGAGGAGGAAGAGCGGAAGCGGGAGGAGGAGAGGAAGGAGGAGCGCGAAAAAAATGAGAAGCGGCATAGGGAGGAGGAACGGGAGCGGAAGAGGCCGGAGGTCGAGGATCGACCGGCGCGCGAAAAGGAAGCGAGGGAAAACGGGGAGCAGGAGCGTAAAAGGCTGGAGGCCAGGGAGCGGAAAGCGCGAGATGAGCCGAGGGAAGGGGAGCGAGTGCGACAGAGGGTGGAGGCTGGAGGGCGAGAACCGCGCGAAAGGGAGGAGGCTCGGCAGGGGCAGGAACGGGAACGGAAGAGAGCCGAAAGCGAACGCCGAAAGCATGAGCTGCTAAGTCTAGAGCGCGAAAGGCAAGTTGCAAGACAGATGGGTGCAGCCGGGGAGAATCTTGGTCTGGAGCGTCAGAGTGATCGACTGGAGGAAAACGATCGGCGTGTGAATGGGGGCGCTTTAAAGAGGCACGAAAGGCAGAGAGATGTTGCAGGGTTCGGTGAACAAGGCGCAGGAGGGCAGCGGCGTGGTGATGGAACTCGTCACACGAACGAGGCCTTTAGGGGTGCGAGGGTCTTTCACGCGCAGATGGGGCGACCTGCCGGGGAAGGAGCTCCACCAGGGGTAAAAGGCGACCAGGCAACCGGGGACCAGCAGGGGCCAACGCATCGTAGGGCAGCGGATTTGGGACCGAGACAGGGCATCCAGCAGAAAGGTGGTCGGCGTGATGATCAAACAGGACGGAACAGGGTTGGCGATGGTGACCGTAGGAGGATCGAGCAGTCAAGGCAACCTGGTCGGCGAGAGGGTGAAGCGCGTTTAATACCGCAGGGTGAGAGGGTTGCGGAGGAGCATGTCTGGCGTGGGGTGGGATTTGGAGTGGAGGAAGCGCACCGAAGGGAGAATCAGCTGAGGGTTGCGGGTGGACGGGTGGAAGAGGAGCAGGAGAGCGCGGCTAGTGCGCTCCCTATTCAGAGGAATCGTCCGCGTGCGGCAGAGAATCCTGCTGCGGGGCAGGGTGAGGAGCTGGAGGAGGGTGAATGGGTGGCCTTGGAGACACAACTGCAGGAGCAGGAGAAAGATGGGCCCCAGTTTTTCGAGGAAACGGCGGGTGGATTTGAGGAGGCCGGAGACCGCATCGCAGCTAACGGCAGGGTGCATACCACACGGGAGTTAATGCGGCGTCTGACATTGGTGGCGAGGTCAGTTGCCAGGATTTCGTCGGAACAAGGTGTTCGATTCAGCGACTGCATGGCCGAGATTCGCCAGTTTGGTGCGCGGATGCAGGGATGGGAAGCATCGTACTTGCAGGACTACGATGATCTGACAAACGAGTACCACACGCTAAAGGATTCTGTTGTGCGAGAGCGCGAGGAGCTTCGGGAAATCCGTTCTGCTCTTTTGACGTCTACGGCCGAGGCACGAGCGGCAGCAGCTGATGCAGGTCGAGCAGCTGCAACGGCGGTTGTAGAAGCATTGCAGGAAAAGCTCGAGGGGTTTTCCGAGGCGTTTCTAGAAAGGCTGAAGGGTGTTGTGGCGCAGGCGCTAGAGCAAGCGTCAAAAGAAGGGAAGCTTGAGTCCACGATCGCATCCGTCTCCATCGAATACCTGGAAAAGACTATCGAGAATAGCGTATACACAGTGTGGGAGGATCTCAGAGTTGCGGAAGACAAGAACTCTCAGAGTTTCAAAGCTATTCAGAAGGCTCTTGCAGGAATGACAGCAAAGCCCCGTGGGCGGACTGGACCCATCCACGTCGGAAATCCACACGCCGCCAGACCAGATGCCACAAAGCTCAAAGGGCGGACGGGAGCCATCAACGTCGGAAGTCCTCTCCCCGCCAGACCAGATGGGCGGACGAGAGCCATCAACGTCGGAAGTCCTCTTCCCGCCAGACCAGATGCCACCAAGCTCAAAGGGCGGATTGGACCCATCAACGTCGGAAATCCTCTCGCCGCCAGACCGGCCGGAACAAAGCTCAAAGGGCGGACTGGACCCATCAACGTCGGAAATCCGCAAGCCGACAGACCAGAGGCCACGCCAAACTTTTCGCGACCGCAGGGCGAAGCAGACTCACCAGACATCCCTATCGCCGCTGCACATAAAGTAATGGAAAGGTTTGTCGCGACCTCTGAGGGCGAGACGGGTGAGGCGGGTGAGGTGGGCGCTGGTGTGGCAGATGTTGACTTGTCTGGGCCAGTGAGCAGAGACTGGAGAGAGACGTTTGCGGCGAAGGAGTTGCAGAAAGAGAAGGAGAAGGAGAGCTTGGAGAAGATGGCGGCGGAAACGCGGAAGCGGACTGCATTTCAGAGGGAGCATGCAAGGGTGGTGGGAAATACGATGGTGGTGGCACAGCGTTTGGGGGACCAGCGCGAATCGGGTAGGAAGCGGCAGAGGGGTGAGGATGAGGGTAGAGGGCTAGAGGAGAGGCGGGTGCAGCGCGAAAAGGTGGAGAAGCAGCGGAGGGAGGAGGAACAGCGAAAGAGGGAGGAGAAAAAGGCAGAGCGCGAAAAGGAGGAGAAGCGGCAGAGAGAGGAGGAACAGAGGAAGAGGGACGAGGAGCGAGAGGTCGAGCGCGAAAAGAAAGAGAAGCGCCAGAGGGAAGTGGAAGAGCGGAAGAGGGATGAGGAAAGGGTGCAGCGCGAAAAAAAAGAGAGTAGGCAGAGGGAAGAGGATGAGCGGAAGCGGGAGGAGATAAGGCGGGTCGAGCGTGAAAGCGAGGAGAAGCGAAAGCGGGAGGAGCACGCAAAGGCGGTGAAGAGGCGGGCACAATTGGAGGCAGAATTAGAAGCAAAGCGTGATCGGATAGCAAAATTCGCTGAAGCGAAGCGGTTGGAGGCCGAAAAGCGCAAAAAGGACCTCGAAATAGAGCGGCGGAAAGCGCAGCAGGAGATGGAGCGTATTGCACGGTTGGAGGAAGCCGCAAAGGAGGAGGAGGAGATGCAACGAAAGGTCTTAGCGGTAGAAACGGAGAAAATGGAAAAGGAAAAGCGTAGAATTGCGGGAGAGAATGTGGATGCGGCAGTGGAGCAAGGGCAGGGAGAAGAGGCGGAAGGTGGAGAAGAGGCGGAAGGTCTAGTGTGTGCCGGGACTCTAAATGTGATTTGCATGGTTCCGGAAGAACCACTGCAAGTATTGGACCTGGAGGAGGAGCAAGATGATTCAGTGCATCTGAACGGCCCAGGTGATTCAGAGACTCAACCGCCTTCGAAAAGGCCTCGCATAGAGCACACGGGAACGAACACGGACGCAGATGAAGGGTCTTTTGGAGATGCTGAGTCAGAGGATGCAGTCGGTGAAAATGTGTCGGGAAATCAGAATGTTCAACCCATGTTGGGAGAGGCGGCAGACGAGGTGGCACAGCGAAGGATCGATGTGCTACCAGACGAGCTAGGAAAGAGATGGGGGGAAACAAAGCATTTCAGATCGAGTGGTCTTACTACACGCGAAAAGAAGAACAAGGACGGGGTGGTGACCGTGCGCTACAACTCGGAGCAGACCGTCGGAGGTGTGAAGAGGAACATGGGGAGCTTCAAGGAGAAGAAACTGCGCGACTTCACGGTGGCCGTTTGTTGGATGGCCTATATCCCCGACACGGACATGGTCCATTACGGCATGGATCATGTCGAGGTTGGAGAGTGGGCGGTCCACCTCGAATTCGCTCGTGAACTCCCGACAGGTGTCTGGAGTGTTATGAACGAACTGAACCTGGACAAATTCGAGAAGTGAGTGTTCGAGTGGATTCAGCATGCTTGCCATACATGTTCTCGATCTCCATAACTAACCTCGTATCCACCCCTACTGTGCAGCTTCGACAACGTGATGAAAAAAGCATACGCACGGGTGAAAGAAGGCGCACATTTCCAGGTGGCTGTTTGTACGGGGATTGGACAGGCCCTGGTCCACGGAGGGGTCGGGCTGGTGTCGGCCCCGCGGTCCGCGGTCTATGCAGCGGGAGTGGCTGCAACCCTCTATACCCTGTGGTGTGCCTCGATCGGCATTCCCCACCAAGACTGGGCGGAGGGTGCGGATGAGGCGGCTCGTGGCACGCTTAACGAGGGAAGCCTTGCGTTTCGAGCAACCTCAACGGCTCGGCTCGGAGTGTGGGCTTTAAAATCGGTCAAGAACCAAACGCACGAAAAGGCAGACTGGGAAGGGGTTCTCACCAAAGCTATTCTCAACCTTGTGGATCCCGAGCCTGGGGAGACAGAGGCTATTGAAATGGCAAAAGTGGTGTCGAGGGTGCTTGTGTACTGGTGCGAGTGCTGTCTTGCGGCACAAAGCCTTTACACGTATCAGGGTGGGATGCTCCATTTTCCCCAACCCACGAAAGGGGGACGGCGGAAGGCGAATGCGGCAGGCAACGAGTGATGCAGCGGGCGATAGCGCTATTTCGAGTTTCCTACTGCTCTGAACCATGTTCTCTTGCCAGGTTGTTTTTTGGGTAACATTTACGGCCCGTACTTACATTTATGTGCTTTCGATTTCAGCCAACTGGTTATCTTGTTAGAGCTGGAAAAAGGACCCATATTCCACGTGTTTGTTCCACACCTAAAAGGGTCTCTACGACATACACCAAGCAGCAGGTTATTTGCTCAAAAGAGAAACGTATATTCGCAATGCAGAGAACCCGCGAAGATATACAGCCCACACCACGCAACATGCTATTTGCACCCACCAAGCCTACGGGAGAGAGAACCAGGTCAACAAGAAAAATAAAACAGTATGTCCAGCTACAGACGCGAAACATTGACTCCAACCGCGAAGTTACGCCTCGTCATCAGAAATCTCCTCAATGTCGGAATCCTTCGCAAATGTCTTCTTGACGCGAGGACGCAAGGTCTCGCGCTTACGGGCTTTGGCGCGATCCTCGCCACACTCCACGAACATCCCATCTCCCTTCATCTTTGCGGCCGCCTCCGGATCATAACACCATGTCCTCACCAAATCGGCAATCTCGTGAACCAGGGGTCCGATACTCTTGTTGCCCGCTCCCGCGAAACTTTCCAGCACAAGCTTCTCAACGGCGGCAGCATTGTGGCTCTTTTTCACATGGACGCGAAAGTTCTTCCACGCGGCTACGATGATTGTGACGCTCAGGTCCGGTGCACCTGCCTTCTTTGCAGCCCGTTTCGCTTCCGTGTCGGCGATGGCGCCATCACGGCCCTTGGAAACCAGCCACAGGTACGTGACCACGAACGCCACGGCACCGGCAAGAGCTCCCTCCGGCACCTTGGATTTCGCGTAATTTGTGTCCAGAGCCACCACAAGCCCCAACGCAACTGAGGCCGCCACCTCGTCATTCAGGTTTTCCGGTCCATCTTTCGCGTCCCTGAAGCGCGAAAACATGTTTTCGATCCTGCCACGAAAATTACCACAAAAAATACATTAGGGAACGCACCACATGGAAGGCCTAAATTTGTGAGATCACTTGCAAAACCCACCTGCTGCCGCCGGTGCAGATGCCGCGAAGGAACATAACAGCGAGCACTCCAGGATGCAGAAGTCGCGCAACATCCAAATCCGCGGTCCACTTCTCCTCTTCCTCGTTGGACAGAACCATCTTGTCACTCGGAACCTTTTTGTGCCACACGGTCTGTACCACCGCGGCAATGTATCGCGCGGTGGCGAGAGCGGAGAAGCTTCCGAAGTACCAGCGCAAGTTCAGATAGTGCAACTCCAGCGTCCAACCCGTCCCTTTCGCGTTTGCCCTTATGCCAACCCCAAGATCCTTCTCCTTCGGGGCGACCTTTGCAACCCCCTTCCCACCACGGAGTTTAGCAAGCAACGCCTGAGTTGCCATCGTGGCTTCGATCTCGTCCGGATCCTCGACCTCCTGCACCTCCACACCACCCTGGAGAGCCGCGATCTGCGTTGACCCGTGCTGTACTTCGCCAGCATCTTTGGAAGAGCCTCCCACGTTTCCGGTTGGTGGCTGACGGGTGACATCTGGGGCGGAATTCGACTTAGCCTTTTTCGCGGATGGTGTGATTTCCTTTGCTGCAGTGACGACCGCGCTTCGCTTCGCGCCCCTATCTTCTGCAGTTTCCGCTACCGCAGATTGCAAACCCACACGGCGGTCTTGTCTCGAAACCAGCAATCCGGCTTCTTTCCTTTCACATGCGATAGCCATTCCTGTCTCCATCCCAGTTGCTGCTAGCGAGGAAAATTCGCGTTGCGAAACCAGGGACATGAGGGAAGTAGCCGCTTCGGCCAACTTCACCACCGCGCGCTCTGACGACTCGCGCTGCGCAGCCGCGGAGGATCGTTCAGTCCGCACTTCGTGCACAGCATCCGCGAGATCCTTAGCAGCACGTCTCTCCAGGTCTTCCAATCTGCCAAAATTCCCAGCACATTTCTCGGCAAAACCTGTCAACCTTGCACTCTGATCTTCCATCTTCGCCAGAAGTTCGCGGATTCGTTTTCGCTGCACCAGAAGTTCCTGTCGCTTGTCTGCCAGTTCTTGCTGCGAATTCTCGAGAGCATAGTCGAGGCGGACGACCTCGTGCGCGAGCGTGTGCGCAGGCCACGTTAATAGCTCGTCCACCGACCGCCGCTGCACATTCGCACGCTCAGACCGAAGACCCAGTCGCCTAGTTGCTGCAAATCCGTGAAACTGTGGACCCCGACCTGCATCGGCAAACGCGACCCCAAATTTCGTGTTGCCTTTGTGCCCTTCGGCATGTCCCCACGCACCACGAAACGTACCCTCGGCCTCGCCTCCACCCTCGCCTCCGCCCTCGCCTTCATCCTCCTCCTCGCCGTGCCAAGCACCCTTTCCGTCTCCACCATCATGGCCCTCCCACTCGTTTTCGTAATCATCGTTATCGCCCTCGTTTTCGCCCTCATCCTCGCCATCGCCATCCGCCTCTCGCTCGCCATCGCCCGCCGCATCGCGCTCGCCCTCGCCTACGCCCACGCCCTTGCCCGCGCCATTATTCTTGCCCTCCTCCTCGCCGTCGGCCTCACCTTCGCCCTTGCCTGCGTCCGCGGCTCCAGCAACCCCGGATTGCTTATGTGCGACCCCCGCTGGCCCACCGTGGCCGCGTGAACCGACAGCTCCGTGTTTGAGCATGTCAATAGCGATGTCCTGAGCGTGCCTCAAAATCTTATCGTGCAAAGGCTTCAAAACCTTTACGGACGCAGCACGGACGGTTTCCCCCGGAGATTTCGTAATTGCCTCGAATTCAGAGAGGATGCGCGAAAACCCGTACACAACCGTTAATCTGAATCCTGCCTTCACCTTGTCCAAAGAGCTGAGATCCTGCACGGGGAAGTAGTAATCACTTGCATGGTTAGGATACAGTGGTTACTCGTGCGGCGGGAGTTTTAGGGCGGCCACATACCATATACTCGCGCTTCAAACGTCGCGCTCGGTCAAATGCAAATTCAAGGCTCGGCTCGTCATCCGTCTCATGGTATTTCTCGACGCTTTTCTTAAACCATCTGCAAGCACAAACACAGAACCGGAGTTCAGACGCGACAATAAAGCATACGTAATCGTCGCGACAAGGAGGCGAGTCATACTCGAGGATGTTCGTAGCCTGCAACCTCTGTGGATCCGGGCCCACGCAAGGGTCGATGTGGATGACTCGCGTGCTCGATTCCTCGTTCCTTTCGTACTGCAACTGATTTGGCCCCAAAATAACGAGGATGCTGCAAACCGTGATGCCGTTTTCGTCGTTGCACATGGCACGCAAGATGGGAGTCAGCCGAGGGTACATCTAATGCAAAGCGCTAAAGCGGGTAATGCTTACGTTGCCCACAAAGGGAAAACAACGAGATCCATGTTCAGCATGTTTGAGATTTCCGCGTTCGGGACCATGTGTTGCTTCGTGCAGTCCGTCGCCAATAAGCTGCCCTGCGCCCCCGTTGGGACAATTCGTGTAGACTTCTCGCGGTCGCCCCCTTGTTTGGCCAGCACGAACCTGCACATTTCAGGCAGTTTGACCTTAATCGGCAACTTGGAAAATGTACCTCTTTCTACAGCCCACGAAAAATTACAAATACGGTCAAAAGACAAAGTCGGTAGCAAATACGTACATGCATGCGAAATCCAGTGCTGCGGCGGTGTATTCAAGGGTCTCATCACTCAGACTCCGCTTGTCCTGTTCCACTAGCACAACGGTGGCTCCGCCCGCTTCCATGGCGACGTCGACTTTCTTGAAGCTCAGCATGCGGTCGAAAAGCGCGCGCCTTTCACGGGACATCCTTTGTAAAGAAGAATCAGCAAACGCAAAATCAAGAGAAAACCGCGAAAACACCTTAAGGACCCCATGCCCGAAAAACAGGGTTGATAGTGAGTGCCGCGAAAAATGCGTAACTACTAACACCACCTATTCTCAGACGAGAGTCGCACTTTCTGGACGTTGGAATTGCTGACACAAAACAGAGGGATAGGACGTGGAGCGCAAACGAAGCTGCTACTTACACCACTCTAATTCTCGGATGTGCCTACCGCGATGCGCGAATAATAATGTATCGACACAAAACAGCGGAAGCGTGGGACCCACGAAGATGATGGTAGTACTACTCAAATTCTCATATGTACTTCGCGCGTTGCGCACGTAGACTATGGTCGTTCTAAACCTGGGATAAAAGGTGCCGCGAAAACCAAGCCACTGAGCTGATTCTCAGCTGTGCTTCCCGCTTTTATTGAGTTGAAATTGCAGTCACAAAACCGCGGGAAACCCTAAGCCGCGAAACGGAGCTAGTAGTAACACCAACAACAACTCTAGCTAGGGGACCACTTCCCCGATATACTACAACCCCTACCTACTACCCCTATTCCCCAATTCCCTCATCCCCCCTCCCTTAACCCCGTCCCATCCCTCACCTTGAAGAAGCCTTGCTTGAAGGGAAGGAGAGATGAGAAACCGAAGGAAAAAGCGAGATGCAAATGCACAAATGGAAAATGACGACCTGCAACCCCAAATAAGCGATTCTGCACTCACCCTCCTCAGCGAATAGACATAGGTTCGGGAAATGCGAACCTATGTTATCGGGCCTGACCTTATCCCGACCCAAACGAGTGCCTCGCTTTGGGAAATATCCTCGCACCAGAGTCCGTCGTTCGTTTAGGTTTGTTGCGCACACCGTGAGCTCATCGATATTTGTTATTAGGTTCATTTTGAAGAATCCCTCCTCTTTTTTTTGCACGTCGGTAACTCGCTCTGATGTGCATACGTAACGAAGTCGCTGCAAGCGCGCCATTGCCCCGGTAACGCGACTTCGCAGAGCGATCTAGCGAGCATCTAATACCTATGTACAGCACTTTTTCCCGCGAGGGTTCAAGCCACGTGTCGCCAGCTAGCGCGTCGCACAATGACACGCGGCGAGTTCGGATTAAAAAGCGAAATGGCACGCCGATTTCGCTGCAGCATTCGTCGGTACGAGTGTTACCTGCCCATGTGTTATCCTCCCATGTGTTACGTGTGCGCCGGTCGCAGAATCACCCTCAGCGTGGAATCTCTCCCCGAAATGCTGGAGTGTGTTCATAAACCATTTGAATTTCGGCCTTGTGTGCATGCTACATTTCGCGTAGATTTGTGAGCAATTTGAAACCCAATTGTCGTCCCTATTAGTGTCTTGTGAAACAAGTAGCATCTTTAACGGTTTCTAAGAACCATATATGTTTACCTACTTAGATTCGGAAAAAGTGAGAGCGATGCACGCGAAAACCGCGTGCAGCCACAGAGGCGAAGCAACTACAGTTAGAGCACATGCGAAGCCACAACTCCCACACACAAGTTACTCGTCATCATCGGAAATCTCTTCAACGTTCTCCATCCCAGGTTCTGAGGATGGCGGGGATGGCGGGGATGGCTTCTTCGCACGCCAACGCGTGCTGGGCTGGCTCCTTGCTTTGGCGTGATCATCGCTGCACTCCACAAACAGGCCGACACCCCTCAACTTCGCTGCTGCCTCGGGATCGTAACACCACGTGCTCAGTACGTCGACCATCTCATGCACGAGAGGTTCCAAGCTCTTGTTGTTCGCACCCTTGAAAGCGGCCACCACCTGCTTCTCCACCTCGTCCGCATCGTCGCTTGTCTTAAGAGCCACGATAATGTTCAGCCACGCGGCCAAGATTAGCTCCACACTCAGGCCCGGGGCTCCAGCCTTCTCTGCAGCGCGTTTCGCTTCCGTGTCAGCGAAGCCGCGATCACGTCCCTTGGAGACTAGCCACAGGAACGTGACCGTAAACGCCACGGACCCGGCAAGAGCACCCTCTGGAACCTTCGATTTCGCGTAATGCTCGTCCGCTTCCACCTCGAGGCCCAGCGCAACCGAGGCCGCGACCTCGTCAATCAGGTCGTCCGGTCCATCGGCTGCATTCCTGAAACGCGAAAACATGCTTCTCATCCTGCATTTGACACAGGCATCGAACGGAAACTTAGCCACGACCACTTGGCGCAAGTCAATCCGCGAAACAATGACCGAAACTCAAAAGCATAGTCAAGAAATCAGAGAGCGAAATCCACAGCAAGAAACTCTAAAACGCGAAATCGCAAAGCGTAGAACTAAATAACGACACATACCTTTTGCCCCCAATGCACATGCCGCGAAGAAACATTACCGCGAACACCCCCGGATGCAAAAGACGCGCAACATCCAGATCCGCGGTCCATTTCTCCTCTTCCGCCTCCGACAAAACCATCTTGTCGCTCGGAACCTTCTTGTGCCACACGGTCTGTACAACCGCGGCAGTATATCGCGCCTTCGCCAGTGCGTTGAAATTGCCAAAGTACCAGCGCAAGTTCTGGTAGTGCAATTCCAGCGTCCACGCCGTTCCTTTCGCGTTCACCCGAATGCCAACTCCGAGCTCCTTGTCCTTCGCGGGTCCCTTTTCCTTCGCGGGTCCCTTTTCCTTCGCGGCTCCCTTTTCCTTCGTGGCTCCCTTTTCCTTCGCGGCTCCCTTTTCCTTCGCGGCTCCCTTATCCTTCGCGGGGCCCTTGTCCTTCGCGGGGCCCTTTGCAGTCCCCTTACCACCCTTGAGTCTTGCCATGAACGCCAGGGTTGCCTTCGTGGCCTCGGTCTCGTCGGGATCTGTGCCGTCCACTCCCCTGATAAGCGGCACGACCAGTGTCCCGCCAGTGGCTGCCCCAGCAGAACGACCTCCAGCGCTGCCAGCCGCGAACTGTGATGGCCCGTGCGGAACTTCACCACCCACATTTCCGATTGCGGGTTGACAGGTGATGACCGGGTCGGAGTTTGTCTTTGCCTTTTTCGGGGGGGGTGTGGCTGCGAGAGGAGCAGGAAGGACCGCGCTACGTTTCCCGCTTTTTTCATCTCCAACTGCTGCGTCGGCGGATTCCATACCCGGGCGCCGCCCTTGGCCCGGATCCCGCACACCATATCCACCCCTTTCGCCCGCGATTGCCAATCCCGTCTCTCCACCACGAACGTTTGCAAAGAAATCCATCCTCGTTGGCCCCGACGAAATAAGATCGTGTTGCGAAACCATCGACATGAAGGCAGAAGCCGCATCCGCCAACTTCGCTGTGGCACGCTCCGACGACTCCCGCTGCGCTGTCGCGGATGCACGTTCCGTCCGAACCTCGTGCACAGCATCCACGAGATCCTTCCCAGCACGTCTCTCCATGTCCTCCAGCCTCCTAAGAGCACTGGCAGACCTGTCGGTCACACGAGACAACGCGGCGCGATGCTCCCCCATCCTCGTCAGCAGTTCGCGGATTTTCTTGCGCTGCACGAAGTTGTTGTGTCGCGCATCAGCTAGGTCCTGCCTCGAATTCTCGAGCGCGGAGTCCAGGCGGACGACCTCGTGCGCGAGCGACAGAGCAGGCCACGATGACAACTCGTCCACAGTCCGCCTTTGCGCGATCGAACGCTCTGACCGGCGCGCAAGGCGTGTCTGTCCCACGAATCCGCGATTGCCAACGGCGCGAAACTGTCGAGCTTGATGAGCCTCGTCAACCGGTGCTCCAATTTTCGTGCTGCCGACCGCAATCCTGTGCCGTTCACCACGATCAGCTCCCTCGGCCTCCTCCTCGCCCTCGCCTCCGCCCTCCCCCTCGCCCTCACCCTCCCCACCGCTCTCACCCTTCCCATACCCACCACCGTGGCCCTCCTTGTACCCACCCTCCCCGCCCTCCCACCCCTCTTCGTCATCCTCCTCGTATTCGCCCTCGTTTTCGCCCTCCTCCCCATACCAGCCCTCGCCCTCACCTTCGCCCTCGCCCTCGTCTTTGCCCTCGCCTTCGCCCTCGCCCTCGCCTTCGCCCTCGCCTTCGCCCTTGGCCGTGAAATAATTCTTGCCCTCCTCCTCACCCTCGGCCTGGCCATTGTCCTCGCCCTTGTTCGCGCCCTCGCCCATGTTTACGACCTCGCCCTTTTTCGTGCCCTCGCCGTTCTTCGCGCCCTCACCCTTTTTCGCGCCCTCGCCTCTGCCGGCTTCCGCGCCGGCACCCAGAACCCCGGCTCGCTTTTGTGCAACCTCCGCTGGACCACCGTGGCTGCGGTTTCCGACTGCTTCGTTGTACCGCGTGTCAATGGCGATGTCCTGGGCATGCCTCAGAATCTTATCGTGCAAAGGCTTCAAAGCCTTCACGGACGCTGCACGGACAGGTTCACCAGGTGATTTCACAATAGCCTCGAACTCCGAGAGGATGCGCGAAAATCCGTATACAGCCTGTAATCCGAAAACTGCCTTCACCTTGTCCAATGCGCTCAAGTCCTGCACGCGACCAACGTAAACAAGGGCAAAAAATTAGAATGCACACGTACTCATTCGTGTGCGGAACATAGGAGGCGCGAATTTACCATGGTCTCGCGCTTCAGCTTTTGCACGCGCTCACGCGCAAATACAAGGCTGGGCTCGTCGTCGGTGTCTTCGTACTTCTCCACGCGTCTCTTGAACCAACTACGTGCATAACAACAATCAGAGTTAGCACGCGAAAGTAACCCAGAATGTTAAGTGGCCACGAAACCGCGAAACTCACTCTATGATTTTCGTGGCCAGCTCCCGCTGCGGGTCGGGGCCAAAACACGGGTCGATGTGGATAATACGCGTGTTGGATGTCTCGTCCCTATCATACTGCAGCTGATTTGGCTGCAGGATAACGAGGACGCTGCAAACCGTGATTCCGTCTTCGGGCCTGCATCAACTCGCATAATCGGAGTCAGGATGAGGCACGAACCACTATAACACACCACTAGAGCGGCCAACACTTACTTCGACCATATTGGGAAAACAACAAGTTCCTTGTTCAACATGTCCGAGATCTCCGCGTTCGGATTCATGGTCTGTTTCGTGCAGTCCGAAAGCCACAAACTGCCCTGCTCCGACGATGTGACAATTCGTGTCGACTCCTTGCGGTCGCCGCCGAGTTTCGCCAACACGAAGCTGCAGGATGCACACCCACGAACAACCATTAGCAACGCGAATATCAGCGTACGTCATCGAGGCGGAGACATTAGGTCGCCCGCAAACACTTACATGCATGCGAAATCCAGTGCGGCGGGGGTGTACTCGACGGACTCATCCAGAATGGCTTCCTTGTCATTTTCCGTCAGCACGACGGACGCACCGCCCGCTTCCATGGCGACGTCCACTTTGTTGAAACTCTCCAAGCGGTCGTAAAGCGCGCGCCTCTCACGTAACATCCTGCTTCAAACGCGAAAACAACAACCGCGGAAACGCAGCAATTGCGATTGCCAAGATAGCAACACGAAAAAACGCAGCAACTCGAATTCGCCGGACAGAAACGCTCGCATCCGCGCGACGCAAACGCATCACAAAATAACCGCGAAAACTAGCGCGATGTATTTGTGTGCGATTCCAACACCCCTGACCCGAGAACAGCATCTGTCCCGCGAAAATCACGCGACTCCACCAGCAACCAAGGGAACACCATCTACTATTCCACCACCACCCTCCCAAACTACCACCCGTCATCCACCCTCCCCGGCTCCCCCACTCCCGAGTCCCCACATCCCCCCGTCCTTGACCCCGTCCCATTTCTCACCTGGAAGAAGGCTTGCTTGAAGGGAAGGAGATCTGAGAATGAAGATTTCCGAATGCGACTGCACAAATGAAAAACGACGGCCACCAGCGACATATATCCGATTCCACAAGCACCCACCAGAGCGAAACGCCGTAGGTTCGGCCCCACGCGAACCAAGGGTTTCGGGCCGGAACTGTCCCCGAAGCGTGGACGAGGCTCGGTTTGGACGGCCTCGATTTTTTTGAGCATCTGGATTTGACGCGTGTACCTCCCGAGTTCACATGTTGGTGTACACGTGTTGGTTTGTTCCGCGTTTGTATATGTTAGTGCGTTTTTCGTCTTGGGTTTCGGAAAAGTCGGTAACTCGAAAATCATGCATCCGTAACAAGTTCGTCGCACGCGCGCCGGACGACCATGCATGCGACGTCGCAGAGAGCTCGGGCGACAGCATCCCACCCGTGCCCGGGCTGAGTCAGCCGGGCTGGGCTTGGGCAGCTGGCCGAGTCAGGTGGTCCCCACGGACGCCCCATGATTTTCAACTAGTTGTTTATCATTATAAACTGATTGATGGTTTAGCACAAAAGCGAATTCAGAGTAGAAAAAACTTTGGGAAATATCCTCGCAGCAGAGTCCTTCGTTCGTTTGGTTTTGTCGCGTACACCGTGAGCTCAGCGATATTTGTTATTAGGTTCATTTTGAAGAATCCCTCCTCTTTTTTTCGCACGTCAGTAACTCGCTCTGATGTGCATACGCGCCGAAGTCGCTGCAAGCGCGCCATTGCCCCGGTCACGCGACTTCGCAGAGCGATCTAGCGAGCATCTAATACCTATGTACAGTGTCAGAACATTATAGCTTATGCTGTTGTGTAGGCTATAGTGGGGTATCCCATAGGGGGTACAACCAATTAGGGTTTCATATTTGTACTCACTTCATTTCATAGTTCATTCATTCTTGTTCAAATCTTCTCATGGTATCGAGCAGGTTCCCCCTTGGGAACTGTGCTTAGGGCCCACCACATCGATTTTTTTTTCCTGCCCGAAGCGCGCTCAGCCCGAGTCGCGCTCCGGGCCCTCACTTCGTCGAGCCGCCCTAGCGGCCCTGCACTGCGGCCCCGCCACCCGTCTCCGCGGCCCCGCCGCCCGTCTTCGCGGCCCCGCCGCCTCTCTCCTAGCGGCCCCGCCGCCCTACCTAGCGGCCCCGCCGCCCTACCTCGCGGCCTCGCCGCCCCATTGCGCGGCCCCGCCGCCCTACCTAGCGGCCCCGCCGCCCCATCGCGGCCCCGCCGCCCCATCGCGCGGCCCCGCCGCCCTATCTAGCGGCCCCGCCGCCCTACCTAGCGGCCCCGCCGCCCCATCGCGCGGCCCCGCCGCCCCATCGCGCGGCCCCGCCGCCCCATCGCGCGGCCCCGCCGCCCTTCCTCGCGGCCCCGCCACCCCACTGCTGCGGCCCCGCCACCTTACCTGCGGCCCCGCCACCTTACCTGCGGCCCCGCCACCTTACCTGCGGCCCCGCCGCCCTCTGCTGCGGCCCCGCCACACTATCTGCGGCCCCGCCACCCTACCCGCGGCCACGCCGCCCTTACCAGCGGCCCCGTGCCCTGCAGCAGCACAGCCGAGCCGCCCAGCAGCCGAGCCGCCGAGCCGCCCAGCAGCCGAGCCGCCCAGCAGCCGAGCCGTCGAGCCGCCCAGCAGCCGAGCTGCCCAGCAGCCGAGCCGCCCAGCAGCCGAGCCGCCCAGCGGCCGCGCCGCCCAGCAGCCGAGCCGCCCAGCAGCCGAGCCGCCCAGCAGCGGAGCCGCCGAGCCGCCGGGCCGCCCAGCAGCTGAGCCGCCGAGCCGCCGCGCCGCCCTCCTTCAGGGCCGCCCGACCTGCCCAGTCTGGTGAGCACAGCGCCTTTTCACTGCACTGTCCTCACCCCACTGTTTGCGCTGCTAGTCGTCTAGGGTCATGGCTACCCCTAGTGTTCTCGCCTTTGACGTTGAGGGTAGGGCCATTGACTTTGAGGTCTGGGTAGATGACCTGCAGCTGTTCTTACAGTGCGATAGGGCAGACGGCCTCTCTCTCTTTGACCTCACCTCTGGCACCTCCACTGCCCCTGCTGCTGATGCTGACGCCACTGTTCGCTCCCAGTGGGCCACGCGCGACGCTGCTGCACGTCTTGCTGTGCGTCGCCACCTCCCTACCTCCGAGCGTGCGCACTTTAGTCAGTACAAGAGTGCTCAGACCTTGTACGACGCTGTAGTTGCGCGCTACTCCTCCCCTGCCACTGCTGCACTGAGCCGTCTCATGCTACCGTACCTCTTTCCTGATCTTACTGCCTTTCCCACAGTCACTGACCTCATTACGCACCTCCGCACTAGTGACACTCGCTACCGCGCTGCACTCCCTCCTGACTTCTGCGCCAGGAACCCCCCCCCCATGTACATCACTCTTTACTACATAGTCACTCGCCTTCCTGACTCCCTTCGCGTAGTCAGGGACCACTTTCTCTCTGTCTGTCCCACCACTCTCACTGTTGACCTCCTCGAGAAGTCCCTCCTAGCGGCCGAGAAGAGCATAGTCGCTGTAGGGGCCTCTCGTGGTGACCCGCGCACCCCCATCTTTGAGGGGTGTTCCCCCTCCCCCCTTCTGCCCTCTGTTGCCTCTGCTGCTGCGGCCGACCTCCTTGTTCTTGAGTCGGTCGGTGCGGCGTCTGCCCCTAGCGGGAGACGCCGCTCTGGCAAGGGCAAGGGGGGCAAGGGCGCTGGAGGAGCGAGCGGGGGCGGTGGAGGTGGAGGTGGCGGCAGTTGGGGGAGTGGGGGTGGCGGTGGGAGTGGAGGTGGGGGTGGAGGGGTCGGTGGCGGCAGTGGAGGTGGAGGTGGCGGCGGCGGTGGCGGTGGGAGCGGAGGTGGTGGAGGTGGCGGAGGTGGAGGCGGCGGCGGAGGCGGAGGCGGCGGCAGTAGCGGAGGCGGCGGAGGCGTCGGAGGCGGCGGGGGTGGCGGTGGTGCTGGTCGCGGGTCTTCGCAGAGGAGTGGCTCCGGTGGTGGCTCGCGCCAGCAGCAGCAGCGTGGTCGTGACACCCTGTCCCCTCAGCAGCTTCGTGAGTGGTACACTGCGCGTCAGCGGGGTGGGGGTTTTGGTCCGTGCTCCTACGTTTTGCGCACTGGCGACCGTGCGGGTGAGCAGTGTGGGGGTCCCCACCCCACCCAGCGCTGCTTTGGCCGCCAGACGGACGCGTGGCGTCACCAGTTCCCGGAGGCCTCCGAGATCCCTCGCTGGGGCGAGCTGTCTAGGGCGGTGTTGCCATCTATGATCTTGACTTTGATGCTATTCTCTCTGCCATGTATGCTGTGTCTATTAGTGATGAGGGTGACTGTTACCGGTGTTTCCCGCCCGATCCGGGCATTGAGACTGCTGCTCTAGGTCCTGGTGAGGCTGCTGCCCTAGGTGCTTGCGACGCTGCTGCTCTAGGTGCTCGTGTGTCTGCGTCCTCAGGTACTGGTGAGTCTGCGCTCTCAGGTACTGCGTCGGCTTCGGCCTCCCTCACCTTCACCCTTGACTCTGGGGCGTCTCGCTCCTTCTTTCGGGACCGCACCACACTCACACCGCTGAGTCGACCGGTTGCAGTGTCTCTGGCTGACCCCTCTGGGGGTCCTGTCCTGTCTCGCTTCTCCACAGTCCTCCCGTGTCCGGCGGCTCCCTCTGGCACCCTGTCTGGTCTCTACCTCCCCTCGTTCTCTACGAACCTGGTGAGTGGTGCTGACCTACAGGATGCGGGGGTCCACCAGTTCACTCCTGCACGTCAGAGAGTGACCCACTGTACAGAGGCTGGCACAGGCCGACACCTGGCTACGTTCACCCGTCAGCCGGGGTCGAGCCTGTACACTCTGACCACTGCGTCTCCTCCAGTTGCTGAGTCTGGTAGGGTAGTTACGTCGGGTCAGGTGTTTGCTGCGGCGTCCAGGTCTGGTCCTGAGTCTGCCCCCTGTTCGTGTCGTCTCCTGTCTCACGAGACTCTCCTCTGGCACCACCGCCTTGGCCACCCCTCTCTGCTTCGGCTCAGAGGTATGGCCTCCCGTCTTCTTGTGTCCGGTCTCCCCCGGTCCCTCCCTCCCCTTCCTCAGGGCCCTGGCCCTGCCTGTGTCCCCTGTGTCGAGGGGCGCCTGCGTGCTGCCCCTCACTCCTCCCAGTTTCCTCCGACAGAGGCCCCGTTGCAGACACTTCACATGGACGTGTGGGGCCCAGCCCGCGTCCGTGGACAGGGTCACGAGCGCTACTTCCTGCTCGTTGTTGACGACTACTCGCGTTACACCACAGTCTTCCCCTTGCGCAGCAAGGGTGATGTCACTGAGGTGCTGATCGACTGGATCCGCGCAGCTCGTCTCCAGCTCAGGCAGAGCTTCGGCTCGGACTTTCCTGTTCTGCGTCTGCACTCGGACAGAGGCGGAGAGTTCTCCTCTGGCCTTCTGCGTGCCTACTGTCGTGCACGGGGCATCCGTCAGACCTTCACGCTTCCGGACTCACCGCAGCAAAATGGGATTGCTGAGCGCCGCATTGGCATGGTCATGGACGTCGCTCGTACGTCTATGATGCATGCGGCTGCCCCCCATTTTCTGTGGCCGTTTGCGGTTCGGTACGCGGCGCATCAGATCAACCTCCACCCCAGGGTCTCCAGGCCGGAGACCTCCCCAGCCTTGCTGTGGACGGGGAAGGTTGGCGATGCGTCGGCGTTCCGGGTCTGGGGATCTCGGGCGTTTGTCCGCGACCTGTCTGCGGACAAACTATCCCCTCGTGCTGCTCCTTGCGTCTTCCTGGGGTTCCCCCCTGACGCGCCTGGGTGGCAGTTTTACCACCCCACCTCTCGCCGTGTTCTGTCCTCCCAGGACGTCACGTTTGACGAGTCGGTCCCCTACTACCGCCTCTTCCCCTACCGCACTCCGTCCCTCCCCCCACCCCCACTCTTCCTGGTACCAGGTCCCCCCCAGGTAGACCCCCTCCCCCCTCAGGGTCCTGCCCCTTCAGGTGTGTCCCAGGTAGACGCGGTCGAGCCTGTCGAGGTCACTGGTGACTCTGGTGCTGCTGAGGGTGCTGAGGCTGGGGGTGCTGTACCTGGGGGTGCGGAACCTAGGGGTGCTGGGCCTGGGGGTGCTACGTCTGGGGGTGCTGAGCCTAGGGGTGCTGAGCCTGGGGGTGCTGAGCCTAGGGGTGCTGAGCCTGGGGGTGCTGAGCCTGGGGGTGCTGAGCCTGGGGGTGCTGAGCCTAGGGGTGCTGAGCCTGGGGATGCTGAGCCTAGGGGTGCTACGTCTGGGGGTGCTGAGCCTAGGGGTGCTACGCCTGGGGGTGCTGAGCCTGGAGGTGCTTCGCCTGGAGGTTCTCCAAGTGCTTCGTCTCGCCGGGAGCCACTTTCTCCACAGGAGCTGCGTGAGTGGTTTTCCCGGCGCTGGAGGCGTGCTGCTGGTGCTGGAGGTCCTTCGGCTGCTGAGGGTGCTGCGGTCGCGGGTCCCAGAGGTGTTCGTCCTGGGTGCACTGGAGCTGGTGCTGCTGAGGGTGCTGGCGCTGAGACTACCGCTGGCAGTCCTACTGGGGGTGCTCCTGGTGCTGCTGGAGGTTCTGGAGCTACTGGTGGTGCTGCTGGAGCGGGTGCTCCTGCTGAGGGTTCTGGTGCTGTCCCGGCTGCTTCTAGCGTCGCCGCGCGGCCTCGACCGTACTTCGTGCCACTCCTGCAGCAGGTTCTTGGTCTTCCACCCTCTACTGGTCCTCCTCCTCCCTTAGAGTGTCCACAGCCTGTCTCGTCCCAGCTACAGTTGCAGCCTACCTCCCCTTTGCCTGCTCCTTCTCCCTACACTGGTCCTACTGGAGGTCTGGCTGAGCGTCGTGAGCCTGCGTCTCGCCCTGCGTCGCCTGTCCGTGCTGCTCGCACTAGTGGTCGCGGTTCGCGTCAGCGTCCTCCTCCTGTCCCTGGCACGCACCGGATGTCTCTGCGTCCGTCCACTGCTCCTCTGCGTGCCCCTTTGCCTTCTCCTCCTGAGTCCTCTCTTCCTGCTCTTGCCGACCCGGAGTCGGACTCTCTTCGTGCTGCCAGTCCTACTGTCACACGTCTCCTTGCTACTGTTGTCACTGACCCTTCTTTCGAGTCTACTGCTGCGTCTGCTCTCGTTACTGAGCTCGTCGACTTTGCTGCTCGCTGTCGCTTAGACTACGCTGCTAGTCTTGTCGCTGAGTCTGAGTCTGTCTGTCCTCCGTCCGTCGGGGGTGAGTGTGCCCTTGGCACGGACGTCCTTGAGGACAGGCAGGAGGAGTTCCAGTGTCTGGCAGCTGCCTCACCTCATCTCGTGTCCGTACTGCTTACCCCTGAGGGAGACCCGGATGCACTTGACATCCCGACTCCGCGCTCTTACGCGGAGGCGATAGAGGGTCCCTACTCCTCTCAGTGGCAGGCAGCTATGGATGCAGAGATGGCTTCCTGGAAGTCCACAGGCACCTACGTTGACGCTGTCCCCCCTCCTGGGGCGAACATCGTCAGTGGCATGTGGATCTTCAGGGTGAAGCGGCCGCCGGGTTCTCCGCCTGTCTTCAAGGCGCGTTACGTGGCTCGTGGCTTCAGTCAGCGGCAGGGAGTTGACTACTTTCAGACCTTCTCCCCCACCCCGAAGATGACCACTCTTCGGGTACTGCTGCACGTTGCTGCTCACCGTGACTACGAGCTGCACTCTCTTGACTTCAGCACAGCTTTCTTGCAGGGCAGCCTGCACGAGGAGATCTGGCTGCGTCGCCCACCTGGCTTCACTGGGTCTTTCCCTTCTGGTACCCAGTGGAGTCTCCGGCGTCCAGTCTACGGTCTCCGCCAGGCGCCACGTGAGTGGCACGACACACTGAGGACTACACTTGCGGCTCTTGGGTTTGCTCCTTCTACTGCCGACCCGTCGCTGTTTCTACGCACCGACACCTCTCTGCCGCCGTTCTACATCCTCGTGTACGTCGACGACTTGGTCTTTGCCACAGCTGACACTGCTGGACTCGCCTACGTGAAGTCCGAGCTGCAGAAGAGACACACGTGCACAGACCTGGGTGAACTGCGCAGCTACCTTGGCTTGCAGATCACCCGGGACAGAGCACGCCGCACCATTACCCTGACTCAGTCACACATGGTGCAGCAGGTCCTTCAGCGCTTCGGCTTCACGTACTCCTCGCCTCAGGCCACTCCTCTGTCTACTCGCCACTCGCTCTCAGCTCTGCCTTCGGATGAGTCCGTAGAGTCGAGTGGCCCGTACCCAGAGCTTGTTGGCTGCCTCATGTACCTGATGACCTGCACACGACCTGACCTTGCATACCCTCTTAGCATTCTGGCACGCTATGTTGCTCCTGGGAGACACAGACCAGAGCACATGGCTGCAGCGAAGAGGGTGTTGCGCTACTTGTGCAGTACGTCGGGCATGGGGCTAGTGCTTGGAGGGCGGAGTCCAGTGGTCCTCACTGGGCACGCGGACGCTTCTTGGGCTGACGACCAGGCTACGCAGCGGTCGTCACAGGGTTACACCTTCAGCCTTGGTTCCGGCTCTGTTTCGTGGCGGGCTACTCGCTCGTCTTCTGTTCTTGGCTCGAGTTGTGAGGCTGAGATCTACGCCGGGGCCATGGCTGCACAGGAGCTTCGCTGGCTCACCTACCTGCTGACCGACCTTGGAGAGCCGCCTCGTTCTCCTCCAGTCCTGTACGTAGACAACAAGGCCATGCTGGCCTTGTGTCGAGAGCAGCGACTGGAGCACAGAACAAAGCACATTGCTCTCCGCTACTTCCTTGCTCGTGAGCTACAGCAACGTGGTCAGTTGCGGCTTGCGTATGTGGCCTCTGAGGCCAACACTGCTGATGTCTTCACCAAGGCACTTCCGCCTTGTGATCATCAGCGCTTCTGCACTCAGCTGGGTCTTGTGCCCGTCTTGCCTCACTTGCTCTCCTCTTGACCTTGCCTGTACTCTCACATATATATATACCTGCTCTTGCTTGTCTAGCTTTATATATATGTGTGTACTCTTGCATGTGAACTGGCCGTGTGGCCTTGACCCTGTGCTCGGACTGTGTGGTGACTTTGTGATCCACCCTGAGCTTGCTTTGCTTTACTTTGCTTGACTGGTCTTGTGACCCCTTGTTCTCCCCCACTTTGCCTATGGGGGTGTGTCAGAACATTATAGCTTATGCTGTTGTGTAGGCTATAGTGGGGTATCCCATAGGGGGTACAACCAATTAGGGTTTCATATTTGTACTCACTTCATTTCATAGTTCATTCATTCTTGTTCAAATCTTCTCATACAGCACTTTTTCCCGCGAGCATCCAAGCCACGTGTCGCCAGCTAGCGCGTCGCACAATGACACGCGGCGAGTTCGGATTAAAAAGCGAAATGGCTCGCCGATTTCGCAGTAGCATTCGTCGGTAAGAGTGTTACCTGCCCATGTGTTATCCTCCCATGTGTTACGTGTGCGCCGGTCGCAGAATCACCCTCAGCGTGGAACTTTTCGTGCCTGGCTTTGAGGACGAAGTAAGGGGCAAAAATCTCTCCCCGAAATGCTGGAGTGAGTTCATAATTGACGCGAACAACACTAACACGATCGACGCGAACGACACTTCCCCGAACGAGTCTAACAAAAGGCCGCGGGAATCTTGATTACCCTAAACCGGAACACCATGGTTTCTCTAAAAATCGGAAATGCTAAACTGTCCCCTGCTGTGGTGTTTCGTGTTGTGTTGTATTCTCTTTGCCGTCTGGATAAAACGTTTTTGCTATGACAATTCAGCTTGCGACCTAGACTTAACACGACAAAACCCCCGTTCAGACCTAAACAGGTGTAGCACAATCCGATACAAACACAAAAGCACAAAAGCGAATTCAGAGTAGAAAAAACTCAACCGCCCTCGCGAAAACCATGCCGCGATCACATTTCCTCCGTTTCTGAATCGTCAAGCTCAATCGCCTCGGAGCCACCTTCGTCGTCCGATTTCGCGGCACTCTTTTTTCCAGCCTGGGAGCCACCTTCGTCGTCCGATTTCGCGGCACTCTTTCTCACACGCGACCGGCTAACGTCACGATTCTTGGCCTTCGCGCGATCGTCACCGCACTCGATATACAAGCCCAACGCACGCATCTTCTTAGCGGTATCTGGGTCGAAGTTCCAGGTTCTCAGCACATCCACCTGCTCGTGAATGGTGCTTTTCTCACTTTTCGTGACAGTGGCTTTTTTCGCGTCCGCGAAATGTTTCGCGACCTGGAGTTCGATCTTAGCAGCATCATGTCCCTTCTTCGCTGCCGTGACGATGTGCTTCCAAACCGCGAGGTAGAGAACCACGCTCAGATCGCTCGCTCCGGCAAGTAGCGCGGCCTGTTTCGCGCTCGCTTCCGCGGTCTTCAGATCACATCCCTTACACTGCATCCAGGAAACCGCGCAAACAAACGCCACACTCCCAGCACCAGAGGGCACAAACTTCTTGCCCTTCGCGGGTGAATCGTCCGCCACGGTCTCGAGTCCAACCGCAGCAGAGCAGGCGACCTCGTCGCTCGCTTCCGCGTTTTCGTCCTTTAAAGTCCTGACTCGTTTCATCACAGCTCGAATCCTGCACGCGGGACAGCCATATAATTAGAGACGGGGTGTATAATGACATCGCGAACCACCAATACCAGACAATACGGACCTTTTGGGGCTCGCGCAGATACCTCGCAGATAAAGAACCGCGAAAACACCAGCGTGCATAATCCGCGCCACATCAAGATCGGAGGTCCACTCCGCTTTTTCCTCGTCAGTCAGAACCAGCTTGTCCTCGGGAATCTGCTGATTCCACACCATCTGTGCCACCGCGCACAGAAACCGCACGGTAGGGAGCTTAGCGTGGGAACCGAAGTACCAGCGTGACGAGTGGTGAAGCTCCAAGGTGAACATGCCCCGCGAGTTTTGCCGTATACCAACGCCCCATTTCGGATCCTCCTTCTCCTTTCCTTTCGCGCTTCCCTTCGCGTCCGCCTTCTCCGGGTGCTGAGCCATGGACAACCACTTCTGCATGGCCTCCGTTGCCTCAGCATCTGCGTCAGGGATTTCCTCTGCGCCACGCATTAAGGGCACACCAGCCTGCTGGATCGCGGCACCTCCAGCTGCTGGCGGCCCTCCAGTGCCTGACGCGATCGGCGAGGGCCTATTGACAGTCGCACCGGCGGTTTTGGACTTCTGAGCCAAACTTCCGCGGCCAGGTTCTCAGGCCTCCGGTTGCTCGGACGAGCCCTTTGCTTTCTTGGGGGGCGGCGAGGGTGAACGGGGTGTCGGTAACCCTGATGGCCTCTTCACCCCGCGATCCTCGCTCCCTGTTGCTTCTGCGGTTTCAAAGCGCAAGGGTCCGGTGACCATCCTGATGCCTCCACCTCCACGGTCCGCGGCAGTCGCCACACCTGCCTCGAACGTCCCCATCCTTCCCCACGGGGCCATCTCGTAACGCGTTCGCGCCACCGCATCCGAAATCGAATCCGCAATCAAAGCCCTCAGTCCCACCATCGTGTCCTCCAACCTACGGAGCGTACGGTCCGCGGCCTCCCGCTGCACAGTCGCAGACCCGCGCTCAACCCTTAGCTCCTGGACCAAGCCCTCGACTGTCCGCGCCCATTTTTCCTCCTCCTCCTGAAACCGCGTTGCGATGTTGCCCGTCCTCGTAATGGCTGCGTCCAGATTGTCCTTCTGGACTTGAAGATCGTTCAGAAGGCCGCGAATCCGATTGCGCTGAAGCTTGAGGGCGTGATCCGCGTCGTACTGAGCCTGAATCAAATCATCCAGAGCACCTTCCAGCCGGACAACCTCGTGCGCGAACGTCAACACTGGCCAGGTCAGCAGCTCGGATAACGTGTGGCGCGGAACATTCGAATCCTCGTCTCCAGTATCTCCCGTTCCTGTGCCCACTCCCACGTTCGCGCCAGAAGCAGGCTGCGGTTCCGCATGAGGCGCGGAAGGTTCCTGGGCCGAGGTCTTGGTTTTCGCGGATTTTGCTGCGGCAGTCCGATCGTGAGTGTCAACCGCAGCCTTCTGGGTGGCAGCCGCAGCGGCAACATTGCGGGCTCGCTGCTCACCGTCCTTACCGTCGCCATCCCCTTCACCAGCCCCCTCGGTTTCTTGATCGCCCTCTGCTTCCTCATATTTCTCGGACTCATCCGGCCTGGCCTCGACCGTGTGTCGCCGGCCTGACGCCTCTACGGACCCTCCGGCCTGGTCGGAGATGCTCATTTTGATAGCGATGTCCTGCGCGTGCTTCAGAATTTGGCCGCGAGTTGCCTTCAGACTCTTGTTCGCCACGGCACGGACCGGAATCCTTCGCCAGAGTCACGAATTCCGAAAGCAGGCGCTGGAACCCGTAGACGCTCTTCACGCCCGATCCACACCGCGAATCATCTATCGCGGTTAGGTCCTGCACGCGATTACAGAAGATAGGTCAGTTTCGCAGAGGCGCGCAGAAATGTGCAATCAGTGAGTGCGGCTGATTTCCCACGAACCATGTGTTTCCGCATCAAAGCCATCACCCGTGGATGCGCCAGTTTAAGGCTGGGCTCCTTGTCCTGTTTTGCACGTCTCGAAAGAGGAATTGAACCACCTGCGACCACAATCGCACGGCTACGCGTCAGAAGTCGGAATCAGCGCGAATTCTCCCAATGCGAAAAAAAACGTGACAGTTTTCTTACGCGACAATCTCCTCCACCTTCGCGGCGTGCCCGTCGGGTCCCACGCCCGGGTCAATATGGATGAGTCGAGTCGCGCAGCCCTCGCTGCCCTCGTTCTGCAAGTCGTTCGGCTTGAAAAACACGATAATGCTACACAGCGGCTCATCGATATCCGACCTGCTCATGGCCACGCGAAAAAGGCGTTAGGCACTGCACTCGTACCATTCCGCATTGCTCGTGAAAATCGCGGCCAATCCGTACTTGGACCACAGGGGGAAAACGAGGAGGTCAGACTTGAGCATGGCGGGTATGGGGGCGTCGGATGCCAGCAACTTTGCCTGCTGCGCCGACGTATAAATCTTTGTCGTTTTGCGGCGGTCACCTCCATGTTTCTCCAACACGAAACTGAGAACATAACAAAAAAAACGAGCAGCATAGATCCGTCAGAACAATACCGGCGAGCGATTGAAGATGAAAAACGAAGCGCACTCTTACATGCACGCGAAATCGAGGACTGCGGCGGTGAAGTCGGCGCTATCGTCCGCGAGAACGGACTTGTCTTCCGCGGCCAGCACAACGGTGGCTCCGCCCGCCTCCACTACGACGTCAAACTTCTTAAGGCACCCGACGGGGTCGGACAACGCTCGCGCCTCACGAGCCATCATGCCGAAAACGCGAACTGCACGATTCATCACGGCACGCGCGACCGACTGGTGAGCAACATTCGCATCACGGAAACTCAGTGACTGGGTTCAACGACGCGGAAAATGGCGAGTTTCAACGACGCGAAAAATGACGGGGATTAACGACGCGAATAATGACGGGTTCAACTACGCAAAAAATGACGGGTTCAACGACGCGAAAAATGAGCAGCGAAAAAGATCCAAAACCGCGCCGATCACTGCGCACGGTTTCTACTATCCCGAATTATGGGAAAAACACATATTACAACACACCGCACACCACAGCAATCGCGGGCCATACAATCCACCTAGCTATCCACACTCACCCCTTGCACACAAAATCCGCCCACCCTCCTACACCTTCCCCCTAGCCCAAGCCCCCGGTGCTCACCTGGGTTGAAGTTCGAAAGCAGCAGCGAAGGTTGAGAATCGATTGCAAAAAATCACAGTCGCTTGCACAAATGAGAAATGACGGCCTCGGGCCCCTTTTATACCCCTCCCCACTCGTGAACCCACGGCTGCAACACCCGCCGGTTCGGGTTCCCGCGAACCAGGACTTTCGCCACGGACGTGTCCCAAACCGCGGCTGTGAGGCTCGTTGGGGTTTCGTCCTCGCCTCAGCGTCGCTTGTTTGGTGACTCGGGGATTGTGATGGAGATGTTTTCGCTATTGTGATGCGCAATTTTCTTATTATTACGGTCGAACTGAAACGCAACATCGGAATGAACGAAACGACATGCACGAGTTCAGGTGGTCCCCGAGCAGCTGCGTCACCAGGTCGGGTTCTGAGTCAGCTGGGTGGTCCCCACGGGCAGCCGAGTACCGGCGTCCCGGTCAGGTTCCGAAGGGCCGGGCCTCGGATTCCTCGCGAGGAGGGTCGGGCGAGGCGGGCGGTAGACAGGGCAGTTCCAGGCTGGCCTCGCTCGCGTGCCCGGCGTGACGACGGCGAGGGCATCGGCCCCCTCGCGGCCCTCCATGCACGAATTCGTGAACACCAAGGATTCTCCGTGATACAAAATTGCTCTACATATATAGCGCCCATAAATTTCGTCATAGGTGCTCAACTTTAATAATGAATGGATGGCTTCAACTTCATTCCTTGGAGGAGTAGAACTCTGCCGTGTGACGTTTACTGAGACTCGGATTGACTTGTAGTATGCAACTTGTTTTGATTTTCGAGACGTTCCTATTGCTAGAGCTTTGTAGCGTAGTGATGTCTAAACCGTTGCTTTTCCGTGAGTGAATTTTGCTCTACATATATTGCGCCCCTTCATTTTCAACTAGTTGTTTATCACTATAAACTGATTGATGGTTTCGAGCACAATCCTGCTAGTTTCTGAATGCAGTCCTCTGTACTAAAGTCTCTGTCATGCCTAGTTTACGATGTAGGAATAGATGGTAAAAATTTTAGCCCAAAACCCGCTCAAATCCCCGATGTTCCGAAAACACAAAGGTAACTCTAAACAAAGAGTCAGTGTAGAGCACAGTAGAAGAGAAGGTAGCAAAGGAATCGAAGTCAAGAGAAAAGTAGAAAAAGAGGTCCAAAAAGGGACGACCAAGCAAACGTGGAGGCAAAGAACTTGGGGAACTACTTCTTCAGTTTAGCCAGCTTCTTTGGCTCCTCGATCTTGATCTGCTTCCAATCATCTTTCCCAAACATCGTCTCTCCCCACGCGTCACCTTCCATCTTGGCCGCGAAAAAGAGGTACCCGACCCTGCGGCGTTTGTTCTCCGACGTCTTATCCTTGCCGGAATTATCCCTCTTCGGTGGTGGTTCCTTTCCGAAAATCACGCCGTCCGCCAGAGCCCTGATCGAACTCCGATTCACCACGTCCTTCTGGATCTTCGCAATGGCTGCTCGGGTGGCCTCCTCCGATTCATTAGCCCTGTACTTCTCGACGGTGAGCATCACGTTCCTCATCCGCTTCATTTTTTTGTCGCCAGTATTGTCCTTTTTACCCTTCTCAATATACGAGAAAGTGGGGTAGAAATCTTTTTGGGACGACAGCTGGCAGAGAGTCTTTCCGTCCATCAAATAAGTCACTTTCACCCAGTGTTCCCATGCCTCTGCGACCGTCTCCGAGTCCCGCCAGGGTTTAACGACAAGGTCGAAAAATGCCCGCACTGGAGTGCTGACTTGTGGCTTCTCGGGCTTTGGAGCCTCTCCACCAGCTTCCACCTTTGCCGACGCGCTCGTCCCTGGACCTTCACCAGCGTTGGTCGAGGCATGCACCTTCAGAGCAGCCAGCTCCTCTTTGAGCTGCTCGAGTTCAGCGGCTGTTTTTTTCTCCCTCTCTTCGCTTGCAGCGAGCCTGTTCTTCAGCTCTCCAATCTCGTGATCCTTCTGACCACATTCCATCCGGAACAGGTTGTTCTCTACGAGGAGCTTCTGGTACTTCCGCGTAGAGTTGAGCTTGTAGATCGCGTCCTGCGGGAAAACGGACGAAGGTTTTCAGACATTGAGAATATTTGCCGAAATGGATGTACCGATCAGAGAACTATTGTACTTACAGCGGCTGCAGAGCTGCCCCGGGCTTTACGAAGTTCAATGCCATTCTTGTGCATGATTGCAACTTTGATGGCCCACTTCTGAAACAGTGGGTGGCGGCAGAGCGGGTTCATGTCCGTGTACGGGTGGCGCTGGCACTCGCATGGCCGTCTTGTACCGTTGAACAGCTTGTCGTGATCGGGGCAATAGAAGCACCACATGGCAAGGTCCTGTGCCACGATGTCTCGCCCAGGGTTCGCAAGAGCCTCCAAAAAACTTCTGCCAGAGAGGTGCATCTTTTCTGGATTGTCTTCGTTGTACTTATCGACCTGAGATGATAGGACAGAGGTCAGAGTGAGCTCTGACACGTGTAACATAATCAGGCTACAGCTACAAGCTGGCCACTTAAGGGATACCTCTGCCAACTGAGATTCGAGGCGCGGGAAGATGAACTTCTTGAAGAGGGCCTGCAACTCCTCCCACTCCTTAGGGTCGTCAAGCTCGGCGTGCGCTCTGCCAATGTAGTAATCTCCCGGTTCCCCACTGAATCCGGCCATCATCAACACAGGCCAAAACGGAATTCCCACGACGTAGGATTTTCGCATCTCGCCTTGCTCCCAGCCTCCGAGGGCGTTGATGTCGGGGTCGGGACAGCGATCGTCGCTCAGGCCTTGGGCTCCCGACCGGCGAAACGCGTGGGTCTTTTTGCTCATCTTCCAGGGCGGTCGAGCTACGTCGTTCATCACCCAATTAATCCAGTTGTTGTGAGTCACGTACGGAAGCTCTTCCTGCAGTTGTTCCCTTCCGTGCCTCAATGGGAAAAATATGTGCTTCTTCGACCACCGGAGTGGGTCGGTGAAGTCCAGGGGGGGAACGATGTCCGTGCCAAATCGAATCGGCACGAGGTCGTAGATGAAATGAATCCACAAAAAAAGGCCACCAACACCGCAGAGCACGAAGTTCATGTGACGGGCCAAGAATTGGTGGGTCAGCCTGTTGGTCGAATTCGTCTTGGATTTTCGAGAGGCGAAAACAATAACAGGGAGATCCTTCTGGCGATCGGGGACGGCCGTGCTGCTACGCGTATGCCGGACAAACATGTTGGCGAAACGAAGAGCACGAATGCTGCACCCCCTCCCCAACATTTGGTGCGCGAGCTGAATCATCACCTGCACCGCAAAACACCGCCAGAGACTTTCTGATAGTGCAACCCTGGCCCTCTGGTACAACGTTTTCATGTCCCTCAGAAGGTGCTTTTCGTGCAGATCCGCGTACTGCTCCGCCGTGTAGCAATCGTCCAGCGAGCCTCTGTGCTGATATGTGCCCTCCCTGCAGAGATCCACATGGAATGCGATTAGGCAGTGAAATTTCGATGAACTGAGTGCCCAAAAGGTGTGACGATACTCACGCAACATGCTTGTCGTGCAGCTGTTTCAGCTTGAGCTTCATGTACTCCCGCGCTTCGCTGATGTACTCATCCGCTTCAGACTTTGGGTAGTTGTAGAGACGAGATTCCAGTCTGCCGAGGAAGCCCAAGGCGCTCATCTTTGCCTTCATCATGCTCGGCGTACTAGGGATGGGCTCCTTCCCAGCCACCACTTCTTTGTCTCTCCGCATCGTTTCGGCCTGCGCCGGGGTTTCGTCTGCCATGTACTGCAAGTATCTCTGAATCCTCCATCCAGAAACACGTGGCCCGTGCAGATAGGCTTCCTCGGGTTCCACGTTTGACCACGCCTGCTTTTTGTCGTCCCCCAAATGGAGTCCAACCTCGTCCGGTGTAACAGTTTTTAGACGCTCCTTCTCTGGAACCTCTGTCTTGGGCAGCGTTGACATGAACAAGATGACCCACCACTTGTAGTGCTGCCAATACAGGATGTATTCCTTTCTGGTTTTCGGCGCGAGATAATCGAAAGGGGTCTTTGCGCGGCGCTTCCTGCTGCCCATGTCGGCCTGTTTCCGAACTGACTCCTGCGTAACTGATGCTGGCCCATCTGCATTCCTCTGAGACGCACCATGTGATTCCCGACCCTCTGTGGCCCAGCCTGCGGTGCTTGCCCCCCGGCATTTCTCACGGGCGCAGCCTGCGATTCGACCCCATGTGCACTTCCATGTGGTGATGCCTGTGATTCTGGGCCGTTGACATTGCCGCGGGTCTCATCCCCAAAAAGATTTCGACTGGTGGTGTTATCTTCATAGGTCGGGCTTCGGCTAGCATTACCCTCCCATTCGTCCTCAAACAAGGCTCGGTGGGGGTCTTCCTCATTTTCCGCGAGGTTAATCCACACCCCCGAACGCTGACCGCCCCACGGAATTGCGCCCTCAGCATTGTTTCCCTCGACCCCGACTTGAGGGTTCGAGGACGGAAATTCCGCCGGAGCATCCACGAACGCTTCTTCCCCAACTGCCGCCACGAAATCCGTGTCCCAATCGCGGTCCCCGGTTAGATCAATCGGGGCATCGGGCAGTTGGCAGTCTGGAAGATCTACAAATATCT